TACTATTCCTAAAGCTTACTATTCCTAAAGCTTACTATTCCTAAAGCTAATACTAAACTGTGTCGGCTCTGGAATCGCTGGGACCGGACCCGGGAGCTTTCGCCGCACAACTAGGCCGCTGTAGAAGCAGCGGCTCAAGGCTCAGGGGCCAGGGCGGCTCAGGCTGGCTCAGCCCACCCACTACGGTATTATGCAATGTCCTGAAGGCTGAATGTCGACACTCAAGAGTGCTACTTTATACTCCGTCGAGTACGTGACTGCCCCGTGACTGCTCCGATCACCGTGTGAATCACCCCGGCTGTGGATCACCCCGGCTGAATGTTGTCATGCACAGCTAGCACCATCCAAGGGAGTCGGGACCGGGTTACCTAGGTAGATGCCTTCCCTGACAGTGATTTTGGAAACGTGTTCCTGATCACTACAGCTTGGATGGGTCTCCTGATCACTTCTTGACAAAGTATGAGAGCTGGCTGCAGCTTATTTTGATGTTAAGCAATTCGAGATGAGAAGAAAGCATCTTTGGTGAGAGCAATGCATTAAGCAAACAATTGAATCATACTCAATCACCTACCGGGATCAACACTCCCGGCCCCCGGACTCCCGGAGTCAAGTTCTTTCCAGGAGAGCCATCATGCCATGCATTATGCATGGTCCTGCCAGGTCAGCCTGCTGAGGATAAGTCCAGATTTACCGGTAGATAGATTTCTTTTACCTCCTCTGTCCTCTGTACCTCTACGTCTCTCGGGTGTGACGTCATAGCCAGTGGCATTAAGCTGAAATGTTTGCGCAAATGTTTAATATTCCTGTGTTGCATGGCCGCTGATCATTCAGCGCATGCATGATGCCGCACCCATCCTGCAGCTAGTCCTAGGATCCTACCGGTACTATGTTGTCGGCAGGCTACAGTAGTCTTTTGACTCTGATACCTCTTATAAAGACCGGGAAAAGGCGCAGCATTCACAAGAAGCACTCCAACCACTTTTCTCACAGGCGCTTTGCTGCAGCTTGCCCGTAAAATTCTGCCAAGAGCTCGACAGACTTAGAGTGCCTGCCCTGGGGTGTCCAGCATACTAGCGAGCAGCTGGTTGCCAAGATGATGCTCCGCTGTACCGTTGCTCTGTTCCTGATTGCGAGCTGCCTCTCTCTTCCTACGGCAACTCTTTCTCAGTTCTCCATTGTTGATTACGACTTTTCCTGCGGCACTGGCTTCATTCCCGTGCAAGAGTCCCCCACCTCTGAACCGGACTGTTATTCTGATCCATGCTACGGAAATCCTGGTCCCTGCGGTGCAGGTAAGAGAGCCATTGACCTTGATATACAATCGCAGCCAGTGTAAGTTAGCATCATTGCTCAGCGGAAGACTCGACCTTGAAACTTCAGGGAATGCTGCTAGTTGGACCAGCCTCGATTGTCATTCGACCAAGGGCTTTCTACCAGGCATGCGGTCATATATATGCTCAGATGATATTTGATGAGCAGGCATGGTACAGCAAAAAGGGGGTTTCTACAAGAAAAGATGTATGGGAGAAAGGGCATGTTTCAGCTGCCCTTGATGCTCTTCCTGTCCAGATGTTGTCCGCCAAGTCTATATTACTGAATGTCACGCTCCATGTTCCCTCTCCAAGCATTTCCAAATTGTGTCCATCTATGGGAAGCTTTTAAGTCCGTAACACACGTGGTCCCCTGCCCTCCGCATCCAGATATTTCGTGCTTTTTTTGTTGCTCCTCTCTTCTGCATTCGCAGATTAAGATGGAGAACATGCACAACAAGAGTCTTTCCAGCCGCTCCTCAAAGAACATCATGCCAAGGTGGCACGTAGCAAGGTCACGTGAAATCCATGCTTTCACTCATTGCTCATCAAAGTGGTGTAGCTCTGCAGGTAACCAGTGTACGGTCAAGGGGACCACCGTCTTGGGGCTTACCATCCTCGAGTCTGTGTGTACCTGTCCGGCCCCATCCGTAGTCAGCCACATCGTCTACGTAGACTTCTGCTACGTGCCAGGTACATGGGTTAAGGGTTGTTTCTTTTCTCTGACTCCTCCACCTTCTTCCTTCAAACTCGATTCTGTGGTCAATAGTGTTTTGAACCCGACGTGGACGAAAGGCTAGGTACATGTTGACCAAACACGGTTAGAACCACTTGAGCCTGGTTTTCTTGTGTCTACATTCTGGAACATGGATTCGTGTGTTGTGCTTGTGAGCTGCATGTTGGCGCCATTTGATTTTCATTAACCGTGCTCTAAAAGACGGTTTGTCCCAATCAAGAGGAATTGTGCTTCCATCAAAAGGTATTTGCTCCAATCAAAACGGGTTTTTGCTCCAGTTAATCAGGATGAGAAGACTCTAGACAGTCTCTAGTTGAAGGGTACAGTTACAGCTTACCTAACTTTGCAATGCAGGGACTGATCGATGCAATCCCAACCCATGCAAGAACGGAGGCACGTGTGAGGCAGTCACAGACTTCAATGGTGTCAAAGGTGCCTTCGTTTGCACCTGCCCTCCCACTCTCGAGGGGACCACTTGCGAACTCCCGTAAGTTTGATGGCTGTGTGAGTGTGGGAGTCCAAAACCATATGGGAAGATGACAGTTGCTTAACCTGGTCGACCGCTGGCAGCTTGCAGTGTCACTCGTCTTCCTCTCACAGGATGAAACTTTCCTGACCAAGATGCATCAACTTCTGCTCCGAGCTGGGTTGCCTAAGTAGGACACATCGGTCCACCCTCACTTGACACAATCATTTGTCACCGTTCTTCTCACTCAACAGTGGCCAAGTCCGATTGGACCGTCTTGGTTTATGTCCCCTTGTACTTCACTAGGAAGCTAAAACGAAACGCGATGTGCTGTTTGTGCTCACAGGACGCTATCGTGTCCAAAACCGACTGAGTAAGGTTCCCTATGTCAGCGTCAACCGGAATGCATTCTTTTGACTGCACGTATGACCACTCCTTCAACCAAAGAACATGCCGACTCAAAGCCCAAATAGAGGTCAACAAGGGTTCATTGTAACGGCCGCTCTCGTTGTTTTTGTGTACAGATCCAGACAGCCAAGACCCATCCCAATTGTCAGAAATGGAACTCGCCCGCCCACCCCACCGCCTACCCCGCCTCCCAGCCCCGCTCCTACCGTTGCCATCATCGGTATGAGAAAGCTCATTGTTTTGTTTACTTTACTTTTGGGTAGCGATCTGCTGCGGACTTTCTTGGACTGTCCTCAGTTGCTTGCACGAGGAGGGCACGAGGTTCTTGTCTTTCTTAGATGCTCCGCTGCTTGCTGTTGGAGCGCGTGCAGTTGAAAGCAGTTCAGAACACCGGAGAAAACGTTGCCCTCGTACCTTGTCACCGTACTATAAATGATAGCCCCGTTTAAGATCGTTGTGAGGCCACTTCGATCTTAAACGTACTCAGGTTTTCAGGCTATTTTGATCTTAAACGTTGTGTCAGACCATTTTGATCTTAAAAGCTGAATTTCTGAGATCAAAACGGCCTCAGCAAACGATCTTAAACCGGGTATTGATTTCTTCATAAGAACTACTCTGGCGCGCTTTTTGCGCTTGACCAATCCTGGAGTTGGCAGCTTTGCTTTCCGGATTCTTACACGTTGGCATTGGGATCGGTATAGCACAGCACGAACCTTCCTACACTAAGGGGAAAGTACCTACCATTTATTCAGCCCTAATTTCGAGGGATTTAGAACGCTGACTAGCTTTCCAAGTTATCATGGTGGTTATCTGCTTGGCTGCCCTTCAAACAGGCACAAATTGTCCAAACCGGGCTCTTCTTGCTCACAGGGGACCAAGGCGTGTGCGGCAAACCGGGGGAGCCGTTTGGCTTCCCGGTGAGATGCTACTTCAACAGCGATCCGCAGGTCAGTAGAGTTTTTTCTCGGGTCCCGGCGTTCTGTAACTCGTCTATCTTCTGTGGGAATGTCTTTGGTTTACATGCGTCGCAACCCAGTTAATTTCTGCAGGCTTTTTGGGGTTGAGAATTTGAGCCAGTCAAACCACGGGAGCTATTGTTCTGCTGATCTAGAATCAGGCTACCTTCGAAACAAGGGGTGAAGTCAGTGAGCCAGTCACTAAGACTCTTGCGTCTACGCTTCTTGATTTGGATGTGCTGGATTAAGTTCGTAGCAAATTTCAGTCAAAATCCATTTGAAAGACTCAGAATAACCACCTGCAGGGCCGGTACGTCTGCTGCGATAACCAAGGCTGCAACGGATTCAACGCCGATAACCTCACCCCACGCTGCAAGAACTATGGACACGTGCCTTTCAACTTCGGCTTACCAGTTCCTACCATTGGCGACCAAGGTAAAGATTCAAGTTGGTTTGGCCAGGAATCAATCCTGCAAGTGGTTCCAGTGTGTTTGTTGTATGGCTCTATGTTTCTGCACCTTTGAACTCCTGATCAGCATTTCGGGGTTCGGGGCCGTTTTAGATACTGCACCATTTCAGTCAAGTTTCTGCTGCCTCTTGAAGTAGTACTTTCGCCTACAGAGCTGTTGGCTGAACTTTCACGTGCGCAAGAAGGCTAGAAGTATCAGGGCGGGCTTGTGACTGTGAGAGTAGAGACCGACTGATTTCATCAGGGGCACTAGAATCGCCACCAACAGTGAACACATCGTCCAACTAGAACCGCGAGCTTTTGTAGCCTGACTGGGCCGCTTTGCGTTTGAAACCAAGCCAAGCTGGAACTTGTATTCGTAGGTCACTGCCGTTTGACTTTCTGTTTGCATCCCTTTCAGCGACCTCGAACACCTCTGACACCACCTGCGAAGAGGCCCGAAAGGACCCTCTGCTGGTGGAGTTCAGGTTGCTCTAAAGTCTCTCACACATACGAGAACTTTGTCTGGATAGCCTTCAACTAGCTTTTCCTGTCCTGAATAGTCCTTTCAAATGAAACAACGGAGATCAGAACTCGCATCGGTGCTTGATTTGATAAGTTCTGTGAAGAATTGAACTGGAGACCCATGATTGCATACTTACTTTACCGCTGCTGCCGCCCCCCGTGCCGCTCGGAGGAGAGGAGATCCCAGGGGAACCCCTCGGCTTCCGGGACAAGTCTCTGCTTAGGGTTATTTGCAGCCCCTACCATTTGATGGAATATTACGTCCTCCGGATCCAGGACTAGAAAGTCCTCACCCGTCTGAATCAAACCCGCTTTTCCCGCAGGCCTTTGCGGTAAGCCAGGCTCAGCCGTCGATTTCCCCAATCGGTGCTGGTTCAACACCGACCCCCTCCAGCGATACGTCTGCTGCGACGTTCACGGGTGCAACGGGTTCAACGATGATAACCTGATTCCGCGCTGCAGAAATGCCGGCTATGTGCCCTCAAACTTCGGCCGCCCGAACTAGGGTAAGCAGCTGAAACCCTGTTTTGGTTTCAGAGAACTCAGGGATAAGTCTCATGTTCAAAGTGGGTCCGACAAGGGTTTGTTTTCTTCTCCGTCGCCCAGTGGACGGACTCGTCAGTGCATCGGTAACTCGGCGGGCAACGCTGTGCTCAGGGCCAGAACAACTGAGCGTATGAAGGCGTTAGCCCTTGACTGGATCACCAAAGAAGTTTTCGAAGTTCACGGTCTCCGGTCAAATTGCTTGTACATTCCGGCATTTCAAAAGGCACCTTTTACATTTTGAAATGTTTGCTGCTCATCATATAACTGCTTTCGCTTCGTCGTTGGCTGCGGATTGCTCAACGACACTCGACGAAGAAAACTATGAGATTGACAAAACTTGGTGCAACTCTGAGGTCACTCAATTGGAAGTTCTCTTGATTCCGGCATCCGTTCCAACCCTCTCTTGACCGGCCAGTACCGTTTTACTCGCATGCAGGAGTGTGCGGCTCAGGAGCCGCGCCGCGGCCGCCTTCTACTAGCAATATTCGGAGCCGGGCTTTTTACAAAGAGCCGCCGGTAGGGAGCATGTCTACTGAGTGTCTTTGCCAAGTCTCATATAGGGTTTGTCTCTTGACCATTCTTTATATGCGGACTAGGTACCCACTAGCTAGCCGATCCAGGTTTTGCCCGCACGGTAGATCGACACCCAACGACAACGATTTTGATCACTAATCGAGCAGTTTATAGAGCGGGCCACTGTCAGTGCAGGGAAACTAGACTGCCGCCCTCAGTTGTCTGTCCAATGAGTAATCAGCGACTTGTAGATGCCGGTTTCGTTTGTGAAAGAAAAGAGCAATAGTTTGTATCGGAAAGTAGGACAGGTACCGGTGAGAGTGTTTGGACCAGAACGTCGCGTCACGTGGCACCGCTTTGCTTCCTCGCACACTGCAACGACAGTCGTCATCCATGTACCATCCTCTTTGCTTTGCGTTTTTGTACGGTAGTCAAAATTTTGTCTGTCGTCCTGGCTTCCAATTACTGACTTGAAAAGCCGGATTCTGATCGACACAATACGAGAATCTGACTGGCTTCACGAAAAACAGGTGCGTAGCGCATGAGGGCGGGAGGGGGGGGAAGTTTGGAATAAGGTCGCTTCTTAGAACGCTTGCAGAGCGGATTAATTCCTAGGGCGCTTTCAGAGAGCAAATGCTCGGAATGAAAGCATTCTCTACTCATTCATCATGTTTATAGCTACTTTTACTCACTTCGATCTGCTTTTTCTCACTTCGAGCTGATGATGTCAATGTCAATCATGCTCAATGCGGAGGCTTGCGCTTATTGATTATGATCGACAAATCTGGCATGTCGCTTCTCGAAATCCACAACACTCCCAATTATAGCTTTACTAGTATATCAATGAAATGTTTGAGAAATGGAGAGCTCTTTTTTGGTGTAATTGGGAGCATGCAGCTTTGAATGCATTGACGATGCACAATACGGAATCTTCATATCTCATTTAAGCACCTCTAAAAGCATTCGTCACCAATACTCAAAATATAAAAGCTCCATTTCTCAAACGTCCGGTCATGTATCTCTATATTCGATCAAGGGGGAACAAAAAAAGACCGCAGTGAAGATCAATGTGCTGTTACAATTACTTAGGGTCTCAAAACCAATTTTGGAAGATTGGAAACGTCATTTTTCATGCTAGGATTTTCCCTCCGCCATATCACCTCTTCTTTCCCGCTTCCTTCCTTCCTAACACTACAATTAGCATACCAGATTAAAGTACAGTTTGCGAGCAATGTTGGCAACTTTGAAGGCACCTAAGCCAGAGACTGAGCCCAAACGGTTGCATCAACGAAAGGGCTTTGCTAGCTAACTTTACATGAACCATCGAACCATCGCTAACTGCCCTTGGCCCTTGCAGCCGGGGCTGCTTCGGAACGTTCGCCGTGAATCAGCAACTCGCTGTCTTCCGCAACGACTTTGCATCTATGCACAACGCCCCCGTCTGCGAGAAAGGACACGACGTGAGCAGCAGCCAAAGAAGTGGGGCGAAGGTAACGTCAGCCGAAAGGGGGAGCAACGTCAGCAGCGAAACCCATTGGAAGGCGGTCTTACGAAGCTTCGAAAGATAAGTTGCACTAGAGTTCGGTAGATAGCGCAAAGGCCGCTCCCAAAAACAGGGGTTATGGACGAATTCCTCACGTGACGCAAACCCAAACTCAGCAGTTTTAAACCTGAATCTGACAATCTTTTCACACAGAACGTCCTCACTCTTTACCACCCCTGCGTCCCACTATAATAAAAATACAACCAAACGACTATTTCTCATTTTAATGGAAGCAAGCAAAGTGCCTGCCACCGGCAGAGAATTCATTTTTAAAACCAGGTGAAGAATATGACCGCCCCCTTGATCTCGACGGCCCAGTTTTTGCATCGCCACTGCAGCACGTTCGACGGAATGTTGCACGTTTGGGACAACAATGACTTTCCCTGGGAACAACCCGCGACATAATTGCCCGTACAATAAAAACGAACGCCTCAATCTCAACGCCCTCATTCGTCTGCTTCCACTGCACTCGTTGCACCGAAAACGAAGTCTGACTAGCTTCCACTGCTCACGACTGGCCTCTAACGGGGGGCGTCGTGCGACTCGAAATGCCTCGGCCACAAAATAGCCCGTATGCCCGCATTCGGCACCACGTGATCGGATTCTTGGCGACACGAAGACAGGTTATTCTGCGAACGGGCCGCCGCGAACCGACGTGGTTAGACGCCCCTTTTAAGCGAACCTCAAACAGCGCCACTCACCGTCGATTCCCTCGTTCGACTGGATCCACTGCAGGCCCGCCCGACTCGACACGCCTTGCACTCTGACCGGATCGACATCGCTTTGCTTGCCCAGCAGCTTCAGCCAGCCCGTCGCAACTAGAGCGAAGTCGCTCTGGTTCGTGTGCTTCGTGCCCCGGATCGTCAGCAGCTCGATCGCGCCCCCGGCTTTCCGTTTCGCGGCCGTGAAGCGCTCCCGGCACGCGCGCAGGTTCGCCCACTCGAACGCTTCGGAGTGGACGGAGATGACCGGGGCCTTCCCGGCGGCGCGGCGGTACTCCTCCTGCGTACCCACAATAAAAAGCGGGTTAGGACAGGGTTAGGACAGGGTTAGGCAAGGGTAAGCAAGAGTTAGGCAAGGGTGAGAGCACACTCAAGGGATGGGTAGGGCATGATCCAGGGCGGCTTGCGGGCACCTCAAAGGTGGGTGTGGAATGATTAGCGGATGAGTTCCCCCCATATTTCGAAACTTGGAGTGAGGACACGGAGCCAAACCTGGCCACCAAAAAAGCATTCCTGTGAACCAACGGAGATTCATGCTAGAGCAGAGGGGATAGGGGCGGTTCAACACATGAACGGGCCTGACGGAGTGATAACGCCTGATCAGCCTACAGCTTTCCAAAAAAACGAAGAGTGGAGCGCTTCCGGCCGCACAAAGAATTCCTGAAAGGAAACGTTGAAAGGGGTTCGAACCGGCTAGAGGCCAGAGTGTTCTGTCTCAAAAGGAGTACTGAGAACACAGAGTTTGACAGCGACTCTGGAACACCGAAATGAATCTAATAAATCTGCCAAGCTCGAACACAATGCGCCATCCTAGCGCTCGGTCTTGGGGGGCAACCAAGTGACAGTGGGGAATTTTAACAGTGACGTTGAGGTGCTGCGGCCACATTATCCCAGTTTTTGTGTTGCCCGGGGTTTCCCTGCGACAACCGTCCAGGAATCACCAATAATGTGCGACGAACCAGAAGCGACCAATCAACGGTATTTTGACAAATCCAGTCAGCGGGGACTGTATAGCGGACTAGCCGTGCATGTGTGCAGAAGAAAAGACTCAAACGCCGGTAAAATAAAATTGGCGAAGATTACTCAATTACCGAAAACTGCTCCCAACAGCAGTCCAGCGCGGCGCACGCTGCGAGAGCCCTGATCCGTCTGTCCTTTGATTTCACTCCAAACTCTATCTGCGCAGAAGCCGAACGCATCGCAGCAAACCCACCTCTCCAAACGGCTCCCACCAGCAATCCAGCGCCACGCACGCCTTGGAACGTGCTTCTTCTTTGACCATTTTCTCGTTTAATATTTCTAAGCAGTTTCTTCAGGTGACGGATTGAAGCAGAGTCAAACACATCGAACCAAACCCACCTCCCCAAACGGCTCCCACCAACAATCCAGCGCCACGCACGCCTTGAAGCGGCTATCGAGCCCGCACGTCGTGACCGCCGTCGCCGCTCCGAATGAATGCCCCGTCGCCGAAACACGTGAGAGATCCAGCTTGCCCTTGAACCATGCGGGGTCGAAAGTGGTCGTTCCGGCAACGTTATCGGCCAGGGAAACAAGCCCACTGTCGAGAGCTGTTGCGAGATCGAGTGTGGCGCGAACCTCTGCAACGCGCTGCGAGGAGACGAGATAACAATCAGAAAGAACGCCTGGAGAATGCATCGAAAGAAACCGTACGAAAATGAGACCATCTGACGTGCTTTGCAAAAGGGGAGCTAAGCTTCTGAGGTGGAAAACTGAGATTGGTTGGCTAGTAAGCTGTATCAATGGACAAGTCAAATCACAGCAAAGGGTCGCAAAAATCATCGCCAGACTCGTCAACCGAGTGCAGACTGACTCCGATTGAGCAACAAGGATTCTATCCGGATGTCACTGTCGGCCTTCAGCAGCGGTGCTACCACCGGTTCAGGACACACCGTTTTGTCGGGACAAACAACTGGGGCGCGTGCTTACGTGCTAACAGCTGTCGGTGGCGCATTTGCACAGCTTACCTGTGGCTGACTGATAAAACAAATCCTTACAATCAACTGTCGGGGCGTGGGCTTACGTGCAAGAACTGCGGGTGGCGCAACTCCATAGCTTATTTGCCAAAGCCGAGGCGCTTTGTAAGAATAGATCTTGTCACTTGCCGATAAGACTTAATCATTACGAACAGATGAACGGAACAGGGGCTTACATGCAAGAGCTGCCGGTGGCGCACTTCCATAGCGTCCTTGCCATAGCCGAGGTGTGTGAGGAACTGGTACTTGTGGGTAATACGTCCTTCGGCGTCCACCTCAGCGTAACGAGATGCGCTGGCGGTGCCGTCGCGGTGCTCCAGAGAAATGACAACTAGAAGAAGGGAGAAATATGGGTCAAATTCATGAAAGTGATGGTTTTAGAATATCGCCCCTTCGCGTCCACCTCAGCGTGATAAGACATGCAGGCCCGGTGCTCCAGAGAAATGACAACTAGGGGAGGTAAACTATGGGTTAACGCTGAAAGCGAAATTTGTGAAGTATCCGCCCCTTCGCATCCTCCTCAGCGTGACCTCATCGTGACCTCAGCCCCGAAAGCTTGTGAATGTGGCTGTCGCTTCGAACCTCAACCCGAAACTCAGGTGAACGAGGTCGCAAAGGTTTGGGGCTGCCCTCGTGCGCCAGGTTCTATCCGACCTGTCTTCGAATCTGTGGGATTTGTGGGCTCCGCTTGGAACTTTCAATAAACAGAGACAATTAAGGAGGAACATGAGGAGAAAAAGAGGAGAAAGGTTTGAAGGAGAAGCCATGGCAGCATGGATTCAAGACCCCTCGTTTGGAAAGGGGTACCATAGCTACCCAAAGCCTGAGGCAGCGAAAAGGCCCACAAAAACGCACTGACGATACCACTGAAACTTTCGAATGGAAGTTGGTCGATAAAATGAAAGATGGTCTAAGTGAGTGTCTCACCATAGCCGTACGACGCCAAGTCGCAGCAGAAGGCGCTATACGTGGTCCTCATTGCGAAGAGGCCGTGCGAGAAGATGACCACCGGAAACTTTCCCTTCGCACTCTTGTCCTCTGACGCAGGCTGCAGACCAGCATACGCTGGAAGGGAGATCCCATATGCATACAGGTGGAAGATTGCTGCACAGAGAAGACGGAGCGGGGTTTGGGTTGACTTTTTCATTGGGCAAAAAGGTTGTGGAAGGGTGTCAGAAGGTTCACTGAAACTGGACATGAAGAAGTGTTGTGAGTTTGAACAAGGTAGTAATGTGTCTTCTGATTGAGTAGATGCGGTGGTAATATCTGACCAGCTCTTGCACTTGGAAGAAGCAGTGGAAGTAAGCCATTTAGGATGTGCAGAAGCCCTGAAAGGGAAGAAGATCTTGAAGAGGGAGCACCTTCGAAACGACAGCAGAATACAAGGCAGAAGATAGACACTCGACGGTTCCGACCAACTTTCGCGACGATAGTCCCCAGAAAGAACCAAGTCCAAGCATACAAACTTCCAACTTGAGGGAAATGAAGGTTTGAAAGTTGCATGCAACAAGTATGGCACTCTCATGCCAGTTCAATCTAAATCTCTCTCCTTTGTTGCAAATAGATGATTTCCAGAACTTACCGCCAGCCATGTACATCAGTGTCCTTTTCACAAACGTCTTCTGCCACAAAACGACGTTCGCAAACCCCAGCGCGTACATGAACCCAGGCAGCCACCGCCTAAGGAACCACGAACCATTGGCCTTCTCCTGTGTCGGATACCAGAATCTGACCAGCGGGGGGGGGATGCTCTCCCCCTTTTCCGCAGGCCCTTTCTGCTCCCCCGGAACAGACGCCAACTTCTCCCCTGCCGGTCGTGCCTTCCCCTCGGATGCGCGAACGCTCCGCTGATGAGATTCGGACTCGTGCCTCATCTGGTCCTCCTCAAAACTCGTCTGACTCAGCAACGTCCGAACGGGCGACCGGCCTTTGTCAGCGTTTGCTTCAAGATCTTGGTCAGGGCTGGGCGACCGGTCGGACCCCCCCTCCTGAATATCAACGTACTCCTGCCCAACATCACCCTCGTGGGGCACGAATACGTAGTCGCTCTCAACAGGCACCTCGCGCTTGGGCAGCTTGGCCCCTGGTCGCAGCTCAAAGTCGGCAAAAGCAACCTTGTAAGGCCCCAGCAGGGGTGGGAAACCCATCTTGCAGGGCTTTCAAGCACCAGCCTCAGGAGAACGTTCACTACAAATTCGTGTAAAACTGAGATCAATTGCACCGAGTTAGAGAATGACCGAATCCACAGGATATATCAGAAGGCAGCTCAGGTAAGCTAGCTTGTAGTTGCGCTGGGGCGACTCCCCAGGAGTTGAGCTGAGCCGGTGAAGCAGAATTGCGTCCCTGCAAAAAGACACCATACAAGAAAGAATCAAAGGGAGGTTTCGAGAGCTTCCTCCAGCTGGGCTTCTTCAATTCCAGGGACACGTGGCAGTGTGTGAACAGCAAGAAACCTGAGCCTCAACTTTTAGGGTTGTGCAGATCATGCCCCTTTATTTTAGGGTTTTGCCAGGCGCTTTGATTTGTGGCGGGAACACGCTGTGTAGCATTCAAGCTTGTATACTCGATTCGGATCACTCCTGAATATCTTGATCAAAGTCGCCCTCTTCGAAGGCATCAGCGCCTCTGCTCATCATTCGGCAGCAATGGAGCTGCCAGTCATCGACCTGGCTCCTTACTTGTCCTCCCAGGCTGCGAACGAAGATTCCGCTGACAGCTTGTCTGAGACTGACGCTCTGAAGAGACTGTGCAAGCATGTTGCTGATTGCTTGAAAGAGGCGGGGGCCCTTGTCGTGCGGGACCCACGGTGTTCGACGGAGGACAACGACAGGTTTCTAGACATGATGGAGACGTACTTTGGGAAGCCCGATGAGTTCAAGAGGCAGCAGGCGCGGCCTGACCTACACTACCAGGTAAGGCGGCGCGCTCGTTGCGGGATCATGGCGAATGTGGCTTTGAAAGCCTGACTCCGTCAGTAACAGCGATGCTTAGGTGTACTTTTGGCTTTCCCCGTCATGAGATGAAAGCCAGGAAGGGTGCACACCGTGCGGCGTGCGTCGAACCAGCTTCCTCAGATTCCTAAGTACTTCCGTGGAATTGTGAGGCTCTTTCCAAAGGTTGCAAAGTCCTCCATAGTCACTCAGTCACTGGTTTGCATGGACAAATACTGTGTGAACCTGCATGCAAATATATTCGCAGATATTTGCCCAAAAGCCCTGATTGTCAGCATTCTGTTGCACGATCAAGCAAACCCAGTCCAATTCTTTCCTGTACGAACCTTGCATATTGGTTATCTCTGCTTCAACTCAGCGTCTTTAGCCCGGCTGACTTAGATGCCAGTTCTTTAAAGCTGAAGCCTCAGAACGTTCGCTTTTCAGGTGGGGGTCACGCCAGAGGGTGTGGAGCTCCCCCGGAGTGCAGTAGATTCTTCAGTGTGCGCCGATGTGAACGGCCTTTCGGAAGAGAATCGACCGCAGCTGCCAACGGGTCCTGATCCAAAGTGGCGGTACATGTGGAGGGTTGGGCCCCGACCAGGGAAGACGAGATTTCAGGTGCGGTCGATTGCTCTTGGACTTGCACGTCTGAAACATACTCTAATTCAATACTGAGACCTACTCTGGTCCAAAAAATGCATCAGTTTTCAGAGGAGGTCCACATAAATCTGTTCATACTTGACCAAAATAGATGTGGCGTTGACTTTCGATGCAGGGGTGGAGTTTATTGATCAAGGTTCCAATGTTTGATTACGGCTGGGCCCCAGTCCAACCGATTGAAGAGGAAATCATTTCGTCAGTGTCCCCACGTTTCAGAGCTTTCTCACAATTGGCGCCTCATCTTTGAAGGCTTGAAGGATCCGTTCCTTACTCTAGCGACACTTCTCCTTGTGCCTTGCAGGAGCTGAATGCGGAACCAGTGATCCCGCCCGGATTCCCAGAGTGGGCCGACGTGATGAACACCTGGGGGAGGAAGATGATTGCTGCAGTCGAGGTGAGATACTGTCTGAGGTCATCAACTCTGATTGGGCCCGGCTAAGCTTGGCAATGATCGGACAAGAACAACTGCTCTCATTGACAAAAGTGCGGCGGGGTGCAGTTTCCGACTTGACATTGATTGACATGCATCAATTCGGAAGCAGTTCACAGAAAGGTTCAGGCAAAGATATTGCGAGTCAGATCAGACAGTTCCTGGATTGCCAACAGTAGTTTTCAACCATCAAAGAGTGTCCGGTTGATACGGAGTGTTTCCCTGATTGTTCGTACCATGTTCGCAGGTCGTTGCAGAGATGTTAGCCATAGGCTTTGGCTTGGAAAGGGACGCCATCACGAACTTGATGCACCAGGTGAGTCCTATGAAGAGTTTGTAATTGAGCGTACAGGATACGTAAACGGTGCGCGAGAAGGGTCCCTGTTTCTGCCGTGAGCTCATCTGCTGTCGTCCCAAGTAGATGGGACGGTTTAACTCGATCTTTTGAGTTACAAAGAAGCACTTTCTTGGTACATTAGAGGGGTACGTTTGTGCATTTCCATCGGAGTCAACAAACGGAACCAACTGACGGCTCCGCAATCCAAGTCAACAAGGTCTGAGTGCTTTTGAAAAGCTCGTTTGTATTTCTTCGTTTGCAGGGGCCCCATTTGCTGGCCCCAACCGGCAGTGACCTCTCACGGTATGGAAAGGGCACCGTTTTCGCGGGTTATCACTACGACTTGAACGTGATGACCATTCACGGGAAGAGCCGGTTCCCGGGCCTCTTCATCTGGTTACGGGACGGGACGCGGGTGCCTGTCAAGGTACCTGATGGGTGCTTGTTGCTACAAGCAGGCAAGCAGGTAATCTTCAAACCCAAACCCAAATTAGGTCCTGTGAGATCTCTCTCTTTCTTAGCCCGGCTCAGACTCGTCAAAACGTAACGGATCGTTTTGTCCGTTGTCTGTCTCGTGCAAGCCCATCTGTCTCAATTTCTGGGGACACGGTTCGGAATGATTCAAACATCAGGATCCTGCAATCCCTTCTTGTTGTTAGTGGACTTGGATACGTAGGGCTCTGCTGGCCCCCGGATCAGCACCCGAATTTTTTGCGACTCGGGAATTGCTGAAAGGAGTGTTCAAGCATTCGCATATTCTTGTCAGACTTCGGCCTTGCCTTCTCGATCGACCATTTGTGCAGCTGAATCATTCTTCCAACACTAGAACAGATGGCGCACTATGTGCACGACTCCAGATTGAATAAGCTCGAACGGCTTCGAACTAGCAGTCTTGACAGGAAAGGGGACACTCAAGATAAATTAGAAAGAGAGCCCTTGACGAACGTGAGAAATGTGCACTAGAGAGATGGCGAAAACTGTAACTCGAACAGAAGGATGAACGGTGATAACGACTGGTCTTCTGCTCCCAAATAGAGCCGCTGCGGAAAGTTTCCTTATTGTTGACTCCGCGGAAACAGTGGGCTACGAGTGCACAAACATTCGAACGGTGAGAAGGAGGTTGCGGGGGCGAATGAATCTCGAAACTAAGTCTGCGGGGACGATCGAACGGTTAGCTTCAAATGACGCCCGCTTCTGCAGTTGGAGTGGTTAACCGGGGGCGAGTGCAAAGCGGGGATGCACGAGGTTGCAGTATCGGAGCAAACGCTGCAAGCGGTCGAGCGGGCGCGGAGGGAAGGGCGCAGCCTGTGGCGGGTTTCTTCGACGGTGAGCGTGCGGATCCACCTTGTCTCTTTTCTTTTTCGTTCTATTTCCTTCCATCGGAAACTGGTCTTGCCCTTGTGATCTTCTTGACTACACTGCTAGTTGGTCCCTGAAAGCAACCGGTTGTTAGACAAAATCAAACCTCGTCGAAAACTCGTCAGTCAATCCGTTGGATCCTCTTTCAGTACGGGCTTCCGTCTTGAACCTTGTCTTATCAGCCACACCAAAGATGTGGGTTGCCTGGAGAAGGCAGGATAGTTGTGGACTTCATTTTCCACCCTTAGAAGCGGGTTTGAGTCTACGAATCTTTGTCTGAACCCCCTCTGCAATTGAGTAGTTATCTGGAATTCCACCGTTCATTCGCTTAACGCTTAAGTGGGCGGCTTTTGGAGCTTCATGTCATTCTTCACGCGGTCAAATCAAACAAAGAAAAGAAAGGTCTGCATCCGGACTCACCATTCCTCGCAGGTTTTTGGACACATTGCGTCCGACGCCAATTTGCAGCCGCTCGGACACTTCGCGGACAGCCCGACCGCCCATTTGTACCCGCCCATCGCCGCGGGGGAGTTCGTCGAGGCGGAGCTGTCCGCCATCAATCTGAAGCGCCAGCGGGTGCAGGTAAGACATGACAAACTAAGCACAACTAGGAAGCTTAAGGGATAGTATGGTTGCCAGTCTGAGATGGGATGGGTTATTCTGAGAGTTCAAGGCGGGTAGAGGTGCGCAGCAGGTGACTTCATGTGTTAGGGTTCTAGCGTGAAGTGTTGAGGTTTATTACTATTGCTTACTTGTCGGAAATGGTCACGTCATGGTGCAGGTACAGCCGGGAACGACAGACCAGGCTGCCGTAATCATTGACGAGGATACTTAAGCCAATGGATGTTGTGGTTCCCGAGTCGCGAAGTCAGACCGAGCGGCCTTGACCATAACGAAGAACGCTGCGCTAATACTGGTCTGATCGGAAGTCAAGGTGATGGTTTGTCGGCCTGACTGCTGCTGGCGAGGGTTCTGCCGGGGGTGATTGACTATTGTCGGTCGATGGCTATCAACGCAATAGCAAGAGGGACCGAGACGTAAGCTTGGTTGACCCCATCGTGTTGAGGAACTTTTGGCTGCTGCACCATAATATGCGCCCCCCCCCTATCAAGAAAAAGATAGAAGCGGTACATTAGGAGTTGGGCGGGACGGAATGTGGGTCAAAGGGACAACCTCCGTGGTTGATGTACATAATTCTGGTAATCTATACGGGTTCATCCATGGAAATGCACCTCCGCTTTGAAGTCATTGTGTGCTTGGACCTTAAGTAGTCACCGGAAGGCGAATTCGATGCTCAATGAGCACTGTGCGGAGATGTTGCCTTCATCATGCGTGCAGGCCGCGCAAAGAAGAAGTTCCTTTTGTGGTGGCCGACCTGGTGAGCCGCACAAGCACTAAATTTTATCATCACGGTGATGGTTTCGAATTGATATGTGCATGTTATTGAATGCGGGGTGGCGGGGGTGGCGGGCCCGGGCGCCGCGCAGATTTTCATATAGAAGCACACGTGATGACATATAGTTCAATTCTGTCAAGCAAATTGCCGCATGTCTCGCTCACATGCATGGGCCTTACATAGACTTCCTCGATTGCATACATGGCCGGTATGCATGATGTACGAGTAATTTCAAACCTCTATAGCTATACGGCTTATAAACCGCGAAGTTACCTCGTGTAAGTATACTACATTAGTGGCCACGTACCGTCACCTAGTATATTGCAACATGGCTATGGTACTAAGATGGAAACCGACGATAATTGGAATCGCACATATGTGAATCCTGTATTCCATCTTCCGAAGTAATGGCACTCGCCTAGCTGCAGTCAATATGCCGTCTGGGCTCAAGGCGTTTCATAATCTGGCGCAGCTGCACGCAAGGGGCTACCGTATCCTTACAAAGAATGGCCAGCTAGCTCAATTTGGTACATGGTAAATCAACCGGCGTTTGGTCTGCATACGACTACCTACTATCTACTATACAGCTTGTGTCTCGATCTGTCGGTCAGCTAGAAGCATGGTGTCGCAATGCATTGAAACGTCTTCGAGTAGCTGACGAATGCGTCAAGATCATAGCTGTTTCAACGAGTCGAGCGTCCGTTTGAAGAACCCGGCCAAGCCCGAGCTGCTCGACTGTTCCCTCGAATTACCAAAGTGCTCCGTCTCTACGTGTCGGATCAGCGTCACTGGGTCCGGAAACGCCCGCTGGCACTTCGGACAAATGTCAGGCCCCGCAGGTTGCCCCGACTGACTATGTACCGCTTCCGAATGAGCAATAAGTTCGTTCACATTGTCACACCGGAAATGGCAAACCGGACATTCTTCGGCCCCCGTGCTTCCGTTACTACTCCGTTCAGCGACCCCGGCTCCTTGCATCCTCCGGAAAGCACTACCCTGAACCGTATTCTGAGGGGAGCTGGGTATCGCAGCTGCTTGTTTTGGCGGTACGCGTTTTGGGTTTGCAGCCGGTTTAGAGTTCGAACCCGATTTTGAGGAGTTGGGTTTGGAGGAAGAAGCTGCGGAGGCAGCAGCCGACGTGCCGAACGTGTTGTTGAAGCTCTGCAGGAACTTCTTTCCGTATGCGGTGGCCGTTTTGGCGGCGGTGGGCTTTCCGGGGCAGAGGTGCTCGGGGCCAAAGCGGTGCCTTAGACAGACCACTTGTTGGCACTCCTTGCATTGCACCTGGCAAGGAAATCATGAGCGCTATCGGATCTTGGAAGAGATGGACAGAACTCCTCAGAGGCGTCATAATGAGGACGATTCGGAGGCGTCACGGACGATCTGTATGAACGAGCTTCTATTCCCGACATGAGCATAACAGCCCACCAGATAAGCACAGCGGGAATACTGGGAGGGAAATACGGGGCTCGACTCAGTGAGTATGGATTAGAGATTAGCTCAGATTGCCGTGGTCTGCAGTTAGATGAAGATGTCACGATCCCATCCTATGCAGACAGCAGGCACGTTGTCCAGACTCTTCTTCCCCTTGCTTATCCACTGCAATCCAAAGGGAAGTTTTCGAGCAGCCACCGAGTGCCGATGCTTTTAAAGCCCTACCTATATTCATCAGCTCAATCGCTGACAGGGGCTCTGGTAATTGACTCAGGTTTAAGTAGTGTGGGTCTCGTTATGTTACGAGGTCTTCTTGCCTGTGCCCAACTTCTCGAAGTCGTTAGAAGGGACTCTAATTAAAAGCTCCGCCCCTATCACATTCTTCGCTCGGAATGCAACCCGCGACTCGTTTCAGTCCCACTTTTGATCCTTATCGGATCCAAAAAAGAGTTTGCACCCATTCATCGCTACAGAGCAGATGACCGGACACTGTATATATCCATCGTCCGGCTTCAAGGAGATGCCTATCCAGAATAAGCATCCTAGGGCCCAAATCCCGATTTCGATGTCCCCTTCCACCTGCTCTCCAACCTATCAAAGGCTCACCTTGTTCGAAAACGTGAGCTGCTCCCTGCACCCCACCACCGGACACCGCGGCTTCCGTTTCGCCTTCGCGTAGTTCGCAGGATCGCATCCAGCGCTCGAAGCGTGCCGGTCCCACGTCACATTTGAATCTTCACCGGGAATGATCCGGACCGCCTTCGCGCAGATTGGACACAAGAGAACGGACGCGTCGCCGGCACCGGCTTTCGGACAGGAGTGGGCTCCGTAGAGGCGGTGTTCCAGGCAGAAGACCTGTTGTGGGGAGTACAGAATTTAGAATTAACATGTTTTGCAAAATCTCTGGATTCCCTTTGTCGGCTTTGCGGGATGGTAGTCTCTGCCAACACGCTGTACTCAGGGGATTCGATGAGAACAAAGAGGATATAGAGTTACTTTGTAGGAAAGTCGTACAGGAAAGTGAGATCTCCAGGCGGCTTGATATAAAGATTAGTTTCAGGACAATAGGACGTTATGGTTATGAACCTGGCTTCTTTCCGACCATTTGGTGGAGCAATCACTTCCGCTGGTGTTATGGTTTGGAGGAACGTTGCTCAGAAGGCGGCAATCAAAACAAACTTTGTAGCATGGAAGACGAGAGAACTTTGTGACTTTCAATTTTGTTGGAGGTTTTCCAAGGGGGTGCAAATAGCTTTCCCTTACTCTCATCATACCTGCTGAAAGGGGTGCAAGAACGACTCCGTAAGTAGAACAAGATTGAGCTTGATACAACCATAGAAAAGCAGAGTCCCGAGCTTCCATATTCCACAGCGCTAGAACTCCTGAAATTCTGGCGCCGTACATGGTTTTGAAATGCCACCACAGAAGCAGTTCTTTGAACAGGTTTGTTCGAGTTGACTGGTGGGTGCGCATGATTGCAATCAAGCTCAGGCAAAAATGCGTGACAAGAATGAAGCAGACAAGCTAGCGTAGTGCTAAAGGAGTGAGGATCAGTCCCAGAGGGAGTTCTCTACCATTTTGAAGGGTAGACCACGAGGGCGTTGGACAGAAAGTTGGACCATGCCTCTTGAGAGAGGAAGGGCGAAACAAGACTAACTGAAGGCCCATCAGAACCCTGAACCCAGGTTATCCCAGCTGACAGCATTCCTCACGAACAACGCTTCAAACCCGAAAAACTACAAATCGGCTCAGCCAACGCAAAAGCAAGGAAGCTGCGGCAACTTCTTAAGTAGCAAGTAACAAATGAGCTGACCTTTGAACATCCGTCGCATTTGAACGGTAGAAAGTCCACCTGCCCGCAGTCGGCCCTTGAGCAATGCTCCCCAAGATCCGGGATCAGAAGGGTGCCCATCACCAACCGAACCAACTATTCCAAGCAGAAGTTGCGGTTTTGGGTTGGTTGTCCAGCGCCTCTACCCTTGGAGCTGCTAGGTGCCTTTAGCTGAGTGCCCAGCTTGGCGATGGCGCTATCTGCCTGCCCACCTGCGTCCCCTCTGCCGCTGCATGCGCCCTGAGCCCTCACCCCAGCTCAATTTCAATCTAGGCATGGGGTCAGTCCCGCGGCTTACACGATAATGATATTCGTTACTGACATCATATGAAAGGCGCGGTAACGATGCCTTCAGTTTTCCTCAACCTAGATGCTAGCGAGGCTTTCCAGCTTCGCCATGCTCCTTTTTGTTGGCACCATTGTAACTGATTGCAATAAAGTTCAGATGCTTGAAGAGGTCCATGGTGGTCGGTCAACATCTGCTTCATCCTTTTATCACATATCAGATCTTCTGCTCTGAAGCTAAAGCTTTTTCAGGAACCAGAAATGTTTCTTGAAATAGAAATGTGACGTGCTGATGTTAGTAAGGCTTGCCTCACCAACAGAATTAGTTCCGTCGCTTATCTCATTCCCATCGTCATCAGATTGCCAAGCAAAGGACGGGCTACAGCTCAAACGAAAGACCGCCACTTTTGCTGAAACTCCATAAATAGAACAACGGTGGTACGATAGAGACGTAAAAAGTTTAGGCATCCATCTTAGGAAGCGCAATGGCATCAAACAAATTTCAGCCCTCCTCAGATGATTCGTCCAGCGATGATGAGGAGGAACGCGCCAGAATGGCGGCCATCCAGTCAGTAGCCATAGAGTCTTCCGCCGTCGTGCAAAGTGCGGCCACATCAAAGAACAAAGCACAGGCCCGGAGAAAAAGGGCGCAGGCTGACGCAGACGGGAGCGATGCGAGTGGGGATGAACAGAATGGGGGGCTGAAGCACTACCAATTGAAGGTGCTGACCAAATGCTAGGACGAAATCCTGCATCTGGAGCTTGATTGCCCTTTCCTCGAGTGTTTTTACAGTGTTCTTCTCTGGACGGAAGGGAGCTGAAGGGCTCAATATCATTGAACTGAGTTGTTCTAATTACTACCGATTGGGCGACGGCTTGAGGTTTTTGACTTCCCCTTTCAAGTAGAACCTCTTCTGCCATTAGCTTGTGCAGGACCGATCGTAGTCCCAGGACTGTCTGTGATCAGTCTAGAATCCACACTCTCCTCGAGGAGTCCTGCCACAAACTTTGGTCAGATTCTGCTCCATCAGACTGGTCAAAGTAGTTAATCTTCTATCAGATATGAGCAACGTGACGGAGTTCCTAGTTTGAGACCTTGAGCGCCCTTCCACAGGCCCAGGATGCTCTGCACGACTTTCTGGACACAACTTTTGGCCGCCTGATCAGCGATGCTGGGGGGACAGCTGTTAGCGAAGACTCCTCTTCTTCTGATGCTGAAGACGAGGACGGTGGTACAACAAATGGGGGGGAGTCGAACAAGGACACTCCAGGCTTTCAGCTCTTTGGTCGACTGCCTAAGCGAAAAGCTCCGACGGAGTCAGGTGAGACTGGGGAACAGCGCTCCTGTCAGGTTCCCAAATTTGGAAACCTTTGGTGTTCTTGAATAGTCGAATTTGGAAGTTCCCTTTGAAATCTCCGCTTCAACTACTCGAAAAGCAGGTGATCCAAGCAAAGTCTTACTTCCAAAAATTGGTTTCAAGATCGCCAAGACTTTGTATGTTGCTTTTCTCTTTTACGTAGTTTCACAAAAGTTTGAGCTGGAAACAAGTTTTACACAATATTGAGTGAATCTTCGTTTTGCTGCACACAAGTATCCGGCATTTACCATGCGCTGTTCATATCATGCACATCCCCAGTCTCAAAAGTGAAGTTGCGGCTAACGGCGAAAGTCTACGCGTTTGATGTTGCTTCTGGGGACCTGGACGGCATCCCTAGATTGACAGTTTTCAAACTGCATGCAACATCGACTACGGAAAGTCAGTTTGACGCCTTTCATAGTTCCCATTTGAAGACACGGGCTTAGTCCAGATGAAAGAAGAGCGGCTGGCCATTCTCTTTTTTGAAAGCCTGCTTTCGGGGGCCACTGAACGATGACATGCTTCTGTTGCGGAAGATGCAAGAAAGAAGGTTCGACTGCAATTACAGCTTCGAAGACAACAGCCCTTAGCCGGGGTTCCCTTGAGCCAACTCACCCATGCAAAGAAACTGAGCGAGACGATAAGCCTCATGTGCTCTTCACAGAGAAACGAGCCGCTGAGAGCAGCCAACGGCGGCAGAAGCGCCATGAAGAAGGACAAGAATTTGACGAAGAAGCTGCGGAGGTAGGTTCCCTGGCCCCTCCACCGACAATTCTAGTCCTTCTTCGACTTGAATTTAACCGTGATCGGTACTTAGACAACTCTGTTCTTGCTGTCCTTCGGTCTCCCTCTTCCGTGCCGTTTCCCGTTCGCCTGCGTCAGTTCAGAGGTTTGGTAGTCGGTCTCGCGATCTGGTAGCATGTACAAGTCTTTCGGAGCCGAGGGTTTGAAGAGCGGACGTGCGGGTTGGGCAGGACAGGGTGATCGACCCCTCGTTTTCTGAGTCTTACCCTTTCCCGTGACTTGACGAGACGAAGAAACAACGAGAGCGGCGTGCTTCCACTCAGAGGACATCTTCGTTTTCGAAAGGACGGCTGCTTTTCTCATCCCCGTGTGCTTGTCGCTCTTGAACAAACCACCAAAGCTTTCTTCATCCTGTTTACGTAGGTGAGGGAGAGACTGACGTCAGCGGCGGTCGAGTCTGACGTCATTCTCATGGCGGCAGAAACGGCCGCAGGGCGTGCTGCGGCTGAGGCGAAGACCGACGAGGCGCGGCGACAGAAGGAGATGACGGACGAGGGGCAACGCATTGCGAGGTTGAAACGAGAGCGAGGAGTAGCGCAGTTGATTAAGGGCCGGATAGTAACGGTTAAGGAACCGGTTAGTGGCGAGGTTACCAAAGGGAACGGTGTGGCGGATGGTGGCGAAAGTGTAGCGGAGGAAATAGGACGAGGAAAGGGGAAGAAGAAGAAAACGACGCACCGGAAAGAAGTGGAGGATGAGTCGGAAAAGCTCGATACAAGGTCAGAAGCTGTAGAGGGGAATGCCCGGAAAGAAAGCAGCGATACGATAGAGACGCCAAAGAAGAAGAAGAAGAAGAAGAAGAAGAAGAAGAAAGATGCGGTGACGACTGAAGGATAGAGCTCGCGTTGATAATCGTCGTACTATCTCTTGGAGTTTGAAACTCTTCATGAGAACCATATAGTCGACCCGACGTTATGCCCAAAGAGCTCATGCCTTCGACACATTGATTGTCCGTTGTCAACGCGACTGCATGACCGATCAGTGACGAGTTGGACTTGAAGCACTGAAGCATGGCGGCAACGGTAATTATTGCACTGCCTGGATGGGTTGCTAAGCCGGTATTGGGCAGATCGATTGTTGCATGCACATTAACATGCGAGACACATGCTTGAAATCGATTCTAAGTTAAATTTTTGTGTGGCCTTTTCCTACACACACATATGTAAACCGTAGATGCATGGACTCATCGAGGCATCTTTCTCCGGCCTAAATTCATACATTAGACGCGGCGGCACATGTAAGTAAATGGATATATCCGTGTACGCAACTGCAAGCACCATGTGTTAATGTTGACCGGGGCCGCCGCGTGTGCTGTAAGATGGCTCCATGGTGGGGTTACTGCGAAGGACCGGTCGATCGTTGCGCATGGAATGCGAACTGTTCGGTGTACCACCCAGCCAACCAATGAGTCAATCGAAGTAGTCAATTCGCATTGGACGTTCTGCGAACTGGACCTGTCCAACGCAAAGCATAGTCGGCGGCCAGTCCCCAATGATCGGAAAGCTTATCAATCGAATCAAGTGTCTGATCGGCCGGGGTCAAGCAAGCCTAGCAGCCGCGCTTCTACTCGGATTCACACCAGACCATGTATTTCGCAGTGCGACGCGGACTGCGGGTACAATTCCGTTTGGCCGCGCTTCAAATTGCATAAGGCTGAAACCATCCCTCCCGGGCCAGAAGACTTGGTGCATCCAAGGGCAAAATCGTGAGAAAGGCTTTACATTAGTGTCTTCCTCTCGACGGCCTAAGTCTTCCTATAAGCAGTGCTTGCCGAGGTGGCGTTGTGTCCAGGTGCCAGATCCAGTTTAGAAGCACTGCAACATTGGAATACGTTGCTTGTTCAGAGGATCCAAATCTGCTAGCACCAAACTTACTTACTTGGGCAGTCATTGCGACAAATTGAAGGTAGGGAAGGATGTAGCAGCTGTAAAACTTCCGACTGTACAAATAGTTTCTTTCATGGAGACTTTACGGCAGAACTAGCTCCCCTCTTGGCCCAGCCACCGAGGATCGATGACTTTCTGGAAGAACTTGCTGATACGAGGGTTGTCCGCATACCGAGTTACGTTGGCGGGATTTGCCACTACATCCTGCAACCCAAAGTGCTAAGTAAGTGAGCAACCAGACTCACAATGCCGGAACATACATTGGAGCTCGACCCCGCAAAAGGCTTAGGGTGTTTGACCAGAAGGGGCATAAGCAGACTAGGCATACTCAGACCTAAAGACCCTTTTCCTTCAGGCCTTTCGATGAGACCGTCAGTGAAATCACATCGTTTTTTACCTCGACTCTAGTTTGCATAACGCGTTACTTGGTCATTGATTCAGAGCCAGAACTGATCAGACTTGACCATGTTCGGAGCGCTTGATCCCAGGAGGGCAGGGATCGTCTCCGGCCTTTCAACGCTGCTCAGCCGCTTCGAACTTTGCAAACCACCTTGAATGTGATTCGCAAACGAAAATTAAAAAGAAACCTTCGCACCGGCGGAACCGTCCATAAAGGCGTCTTTGACTGAAGACCCGTTGTTCCCAGGACGGACCTAGGCTAAGTTCAAGCCTCGTCGTCAGACTCCAAAAGACGAGAAGTGGGAAGAAAACGGTGAAAGCGAGACGTATCAAGCAACAAGAACGTAGAAGCGGTAATGTTCGTAAGGACAGAGAAATGCGACGGACCACCATTTAGCTAAGGGTCTAACAGGCCGTTTGGGAGAGACGAGAACGACTGTGCCAACGCAGGCTAGCTTTCACATACACGTTCCAGATCGACCGTAATGGGATATCATTTATGCAACAAGCCGACATGGGCCTATTGAGCACTTGTAAACCCGGGCCGCTTACCCTCGCCCCCAAGATGTTGTTTTCGACGGAGTGTTTGGATAGTTCCGACAAAGGCGGGGAGGGTGGTACATCATCGATTACCGTGGATTTCGGTACTAACGTAACGCAGACTGGCCGTGCAACAGCTTGGGTGCGAGTTTAAGGTGCCCGACAAACTATTGGAAGCGAACGCTTGCCTGCACAGCTTTCATGATGAGGGGGTCGGCCATCGCCGCTTGCACCTCCGGGTCCCGTTGGCACAGCTCGCTGAACTCTGGCCGGAAGATGGAAGCAGGCCCACTGCAGACAGCAGGAATGGGGTTACAGTTAGGATCAGGGTTAGAAGTCAAATCGAGGTTACAGTAGGGTCACGTCGATGTAGCAAACTGCTGAACCGGAATTCTGCTTTAGGTGTCGCCAGAACGACCGGATGTCGGAAAGGCGTCCGGGTTGGTCAGATCAGTATGAACAAATACTCCCGAGAAACAACTCCTTGAAAACCTTGAAAACTTTCTTTGATACAACGACACTTGGATGATATACAACGACACTTCGGTGTGAATCGAATTGAACTTCAGGTTGTATGGGGTATCGGCGAAATATCTTGAACATAACGGCCAAGATCACGTGAGCCTGTTCACTGCCACCAGTCGTGCCTGTAGAATTCGCGGTCACGAAGTAGCACGGAAACAGCAAGGGGGAGCACTTCGTAGAGAACCAAACCTGAGAAAGTGAGGCGCAGATACCATGTCTCAGGTGCAGCCCGAATCAAACTCTGTCCTTCCCTCTCCAGTTCTACTGAAGTAGAGTACAGAAAAGTATTGAGTTCTACTAAAGTAGAGTACAGAAAAGTAAAAACGAAGGTAATTCAGACACCAGGGGGGAAGAATGAGAGAGAAGCGAAGAAGGAGGAGGCTCACAAGTGTGGCCGTTGGTAGTTTGCCCCCAGCTTCTCTTGGTTGCTGATGTCCTCCTGCATCCTCGCAATCACCTGGCGCATGTTCTCCATCGCATTGTTTGAGTTGGTTCCCGCCTCGAGCATCATAGCGTCTAGCCGCCGAATGTACTCTTTGGCTGTGGGGTCGTCCATGAGGCGGTACCTGCAGAGTGCCTGGAGGACAGATTAGAAGCAGACAATTGCATGGTGAGAAAACCAATGTTACGAATGGTGACTTGTCTGGTTCAGCGGACGTTGACAGTTTGAAAATCACTGCAGAGGGCTTCTGGAAATGAAAAGGGTTACTGAGGTGACCAGATGTGGAGTGTGTTCGGTGCCGTACTCAGCGCCATCATTTAGGCCATACTCGGAGTGGTTAAGAGTAGTGACAGACAGCGCCCAGGTTAAATGAGTTGAGGCTAGGAATAAAATCTTCAATGTACAGAGTCAGCAATACTGAAGCCTGAGTCCTGCACTAACAGGCGGTTGACGCAGGTAGTGAAGCGCGCCCCACACTGATGTGGCTGTTTGGCTTTCAATCTAAAAAGGTTCATTTGACAGGATGATCACCTTGCTTTGATCAGCCCAAGAGTTATTATTCTCTTTCTGCATTGAACCATGTTCCAATCCCGCACAGTGGCTGCTCACTGCTCCCCCCTAAAAAGAACGACGGCAACACAAACAAGCAAAGCTTCTCTTTCTCCAAGTTAATTGAGAGAAATATCAGACCTTCCCATAGCACCCAAGTCAAGGTCCTCACCTCGTTGTGAACACTTGCAGCTTTTCTACAAACGCCTCCATTTGCGCACAGAAGATCTTCTTCCCCTCCAGGTCAAAGTCAAAGTACTTGGCCTGTAACGGCCCCAGCGTCGCGAACAGCTTGGACAACTCAAATGCTTCTTGCTCAATGATTGAATTGTTGAAGCCTGGGGAATCGCCCGCACTGCATAGCACCACCCTAGAGCATTTTCTCATTTCCCCCAGCCCTAATTTGAAGAAGTTTTGATCAGGCCACACGTTCAGTCTGCACGTAAAACCCCACCAATGCTCCCCTGCGGACATGTGTTGAGAAGAAGTAGCAGGGTTGCTGGGTTTCCCTAAAGAGCTGCGTGTGTGAACAAGTACGTGCCGTTGACTCCTCAGCTCGAATGAGGAAGAAGCATTTGGTGCTGCAGAGCTTGGACAACCTGCTTCCACGGGATTGGAGAAGCGACCAGTATGACCACTATGTAGCTTTCTTCTTCCCCCCCAAACATGTAACTGAGGGCAGACTGCCCCTTGCATTTGCGTCCCAGCCAGACTTTGGCGATGGGCTTCAGGGGCTCCAATCTGAAAACCTACACAAGAAAGGAAGGAGCACGAGCTTGACACGGCCGCCATTTTTTTCCTGGACCTGTAGGCTGGTGCAATAATAATATATGGCAAATGCCAACGAACTCCCCCTGCACGGAAGTTTGGACCTCAGGGTTTGACTAACCTTCTTCAAACGAGGTGCTTGTTGGTCTAAGGGTTTGCTTAACCCTCCTCTCCCTCTCAGCTCGCGTGCGCGGACTTGCAAGGCCTCCGAGTTGACCCGACCCGACCTTTCAAGTAACGCTAACCTGGTCATGAACCCAAGCCTTCAGATATCCAACAACTTACGGTATGTTGACAGAGCGCGGACAAGGAGAATAAGTCTTCGCACAATCGGAACCGGGGACACTGTTGGCCGGAGTCGAGTCTGGCGCGACGGCAGTGATCCCAGCCCTCGATGCTTCCCTAGACTCAAATCTGACGGCCTCTAAGTTCTGCCTCGGAAACCACGTCTGAGGCACAACCTGTGCAGGTTCTACCCAGAATGTCATCTGGACCGTCCGATTGGGTTTCTTTAAACATCTGACGGATAGAACAAGCGGAAACCTCAGCGACCCCACCTTTCCAACAGCGTCCCCGGTTCCGATTGTGCGAAGACTTATTCTCCTTGTCCGGACTCTTACAGCATGAAGAAAGCCCTCCAATCTCCTCTAAGACTTGGCAACAGCAATGCTGGCAGTGGCAGAGGTTCTTGACGCTTCCCTGAATTGCAATGCTTGTCTTGCACCACCTCCACTCTCTCAATGCTTGCAAACTTCCTGCTGCGGCTAGCTCACGCCGGCTCACCAAATGCAAGCTGGAGCAGATTCTAGCTGTGCGGCGGTTGTCGCTGAGAAACATCAAGCCTTTTGCAACAGCCTTGGAGATTAGACTAGAAAGAAAAGCCTTCTTCCAAGTCCTGCTAGTGGTGGTGTAGCTCGAGACCTCATGATGGAAAACGTTGCTCCAGAGGATGGTGTAGAGATGCTTGAACATGACATCAGCAGCGGCGCCGTTTCCAAAGGCGACAGAAGCAAAGGTGAAGTCAGCAAGGCAGACCTCAAGGCAAGTGGTGGCGCTGGAAAGGCGGTCCGCATTGCGTGCTCGTTCTGGCTGGAGAAGAAGAAGCGGTTTTGCACCAATCAATCGAAGCCGGGCCATCGCTTTTGCGGGAACCATGTTCCGGAGGAGGCGCTGGGGTTCAAGCGAGTGCCTTGCCCAGTGGATCCGTCTCAGTAAGGAAAGACCCTCTCACCATCCGTCAAGAGAGTGCGTATATCCAGATGTGGGAAGAACAAGGCAGTTGTTGATTGAACCATCAAATTGTTAGTTCTGTTTCGGATGGCAAAGCAGTGATGTCAGGGTGGTGTGCCATAGGGTGACAAATATGTAATCTCATACATCAGAACTCAGTTGTCCAACATATTCTCTATTTCCACCACCACCAGTTTCTGGCGAACCTATCCTGCGCTCATCTTTCTGGCTCCGAATCCTCAGTGTGTATATAGGATCTCTGTTGTGTTGAAAAAGAGCGCCATGCCTGCCAGCAATGACATGGGAGGCCCCGACGCATGGTCATTCGTGGAGAGTTGTTCGATGAAATCCTGTGAATGCCTTTAATCTCCACCTTTCAATTATGACCTGGAGGAGCGGTCCATCGCATCCAGTTCCTTGTTGGGTATCATAACAGGTGCTTGCAACACGGGTCTAACAAGAGCCTGCTTCTTCAGAATGCTGCGGTCAAGTCTTAAAACTGGCAATGTCCACATCTGCTGCAGCACTGTTCCTGAGTTTGAAGTCGCCGCACACGTCCTCCGGTGCCCTGCCGCCAAGCAGGCCCAAGGGGTGAGGGAGCAGCCGTACTTTCGGGAAGGAGTGAACGCAGGTAGCGACGCAGAGAATGGAAGTCATGACGGAGCCGGAGGGGTGCTGACAAGCCGGGAGAAGCGAGCGCTGCTGGAGGGGTTGAGCGAAAGCGAGTTCTGGGGCTTTTTGGAGAAGGTAAATGCTGGAAACCTTGTTCAAATCTGGACGACAATGACCCTTTTGACTGGGTGAAGGCCGCGATGCTGTTGTTTCTCGTCTGTGTCCGGTGTTCAGGACTCATATTTTAAAAAGCCACGGGGAGATCCGTCTTCAGTCGAAGCTCGATTGTCATGCTCGTATGAGATTTGGCATGAGAGGAGTATGCAGACGCGCAGCCTTTTCGGGGATGACAGTTTTCTGAGCCGTTCGTTGGCCTCTTCCTGTTACAAATTCTGATTCTCGATCACGCTGGGAGCAGAGAGAGCAACCGTGAATCCGTGGCATAGAGAATCGAGACAGTTGTCATCTGTCAGAATCCTAGCAGACGCGTTTCTGTCCGTTGGTCCACGGTCAGATCCCAACCATAGGTGACCAAGTCGAGCTGACCCTGCCTTCTGCATCTCAGCCAGGGCGCTTGTCAGGTTTGAAGTCTTATGTTCTGTGGTTGCTTTCTTTGTTCACCAGACGGCCATGGTTATCTGCAAGCGCCCGACCATGGTTTCTATTATATGCAGATCGAAACCGCTTACGCATCCACCTGTCCCGAGCCCCTGGTGCGGCGGGTTGCCCAGCCGGAGGGCTTTCGGCGCTGGTTGGAGGGAGGGAAAGACAGGTGCGTCAGCTGCGCTTTGGGTCCCATATTAAGGCTGCATACTTAAGCAGGCTGGATTAGCGGTGTTTTGAGAGGGGGAAAACCGAGGAAGGGCAGCACCAACAAATTGCCGTTTCTGACTGTCATTTTTACTCTTACTACCAAGCATTCTTTAGTCTCGACAAAATGGAAGCGGACTGAGATGGTTTGTTGCCGAGCTTCTGTTCCGTGAAGCTTCTACGTTGACAAATGCCCAAACGAACAAACGGATACCTCGCCGGAGCACATTCTGATAGGACGAATAATGCTCTTGGAGGTTGGACTCTAACGGTTTCTTGCCTTGTTTCGCCAGCTCGAGTCCGTTCAGCGCAAAGCACTGGGAGCAGCAAGCATCCATTCTCGGCAATATGGATCGTGCGGGGCTGATTGATCGACCTCGTCCGGGAGATGCTGAACGGGCGGCCACCAAAGGCACGACGTCAAGTGGCCCGCCGACAGAAACGAGAGCGGACTTGAGAATCGAAGAGGACCTTGCAGAGCCCGTACTCGAGGAGGAGAGAGCGAATGGTCTCCTGAGAGAAGCCGGAAGCGGTCGGGAAGCTGTTATTAACTCCCCCGATACTCTGCATCGAAACACACCTACCCGCGAAGACGGGTCGTCATCGAACGGCGTTCCGGATGGATTAGCTGGCACGGACGCCTCAACTGTGAATAAGCCCCCGGGGCGCGTTTTCATCGAGTTCGGCGCGGGGCGGGGCTACCTCGCGAACGCGCTCTACGAGTGTTTCGGACAGCCGGACGTCCTCTTCGTCGAGCGGAGGGCGTACAAATTTAAAGCGGACAGGGCGCTGCGGAAAGTGGGGAAGATGGAGCGGATCCGGATCGATATCGAGGACCTAGATTTGGCGGGCGTGGAGAGTTTACGGGGGCGGGGGTTCGTCGGGGCGGGGAAGCACCTGTGCGGGCCGGCGACGGATGCGACGCTGCGGTGTTGCCTTGGGAGCGGAGACGGAAACGGAAACGGGCCGGGCGATGGGATTGGGAAGGAGAGGACGGGAAGATCCGGAGGGGACGAGACTGCTTCGAAAGGAAGGGGCGAGTCGGGTAATGAAACAAAAAGCGTCGGGAAAGGGGCCCGAGCAAACGGGCTCAGTGCTGACGTCAGCAATGATGCGACCGGCGAAAAACGGGCCACGAGTATCCCGACTTCCGGTCCGGATCTGCGGTCAGAAGTGGATGCGTCGCGGGAGGCCCCGTTTTGCTCAGGGGTCGCTGTGGCCACCTGCTGCCACCACCTGTGCAGCTGGAGAACGTACGTGAACAAGGCCTTTTTCCGGCGGCTGGGTTTCAGCCCAGCGGACTTTCATATGCTGACGTGGCTGACTAGCTGGTGTGTGTCGGGGCCCAAGTTCGGGGAGCACCGTGGGCCGGACGCCGGCAATATCGACGAGTTGAGCAGCCCGGTAGGAAGATCCGTGGACGGAAGTGACCGGTTGAAGGGGAATGGTGCGTCGTCGATGTCGATGGGTGAGGGCAGCAGAACCCAAACAAATGAGAAGTCAGACTTGGGGTCAAAAACAGCGCGCAAGGAAGGAAGTTTGGCCTCTGATAATGCAAGAGAGAGCTCGGAAGTGAATGGAGCATCGAACGGAAGTGTCACTTTGCAACCTCCAATCTGGGACGCTTTGTTGCCATCGCAGCGCGCAGAGCTGGGCAAGAAGTGTAAGAGGCTGATCGATACGGGTCGGCTAGAGTGGCTCGCGGAGCAAGAAGGGTTTGCAGCGGAGCTGATTGAGTATATTGATGCGGAGGTGTCTCCGGAAAATAGGTTGCTTGTGGCAACGCGGACACGGAATGTATTATGAGGAACTAAGTTTGCATGCTGCCAACTATGTTCAATGCTGCCGGTCACCGAGTAGCAAGGAGCTTGAGCCACCAAGATGGAGTACCGTTAAATCTACTTTCATGGTGCACCATGAGTGGTTCATGGCATGTCTTGAGCTCCAGCAATCTTAAGCTCCATTTCTCATTCGCAGCTCAGCCTGCTTCTGGCTCGACATGCCGCCTGTCGTCGAGTGAATCCCCTGATGCAGATCGAAGTAATTATACGCGGCCGCTGGCGACCGGGCGATCCAATTTAAGAGTACCGGCCGTCGAGATATCGAACAGGCCGTCCATCGAGCTTGCCACAATATTATAGGTAGTCTGCAATCGTACATCGATCATGCAATTGCGCGAGCCTGATTTATTGCGATGCATTGACAATCAAGGGCATGAGAGTGTGCCGCACCCAGGCCCGCGCTTTCGTGGATGCAGTCGTTGGTCGGACGTAACCGCGGGGGCAGCGGCGCGGCCTAGTGCAGGCCGCCGGATATGTATATTGACCAAGAAACTCCTGCATGTTGCAAGACTCATATGATGTAATTGGCAGCGAGCCGCTCGGTTGGATGCACCCGGCCGCTGCTGTGGATGGCATAGATAAGAATAGCATAAAACAGTGTATCCGGAGGGCCTATCATATATTGTACATGTAGATCCAACCAATCAGAAGGTCCCAACTCACTCTTCCACCACCGAGGCTTGTTTTAGGTACTTCTCAACGTCATTCTAGCAAAACGCGGCAGTTTGTGAACTCGCAAGTGCACAACAAACTCAACGATCATATCAGACCGTATACCCTGGATTCTTCCCTTGCTGCACGTCCCCATACCCAACCAGCTCCTCAATATCCTCCACACTGCCCACGAAGAACGGCAGCCGTTGATGCAGAGCCGAAGGCACGATATCCAAGATATCTCGCTTTCCGTCGGACCCCTTTCCGCCCGCCTGTTCCGCCACGAAGCTGAGCGGATTCGCCTCGTACAGCAGCCGCAGGTGGCTCCGCGGGTTACCGGCCCACCCGCCGTACAAAAGCGTCCGGTGGAGGTCCGCAACTAGGGAGCAGACGTAGCGAGCGGAGTACTGTTTTCCGCTCTGGCCCTTGCCTTGACGAACAGTGTCGATGTATCTTTGGAGGCCGGCGGGCCAGTCGAAGTAGCGGGCGTCGTTGAGGGAGTAGATTTGGCCTGCACGGAACAACGAGAAAGTCCCGTTAAATTCAGCCTGACTGACTTCTCGTTTGCTAAGAGACACAGGCAAGCGAGCGAAGTGTGAAGCCAGTTCGTTTTAGAAGAAGACGCACTCTGTCGTTCACCAGTGGGCCTAAATAAGCGACACAGAGGCTTCCGAGGAGTCTCGTGATCTTACGTGGATCGTCTCAACTCCTCGACAATGTGCATCCCATATCTGAAGGGGACCAGCGTTGAAGGCAAGGGATTAAAACACTATCAAGCGTCTAAGTCAAGCCCATCCCCACCTCGGCGTGGCACCTTCATGTCCGGGTGCGTTAGAACCCACTCGCCCAATCTCCGATTAAGGGTAAATCCGTGGGCCCCATGTCCGACGCTGATGACCAGCATCGTGGCTGAGGAGTATAGCGCATAGCCGGCTGCTAGGAGATCCCGGCCTGGCTGCAGGGCCTGCTCTTGACACCACTCGGGGCTTGAGGCTGCAGCGCAGCTGGGCTTCACTCTGTGAATGCCGAAAATGGTGCCTGCGCGAGTGGCCGGTTTGAGGTTGAGAATCTTACTCGGAAAAGGTGGCCGCAGGGCCCACAGGATTGTCGCTTCTGAGGTGCCAGCTTTTTTAGGACAACTTGCTTGCTAGATTTGAAAAGTTGAGAGTCTAGAACAGTTTCCGGCGTGAAGTGTTTGCTTCCAGGTGATCTGTATGCGGTTAAAATGACTGAGACTGTCGAGAAGCGACTTATGTCTCTCAAGAGCGGGAGTCAATACATTCTGACGATGCCCAGTACGCTTTTGCATCGGACTCATGCAGATTGGAAGATCGTGCATTGGGAGGCAGTTGGGAAGGCAGACAGCCTTTTCGAGAGATGATTCTACGCATCCTCTTCAATGGCATTCAATGACCAAGCCCACCCACAGCGTTCGACACTTATCTCCAGAATACGTTGCAGAAACAATTGTTTCCAACAATGGATGTTGACTCACTACTCAGAATTGCTCATCAAATCTCCTGGAAAGAGGAGCAGTAGTGACATGGACTCTTCTTGGTACTAATAAGCCTCACCTGTAGGAATTCCCGCATCAATGTTTCTACTCCCGTCCAGGGGGTCAAACGCCACCACAAACTTGCCCCCCTCGCTGCCTACAACAGGCTCCTCATCTTCTTCAGACGCAAGGACGGCGACACAGCCCGTCCGAAGCAAGGCGTCTTTGAGCAGGTCGTTCTGTAGGGGAAGGTCGCCAGAAATTTGTTCAGCAGCTGCTTGTTGTGGACTTTGGATATCAAAGACTGACGAGGAAAGGAGGTTTTCAGGATATCAGAGGAGCGCGTTGCCACATCTCTCTGTGGAATGTTTAGGGCAGGGAGAAGAACAAAGTGGATGACTTCTCAGCGGTTTGGTTTGCGCAGGGGAAAAGTAGAGATCGGATTCGGTGGTGTTTCTTTTGAAAGGGTCCACAATTGGGCAGCCGGTGGGGCTGAATAGCAACCTTGAAATCATAGTTTCCGAGCTTAGAAGAAATAGGGGCAAAAGAAAAGGGGCAGCTTAGTGCACTGATGAGGCAGCTGCGACACATCTTGTCAGCCGTTTGCAATAAGCAAGAAGTGAAACCTTTTCTTTTTCAGTAATCAATCATGACTGCTCGCTGAATGCCAACTTTCAGGTCAGTACCAGACCTCGACGAGGGAGGTCAGGCCAGCAAAAGCGCCACCAAAACTTTGATGCCAATACTCGACCACCCACCGCCACTATGTCCATCGGCTTCGCCACATCTCTTCCGCTCGCACTGGCGCCGCTCTCTCCTCCTCCTGTCAAAGCTGGCCCGTCATCGATCCCCAGGTGGCTTAGCCGCTCAGCAATCCCCTTGCAAGCCTCTTGCACCGCCAGAAACACGGCAGCAAGCTCTTTCCCACCTTCCAGACCATGAACCTCCTTCTCGAGGAAATCTTGCAGCCTCAGCTTTGTTTGGGAGGCCGTCCGCTGCTCTGATTGTCCTGCTGATGCTCGGGGAATCGAGGTCATCCTGATCCTGCTTGTAGCTTTGATTGAGCCCTTTGATTGAGAAGAAGGTGTGTGCACGAGGGGCCCGGCTGTGTAGGCAGAAAACGCACAATGCAGAGAGTGGAGAGCCGTACTGGTGTCGAGCGTGCAATGCTGTCCCTTTCTTAAAGTTGAAGTGTTTGAGTTGCCTTGGGAAATCGAAACAGGGTGAGAATTTGCGAGTTTCCGTGCTTGAATTGGCCTCCGGCGCCTCCCCTCTCTGGAAGCCTCAACAAGTGTCCCAGGTAGAAGACACGTTGCAGAGACAGAGGCAGATTCCAATGCAAGAGAGTAAACCATGCTAGCGCCTGGGCACAGCAGAAGCTTGGATACCAGCTGCGGTTCGAATGGCAAAATTCCCATGCAGCTGAAGCTCCGGTTTGCAGGCGCGGTGGGCGCGCTCGCGCGTGCAATTGCTTAATCGCAGGGTCCGACAGAATTACTGTAGTGTTTAGGGTTAAGGGAAGCCCGCGTTAAACCTGGCCCCTGTGCGGCCGCGATCGGCCAGAGCGCGCGCCCTCAGTGCGAATTAACCGGTCGGATCGGACTTCAAGTTCGGAAGGCGCAGCTCAGGCGCTCCATCTAAATAGCGCCTTATCATCAGCAAAGCCACAAACTTGCGCAGTGTTCTCTCTGAGTCTTCTCAAGAGACCTGAAGAGCTAGACAGCGGGCTTCTCTGGCTTGGTCCTGGCCACTTCACTTCTTTCCGCAGCTCAGTCAATAAGCACGAAGTTTCCACGGCCGCCAAACATTCAGCAGACTGCCGCCAGAAACAAGAAAATCACGTGCAGGGTTGACCCGAGTAAGATGGTCCCATTCTCAGAAGACGACCAAAGGCGAGTCGACATCTATTTTATTGAGCTCCTTGAAAGGCGCGTCGCGAGAATGGAACCAAGGTCAAGGTATCGATTCGAAATTGAGATCCGACGTCATCGGAGGGTCATCGGGAGAAGTTCCTTGACCAACCTAAGAAAGTAATGAGTGAGAGCTGGGAGGCAGAATTTGAGAAGCGATTCATCGAAAAGTTTGACAACGATCTCAAAGCAAAAAGGGCGCTGCGGGGAGTGCTGGAGGCAGACCCTGAATAGTCCGACTACAGCATTTGAGAAGGAGTGCTGCACCCTACTGTACAGGAGTGAACATGAGCTATGTCTCAATGAGACATGTAGCAACTCAGTGTCAGAATCACTACAACCACTGATTCAGTAAGAGAAGAAGATTGTACAGTGGCAGCTATCTTTCCATTCATTCTTAAAGTGGCCAGTGGCCAGTGGCCAGTGTTTATCTCATACTTTCATGTCTTTACGTGTATTCAACACGCGCGGCCACAATGGGCGGGGAAATCATTGAAGTCCAAAGTGTTCAGTTTTAATATCGTGACCGGATACTTGCATTGATAACAGGTGTTATATCAGAATCGCTGCACGTCATGATGGTTGTAAGCATTATGGACTTGACTTATGTGCAAGCATGTAGACTCCCTTTGACCATAACTTACAGCGGAATTTTGAGCACGCGCCCAAATGCAGCTTTCTGAACATCATGCAGCACTCGTACAAACTTAAGCTTTCAATCAATTGCAGCATCATGTCATGCTATAAAGTCTGGCTTCTTCTATATTATTCAGGGTTCTCAAAATTTCAACTAAGCTCTTACCCTGGTCTTCTCATCAGGGGTCGGGTTGAAGCGGAAAAGTTGCCGGTACACGCTTATATGTTGCAACTCAGGAGCTTGCCGATGCACGTTAACCCCGGCCAGCTTGGCTGACTCATGCATATGTGCACAAGCCCGAGCCGCGTCGGCAACTTGAGTAGAGTGATGTGATTGGAAACGCCGGTCCCACTGCCCCCTTCCATCCCCTTTGAATAAGGGAATCGGTGTGGTTCATCAGAATTTAGGATCCGTCGACATATTACTTGGTTAGAAAACATGCAGGCTTGCATCCGAAGTGCATGCACGGAGTCTCCACGCCTACGGAGGCAGTTCTCAACTCTGGAGCTTGATCGGATACCGTCGGAAGACCGCTGGCAACTCAATCAAGCTAGTTTTTGAGATAGACCCTTTGCAAATCCCTAATAATCCAAGCTAGTGCGGCTTGTTGGGTATCCCCCTCGATTTTGCATACTGAAAACTGGTCTTACCCTCCTGCATTAGCTCACAACTCGTCTAAGTTCCACCAATATCAATGTATCACAGCGTGCCACTCCCCTTGAATGCGGGCCAAAAAATTGCATTTACGGCTCGTCCTTGCCAATACTAGTCTTTCCGTTCGTCCCGCAACTCGCCTAACTCAGTGTGACCGTCCTTATTGATACCATCAACGTTTTCCCGTTCTTCTATCCGACGTTCCGCTTCTGTTTCGTGTTCCGCTGTGTCCTCAGTCTCTGCGTCCCCAATTGGTTGATCGGACGGTGGGGACGACGTCCGCAGCCCGTCCGCCCGCAAGTGCGACAAGCAGACCTGCGAGCACAAGCGTGAGCCATCCGGCAGGGAAGCATAAAAATCGCCGGCAGAGACAAAGCATCTCTGGGCGGTCCAGAATTCCTGAGAAATCGCCGACACCCTTGCAGCCTCGCGCAAGCTCCACCCTAATCCGGCCGTCGACGCCTTATCTTCCAACCGTAGAATTTGCTTCTCCGACTCATCCAAAACTTAAGCCAGTGCTGCCAGCTAGACTCTACACACCCTTGCGAACCTCGGCCCCTTTCTCAAGCCTCCATACCGAAGCTCCGTCCTTGATCTTTTGAGCTCGGTCTTCAACCAACAAGACTCGAGTCTGTCTCAATCCGAGATCTCGAAAATCACTCTGATTCCGAAAGAGAACTTCCACCTGATCCCAAGTTTATCGAAGTTGAATCAGCTGATGAAACCATAAAGCTGTTGACGAGTCGCCTTTTCCCTCACCTGCACCGCATTGTACGCGCGAACAAAGTGTCACTCCAAATGAAACAAGAGCAGAGCTGACTTCCCGACATCAAAAAGTGCCGAATCTCATTACCTGCACGGCGACGTGCGTGCACACGAAGTGCCACTCCGATTGAAAAAAGAACAGAGCAGACAGCTCTACTGCAAAAAGTGCCGAGTCTAGTTACCTGCACGGCGTCGTGCGCGCGCACAAAGTGCCACTCCGGCCCGAGGCGCTGCAGGAAGCCGGTGCGCGCGAGCGTGACCATGACGCGCTTGTTGGTGTTGGACAGCGCCAGGTGGAGGCCCTGCTGGCTGTACTCTTGATGCAGGTCCTTCAGCGTGTGCACCGCCGTTGAATCGACATATGTCACCTGCGTACCGTTTGTAGACTTTATCAGAGGTTTCAATTTTAGCGCGTTTCTGCTTTGAAGGATAGCTGGAGGCCCTGCTGGCTGTAATTCTGGTGCAGGTCCTTCAACGCGTGCACCGCCGTCGAAGCAACGTGGGTCACCTGCGTAGCAATATTGTTAGTCTGTTAAGTTTTTGCAGATTTGGGGTTTAGCTAGTGTTGCCTTGTGGATTGCGTATCTGCTGGCTGTACTCCCTGGTGCAGGTTCATTGATGCGCGCACCGCCTTCGAATCCACGTACGTCACCTGCGCAATGTTCATTCATACGCGTGGAGTGTAGAAGCTTTCGCTCGAATCCTTTCAAGAACTAAGTGGAGCCCCGGTTTGGAAAGCTCTTGCCCCGCCGAATGAGTCCACGTATTTCAGCTGCGTAGCACTGTAAAGTTTCTCGTGAGGTATGGGCTTTATCTGCCGCTGCGGAAAGTATGCCACCCTTTCTGGATGTACAGATCCTTTGATGCATGGCGCGTTGCCACCTGTTTACATATGTGTTTGCTAAACCTTGATCCTGTCACAACGGATTGGTGACGAAGCAGTAAGAAACCGTTCTGTGCCACACTCGCAGAAAAGCGAATGACGTAAGACTCCCCATTTCAACTCGGTCAATCAAACCCTGCCGGTGCGGTGTCCGAGATAACATAGCGCACGGGAACCCGCCCGGGGTAGCTTCGTTGTCTTCCGTCTTCGGAAACGGCCAATCGTGAGGCACGACAACAGCAGAAAGACTCCGTCTCCTGCTTTCGTGAAGATCCAAAACACCCATCATTCCGCCGATCAGACCCAAACAATCCGAATCTTACCAGCGTTATGTCCAAGATAACATAGCGCACGGGGTGATCCCCCCAAAGTAGATTCGTCGTCTTTCGCCTCCAGGAACGGCCAGTCGCCCGACGACAGAGCGAGGAAAGTCTCCGTCTCAAGCAACGAGAAAAAGTCTTGTGTCCACGCTCAAGTAGCCCAATCTCACCGGTGTCATGTCCAGGATCAAATAGCGCACGGGAGGTCCCCCCGGGGTAGCCTCGTCCTCTTCCGTCTTGGGGAACGGCCGGTCGGAGGCGCAGTGATTCTCTCCGGTCGCGGAAAACCCGAAAACATCGGACTAAACCATTTTGATATTAGAAGAAAAGTAAAAAGTAAAAGGAAAACCTTACCGGCGTCATATCCAGTATCAAGTAGCGCACGGGGGACCCCCCCGGGGTAGCCTCTTCGTCTTCCGTCTTGGGGAACGGCCAGTCGGAGGGCGCCGCCCCGGTCTCTAGGTCGGGGGTGCTCTCGGAGCGTTGTGGGGGATGGAGGGACGACACCAGGTAGTGACGCAGCTTGTCTTTTATGTAACTGATGTTGGCGTAATACATGGGGGCGTCAATACGAATGATCAAGATGCCTGCACCAGATAGAAGTGGGGAAAGATACAGATTTGGGGCGTGGATTAGTAGAGTAAGGTTTTTGGGAGGTGGCGAAAGGTCGGCGTACGAGGCGTTCGTAAGGTTGAGGTGATTAAGGTGGGCGAAAGAAAGAGCCTGTGGGAAGAAAAGCACGTCTTGAGTTATGGGATTCTGTGCAACACCGATAAGGCGAGAGAACCACGCCGTCTTTGAAAAAAGTGGAGGAAAATCAGCTTTTGCTGCTTGTGGGGTGAGCTCCCGCTGCTAGTTGCGAGATCCATTCTGTGACGAATCGCACACCGACGACAGGCAGATAACAAAAACATTTTGTTCTCCGTCTTGGAAAATCTCAACCAGAATGTACAGATTTTGAGGAAAGCAGCGGACAAACCTTAAACCTCTGACTCAGGCGACCTGATATACCACAAGGATGATTGTGAACCACCAGAAGCACCGAGCCGTTGCTCCTCATCACCGAAACATACGTCCACGAGAGTACTGTACAATTTGTAAGCTCGCCAAGCGCACCTGGATGCGTGATCGCGTCCGGGTACTGCTTGACGTTTCGGTAGACGGCCGTTCTCGGCAGCCGTCCCAAAATGGCCATGTGCGGATTGGCCGACTCATAAATAACAAACACCTGCAAAAATGAAGAGATGGGCGGTCACTTATGACGACAAATCGACAGGCGAGGAGTCTAATTTCCGCCGATGCTTTTCGTTTCATTAAGGCGGTTTGTAATCTAATAAAGAAGCGCGTTTCACCTGTTCGTTGACAAAAGAGATGCGCCCAAGCACAGCCAAAGCACTAAAAGGCCCTTCCCCTTTCGCTACTCTGATTCTTTACTGCATTTTCCATCCTTCTCTTCTGCTCTCTGAACCGCCTCTTGCGGCAAATCTGAGACTTACCAGCGATAGGCCCACAGCAATTGCGACTCCGATTTCGATGCCCAGGAAAATGGTCCCAATGAAGGCCGCCATCCACAGGAGGAAGTCCCGGAAGTTGGTCCGGAGCAAGTGGACCGCCTCCGAGTAGTCGAACAGCTTGATGCACGCCGCGATCACGATCGCGCCGAGAACCGTGTTAGGTAAGTTGCTGGAGTGGAAAAGAGTGAGATGTTTCAGGGGCGCCCGTATAGTGCTTATAGAACCTTTTTGAGGAATTTCGTAGGGGCGAAGCAGCTTCGAGCAGCTGTGACAGAACGATATCCGGTCAGGTCCGTTTGCTTTCAGAGAGTATCCGTTCTATCGAGAGTCCGGAGGGCGGAACAGATTTGAGAAGCTGTGATAGGGCACCGCACGGACAAATCTGATTCTTTTTACCGCGTTTCCATCCTGTTGCGAGGTTTCAATTGCGGAGCAGACTCGGGGAGCTGTGATGAAGGCAGCATGCGGTTTGTGGTCACGTAATAGGGCTCTTCGATGGATGGGGCCTTCTGCAAACTCTTAGGAGGATGCAACGCAGAATTTCTTGAAAATTTCGAAGCGGAAGAAGTTCACACTGGCCCAAAAGTTTACTTCGTCCAGTGCTTCTCAGTCGCAAGCAACTCCGCGAAATATCAAGAAAGTCGCAGTAAGAGGAGGAAAGCCCACGAAAGAACCTAGGCATCACCTAACCCTCAAAGTCAGTACTGCCCTTGCATTAGGACAGCCATCGATGCGCGCGTTTATGGACTAAAAGGGTGTTGCTTACTTGAAGAGGGGCGTGAGAAAGAGAAGCGTGCACAGAATGAGGAGCCCGGTGAAAACCCCGGCCAGCCCCGTTTTAGCGCCCATCTGCAAGGCAAGGTTTTCCAACAATCAGTTTTCTTTTCTTCATCCCAGTTTATGTAGCAACTATACTCTCTCTGCTTTTGTTCGCACACTTTTTCAAAGAAGCACGCTCAAAATTCTAAACCTTTTGCCTTCGGTTAGTATCTCAACACCTTTCCTCATTGCAAGGGCCTGAGGGGAAGCATTGAAAGAATAGTTTCGAGTTTCGCAGGGAAGACGTCCCATGCCCGTTAATGCAAAGTAGGGTCCCCAGGATAAAAAAAGGATAGTGACAAAAGAGTTGGTATGAGACCAAAGGGCCGAGGTTGCGCAGTGGGCCCACATGAGTAAAGGGACTCGGGGCCGACGCCGGGCCCCTCCTATCCCTAAGTATATATGCACGGCGTCGAAGCTTAGGGGCCTGGGGCCAGGGTACTGCCCCAAGTTCTTAAGTCCCAGTCTCAGCCTCAGCCTCAGCCTGAGCCTACGGGGGATCGACACCCCGCGTGCCCGAATGTTCCGGGAGGGGCACTGCCCCACCCGACCGGGTTCTATCATAATACTCCAGTCTCCCAACGTCTCCCCCGGGCACTGAGAGTATCCGATCTCTAAAGCACTTGCTTCCAGATAACCAGGGGCACGTGCTCGTTGGTATGCGTGGCTAACTTGGACAATGCCACGTCATCAAGAATCCAATCTTGTCATTTCTGGGCCATTGAAGCCAGTGCACGCCTCCGAAGCCTTCGGCTTGGCGCGGCCGCGACTTCCTCGGAAACAACCGGCGGCCGCTTGCCCACGTGCCCGGAGAAAGCGCGGGCTACATGAGAGGGTATCGACACCCCTCGGGCCCATATTGTCCTGGGACCAACCGGGCTCAATAAAACCACAGCCTACTTGAAAGGTTCTTTTACAATTTTAAGGCCGCCTTCAGAATCCCTTCTCAAACCTCCGTCGCCAAGATGGACAATTCAGATTCCGAGTGGGAACGGGAATTCGACGCCCCTGCCAGGCTTACACAGCAGGAAACGTCTCAGATAGAGCGTGCAGCCAGCGAGGACGACGGGAACCTCCTGCGGTTTATCTTCAAGCAGCGTCAGGTTTCCAACAGGGATCTCTCAAAACTAGCCTCGAATGCAGCGCTTGAGGGGAACCTGAAGCTGTTGCAGTGGCTCTACACAGTTGCACCAGAGAAGCTTGCAGAGGTGACAACGAACCTTGTGCTACTTGCCGCTGTAGAAGGCCAGAGAGATGTTTGCAGGTGGCTGCTGTCCTTGGGGTTGCATGGGAAGCGCCCGTTTCGGGGCTTCAGTGCAAAGCTTCAGCTCTCGCGTTCTGTTAAACCATTGTACAGGTTTTCCCAGATGGCCCACTTTGCTGGGGAAGGGAAGCTCGAGATTCTCAAGCTTCTCAGGACTGCGCAGCCACCCATTGCTTGGGATAGCAATGCCCTCAAAGTCTATATTCGGACTCGAGAGATACCCCAGGACGACGATGATGATGATGCTGACAGAGAAGGTTCGCAGGAGGCTGTTGTATTGGCTGCCGCCAATGGGAAGCTGAACGTTCTGAAGTGGTTACACGAAACAGGGGTACCATTCAATGATAAGAGAGCCTTTGATGTGGCCGTCAAGAATGGCCACTCTGAGGTGGCAGAATGGTTGAAAGCACGAAATTTGGTGGGAACCCCCAACAGAGGGGGGTGGTCGTACTGGATGGAAAGGAGGTCCGGATTTTCGGATTAGTCCAGTTTTGGAGAGCAAGGAGGTCTCAAACTATGTTCCGGTATCTCACGTTCCTGTCCTCTGCTATGCGAAGGAAGCTAGACATTCATTAGGTCAGAGACATTTTAGTGACAAGAGTAGTGGCAGATACTTGCAGAGAAGAGCACTTGTGAATGTATGTGCACGTTATCAAAGTCCCACTGTTTCATTTATAAACCACTCTTCATATTGCATGTTTTCATGGAGATGGCAGCAATGCTTCAACTCAAACCATACCACCAAGAGCAAATGGGGGAATTTATGATCTGTTGCAGACTTAGGCTTAGACAGCTGAATGGCTCGTGTCCTCCCGCAGCTGCTCCATTCCGGCAGTTGTGCTAATTCCTACCTTTTTTGAGCATGCAAGATCCGCATGTTTGCAGTGTTGAGCAGACGGTTTGTGATTGGATTGCGTGCGGTGCCTGGGGGCTTTGAATCCATCCATTCTTGGATTGCTTGTCTGTGAATCACCTTTGGAACTGTCTAAAAAGAACCCCTGGTGACCTGCCTACCTTTACCAACGAGAATGGTCACATGCCTTGCTTACACGTTTTCCTCTTATGGTCACGTGCTCCTGCCTCACAAGATTCTGTGGGCTTACACACTGCACAAGTTCCCGGACATTGTGGACGAATGGCGGACGGATGGAACGTGCGGCATTTCTTCCGTCCAAGGCGACAGGCGCGCAGTAAGAAGGGACGCCGCTAGGCTTCCACGTGTACCAAAGCTTAGGAGGAAAAGGGGGGCAGAGGCGGTCGCAAAAGGGGCATTAGGGCGGGACGGTGCTCTTTGCGCCTGCCAGACACAGCAGAAGGTGACACAAGCATGGGGTTCTTGCGTCCTGAGCAGCAGAAGAAGCAAACAACCAAGCCCACTTTGTAAGCAGCAGCCTTGCGACTATGCGCAGATGGAGCACAACAGCTCCGCAAAGTATTTCAAGATTTGAGACACCGCTTTTTTCGCTATGGGAAGGGGTTGGAAACACCTGCGCCTCCGTGTATAGTCGCATCATGCGGGGGTGTGATGTTGTAGCAGATAGCAATGACATGATGCTGGCGGCCACTTGGCTGCTGTTGGCAACCGGTGCAATTTTCAGCCAACCCGTGCCCGATGGCGCCAGAATTGAGTCCATATAAAAGGCATTCTTGGGGCTTTTCATCTTCATTTCCCAAACAAGCACTCCGAAGGCCGAGTGCGACAATAATCATCTTTCTTCCGGGGGACCTTGCATACATACATATCAGCAAGCCTCCCGGGGAGCCAGAACTCTTGTACTACAATCTGTTATATTTTCTTTCTTCTCCAGGGAAGGAATTATAACAGATTAGTAGTACAGAGTTTTCTTTTGGTTCCCTTTTGGTGATATATATGTATGTAAGGCCATACCCCAAAAAGATGCAATATAGTAATTGACTTTTTGGAGAAGAGAATATAACAGATTAGTAGTACAGACTTTTCCTTCCAAAACCGGATCCCCAATATGTATGTATGTAAGGCCAGACCTGAATAATGGACTTCAGTGAGTTTTAGGGAAAAACTCTAAAACATGTAGGCACACATCTTTGAGAAGAACCCATCAAGAGTCTAGATCACAATCTCAACCTTGCCGCGTTTCTTCACAACGGCCTCCTTGCCAATAGCGACCTTCCTGACGGCTGGCTGGCCCTTTGGGCTGCTAATCGAGCTGACAGAGAAGCTGTCATTCAATCCGGAGACCTCGGCGTCTCCCGCGAGAGACAGGCTGACACTGCTAGCATCATCCCCACCAGAGGGGTTTGGAGCCTGCGGGGCAGGTCTCACGAACCGCTCCAGAGGTTCCGCATATCGGGAGCTCTGTGGGACAGGGACGGACGCGGTTGGAACGACGGGTGTTGCAACGGGCACAACGGGCACAACCGGCACTGCTGGGACCTCCTGAGGCTGGGCAGCTGCAGGGGCCATACCCTGCATCATCTTGCGGACGAGCTCCGGGTTCTCCTCTGCAATCCTGGTCATGGTGGGCTGGGCAGCCTTCATCATGCTCTTTGTGAAGCAGAAGCTGGCCGCAGAGCCGCAGAGCATGAGCATGAGCTGGATCTCCGGGGAGATGGCAGACACCCTCTTGCCGTACTTCTTCACAAGCCTCTCGAGGACCGTATCGTAACGTTCGATGCTCTCGAAGATGCTCTGGCTCCAGCCGTCCAGGTCAAGATCAAACGGATTGTACTTCTTGTTCATGATCTCCAGGCCCGTTGTGACCGTGATGAGGGCGGTCCGGCAGCTCTCGATCCCGTTGGTCATCATCTGGTCCTCCTGCAACTTGCGGAGCTCCATCCGCATCTCCTCAATGTCAGAGTCAATCGTGTAGTCAGAGACCTCCTGCACGCCCTCTGCCTTCATCCGCTTGAGTGTCAGCAGAATGTACAGCTTCTCCTCTCGGATCGAGCCAAATCCAGGGCTTGGCTTGGGCTCAGGGGCCTTTGGAGGGGGCGGCCTCGAGTTTGAGCGGGAGCGAGAGCGAGAATAACGCCTGGATGGTGACGGCCTCCGGGGTGGGGGCGAGCGGCGACGGGGTGTAGGGCTGGGAGAGGGTGAATGCTCACGGAAGGAGCGGCGCATCTTGTCTGGGTTTGCCAGGCCGCTGACGTCAATGGTCACGGACGGGCTGCGATGGCGCCAGGCCCGGGGGGAGGAATCGTCCGAGCTGTACATGTCGTGTTGGGGAGAGGAGGCCCTTGGCGGAGGGGACGGCCTCTTCTCTTGCTGCCCTGGCGGCTTTGGAGAGGGTGCAGGTGGGGGGCCTTGCTTGTCATCCGTCCTGACCGTGAACTGAAGGTTGTCTCCCTTTGGCGTCCTCGTGGCAACTGCAATCATGCCCCCCGACTGCTCAGGGTTGACGACGAGTTTATGAGCTGTGTTCTGCTGCTCCATGGTCTACCTTTGGTAAAGAAAACAGGCAGCACGCTCTGGCCGTTCCATGGCTCCAGGGGCGCGCGTTTTTTTGGCCCTCTCCAAATTCCCAGAGAGAAGCAGTAATGGCACCACGGACTGGATCCAAGAAAGGACAGAAGGCTGAGCCCGTTGAGAACGCCGAGCCGAGCCCCGTTGACACACAGGACGTTGTACCCAAGGAGCCACCGACGACCAAGCATGGGCTAGAGGCTGGGGACGACATCATGAAGGCCCTCAGCAAGCTGCAGAGATCCATCAACAAAACACAAAAGGCTGTGCTGTCACTCCAGGCAACTTCACAGGGGCAGGGAGAGAGTGTGCAACCCGCAAAGCCCAAGAAGGAGCCCAGCGGTTTCGCAAAGCCGAGCCGCATCTCGAACGAGCTTAGCAGCTTTCTCGGGGTTCCTTCCAATACAAGGCTTGCTCGCACACAGGTCACAAAGCTCCTGACCGAGTACATCAAGAAGAACGACCTGCAGTGTCCCGACAACCGCCGCAACATCCGACTCGATGACAAGCTCAAGGACCTGCTCAAGGTCCCAGAGGGCACCGTGGTGACGTTCTTCAACCTGCAGAAGCATTGCAAGAACCACTACATCTCTGAGGACGAGGAGGTTGCCTCGGAGTAGTGTGGATCAGAGTTCGATCATGGAGTAAGACCGGGACGGTTTCCCAAACCGTAGGCAAAAGTATCGGAAGGCGCACACGAGAATGACTGCCAGGAGAAGGGCAGAAGTGGCTATGAGCGTGATGTGGGCCCTTTCGAGCCGGTGAGATGGCTGCGACTCCTCGGCGCAGCAGTCGACCAAGTTGTCCATAAGAAGCTGCAAGCATTTGGCCATCTGAATCAACACGCGTTGTCCTGCGTGCCGTTTTTTGTGGCTCTCCACTCAAGCACTAATGGAAGCGCTCGAGTGCAGGCTGCAAGCGATCGTGGCAGACTTCAAAAACATCTTGCGGGATACGGAGCCCAAGGCTTTGAAGAAGGGCGCTCTGTCACGCCTGAAACTCATCGGTGAGCAGCTCGTGCGCAGCATCGAAGCAGAGCTGCACACTGTCAAGAGGCTGCAGTACAAGGAGACAGATGACGAGGCGTCTGATGACTCTGATGACGAAGCATCTCTCGGTGGTGAAGTCTACAGACCATCCAATTATGTTGCAGATACTGTAAATGCGATTCCGTTTCTTCAACCAGGAGGGGGTCGAGCGGTTCCAGTGCAACCTTGAGTGTGCCAGCTGCACAGCTCAGAGACGGAACGGTGGTCAGTGCACAAGAAGGGTGTGTATAGGGCTTCTTGTGTGCTGGCAGCACCTGCGGACAATCAAAGACGCCAACAGCGGTTTGAAGATCCAAACCTCGCCGATCCCGGGTGCTGGGAAGGGCCTGTTTGCTTGGAGTAAGCACGGTGGGAACGAGATCGTGTTTGTGCCGAACGAAACCATATGCTCGTATGATGGGGACGTCATCTCCCAGGCTGAGTTTGACAGACGCTATGGGCAAGACACGGGCCCTTATGTTGCAGGGGGGCAGGCTGGGCTACTCATTGACGGGGCATGCAAGCGAGGTGCGGGGACAGTTGCAAATGGACGGCGGGGACACGTTGATTCGAACGCACGGTTTTCGAACAGCCATGCAGGAGGGGTGCAGAGGCTCACGATAAAGGCGACCAAGAACATCCGGCACGGGCAGGAGATCATTGTACCGTATGGTGCAGACTACTGGCGGAAACACCGGGGTGTTGCGCGAACAACCCGTTAATTTTAGAAGATTGGTGCAATTTTCCGTTCCTCTTTGCTCCTCAGGAGGTTGTTCGCAAGATTGAAGAGGACAACTGCGATTGCCGCATATTGCACGTCTCCGGCAGCCCAGTATGCAACAAAGCACTGGAACACGAGTCGGAACAGCGGCGGCTCGAAGAAGTGACGGAGCAGGCCTGCCGGCTCAGGGAATGATCGGGCCGCCATGAGGAACATGAGAGCAACAAGCGCAGCAACCAGCTTGTGTTCGTCGAACGCGGTGAATGCCATGTATGCAATGAAGTGTGTGCAGGAAAAAGTTTCAAACAGTGTTGATCACCTCACAGCAACAGTCCTCCACGTCCGCATAGTCGTCCTCTATTCTGGTGGGTAAACGGAGAGATTGTCCGTACGACAAGACATATAGCTCGACCTTGCGACCGATGGTCATTTCTCCTTCAATCTCCCTGAAGCCCTTGGTAGCCAGGACGGTGTGGCCGCAGCACTCCAACACCTTGAGCATCTCTACAATCATCCTCCACGTGACATCTTGGGGTATCAGCCTGAGGCTGTCAAACGTCTGGGTGGAGTAGGGAGAGCGGAATGGGAGGTAGTCGACCTTGAACATCCCCCTCCTGTCCGTCCAGTCAAAACGCCCGCAGCGGTACGTTAGGCCCTTGAGGCATCCTACATTGTTGCACCTTCTTGCAATGTCTTCTCGGGCAGCCTGCGACCACTGTGCACGGCGGGGGATGAAGTCGATGGCCACCCCTGCATCCGCAACATTCTCCATGGCTGCCGGACCGAATGCCCATCTGTCCCACACGCGTCTTCTTAAGCCCCGCTGACGCTGTTGAAGAGGCGCACAAGGGACGAATTGTCAAGGACCGTCCCATCTTTGAAGAAAATCGTCGAGAAGGCTCGTTTCAGGGCCTTTGAGGGCATGCCTTCGTCGCCTGTTGAATTGGACAGCACGTACTTGCGGGGGAACAGGCGGAGGGAGTCTGCAATCTGGTTGTTGAGCGCACGCGGTACTAGCTCAAACCTTGTCTCTTCCCCCGTTTGCTTCTTGCAGGCCCTGTGAAAGGTGAACTTGTTGATGCACGTCTCAACAATGCTGTCCACCAATCTGTCTGTGCGCGTTTCACCAAGCCGAACGACCTTCACATGACAAAGATCGGAATGTAACGGTTTGATGGCAGAGTAGAGGCTCAGCATAAGGCTCTGAAGTAAAAGGCCCTTCTCTAAGTCACTGAGGTTGCCGGCCCCTTTCGGATACAGCTTTTCTTTGATCTCCTTTGCAAGGCACTTTTTCATCCGCTCGATCTCGGCTTTTCCAACCGCTGTCTTCATCACCTCCTGTTCTGTTTTTCTCTCTTCGGCAAGATCGTGGATGGCTTCAACAAACAATGCGTGATATCTCTGGAGCAGCCCCTCGTGTTGCCCTCTCTTCAAAAGCAGTAACAGGTATGAGGTAGAGCTTGCGAGATGCCGGCTTGTAGCCTGTCAGGGCTGTGGACACTGCGTCAACATCGCTGAGCCACACAAGGTTCTCCATATTTGGGCGTCCGCTTACCCGCTTGTGCAGACGCTGCAGCAGCGATAAGTACTGCGTGATGGTGCTTGTGCTCCTGCCTTCCCCTGCGAGCAGCTTGGTGATGTCCATGCTTCCTTTGACAATTGTTGTGATCATTTTCCGGGCACCACGTACGCTGCTTTCAGACTCTTCTGTAAACCCGCTCTGCAATTTCGGCAGAGTGGCCCATACTTGCTGCGATTGCGTGCCTCTCTTTCAAGGTGACCTCGTCCTTGTACAGCTCGCTCAGGAAGATCTTTCTCAGCATCCACGACCTTGCGTGCTTCCCTTCCTTCTCAAAGATCTGCCCGAACGTCTTGCTCAGGTAGGCTGGAGACATGGGCTGGTCCCCGTTTGTCAGATTTGAGAGGAGGTATCTCCTCGGAAAGACTTTGAGGCTGTCCGACACAATCTTGTTGACGGATCTTGGGAACGGGGTGGTCCTGTCGCCGTACGCCTTGTGTGTCTTGTAATGGCGCAGGAGCATCGTGTAGGATCCAGGTGGGCCCTCTACGAGCACGTTCAGCTTCTGGTCTGCCTCTGACTGCACCTGCCCGTGGGGTATGATCTTGACCTCTGCATAATCGTTGCGAAGCGGGTTCATCTTTGAGTAAAGGTTGAGTATTAGGTGGTGTGTGATGATCCGACGGTCTTCGAGATCAATCTCCTCGAGCTTCTTTCCAACGATCTGTTTTCGTATGATCCTCTGAAGCTTGTCAATCTTGTTCTTGACGTCCTTGAGGGTGATCCAGTTCTTCAATTCGCGCTCCGTCTTTGTCTGCTCGAGATTGTCCTTGCTCGCAATCTCCTTGATGCACTTTTCGAGCTCTTGAGAGTACTTGGAGTGCAGTTCGCCTTCGTTACAGCCTTTTAAGAGAACGACGATGGGACGATGTAAAACTTCCTGGACGCAGGCTTGTAGTGGCTGATTGAGCTCATAACCGAGTCCAAGTCTCTCAGCCAGTCAACGTCGTCAAACTGCTCCGATCCTGTCAGCATGCGGTGAAGGCGCTTGAGAATGGTAATGTATTGTGTCACTGTTGTGTTTGATCGCCTCTCGCCGGAAAGAAGGTTCCGGAGGTCCATCCGCCCTACTTCAAACGCAGATAATTTTCTAATATGGAGTGCATGCTATTGATTACTTCACATTCTTCACGGTACGGTTCAGACACAGATGGGCAGATGCGCAGGTGGTTTGTACCCCCTCCCTATGATGAAAACAACATCAACCAGATTTTGAAATACTTTTGAAAGTTCGTCTTTATCCGTGTATATGCGCACGCCCGTTATAATGTCATTGCTTTCTCGTTTGAAACACGTGAATGTATATCTCACAAGTGGCATGGATGACTTTAGTGTGGAGTACGCCAGTTTCAACGAGGATGGCACTCGTATGACGGCAACAAGAGGAAGGAAGCTAAGGAGGCTGAAAACTTCCTGAAGCGAGTCACCCGCACTGCAGCACGGTGCAGAGAAACGGAGAGAATGCTGCAAGAGGTCCGGGCCATACTTCCTGCCTTTGACGCGAGACGGCTTGTTCTGCGGAATAAATTGAATAGCAGCCTGAAGCAGCTGAAGACAAGAGGGATTGAGACCGCTCCTTACACGATGCCAGAGTTCGATTGAACGTGCCAGGAATGTACTAGTGGTCTTTCAGAAAGCATGGCCTGTGCTATACTCTATGAAACACATGTGAAGTGGGTATGCATTTCGTGTGTCCCAGGTGGAGAGCGCATAGAAGCAAAAGCTGCACTGAGAGCCGTCCGGCAGAAGGTAGAGACGAGGATGAACAATCTTCATCAGACATTGGGGGAGCTTGGGGCTTTAGAACTGCAAGGTGGAGTGCACACGCTTATTAACATTGTGCGGATCCTGAAAAGCTCCGCAAGAACGCCCTCGGATGATGATGTTTCTGGGAGCAAAGGGACAGGCATCAGGGGCTCTGAAAAGTATAATGCATGGCAGCTGGCTCTGAGTGCAAGCCCCGAGTTCCCAGCTGACATCATAGGAGAGTGCTTGGTCTATCGATCCATGACTGTCATTGAGGGCAAGGCTATAGCTCAGCTGCACGCACGCGTGAAGGACATGCACAATCGGGTGTTCCGTGTAGATATTGACCTGTTGATAAAAGAGTCCGTTGTGGGAAGGAACAAAGCTATTCGTGGATGCTTCAAAGACGTACTTGTGGAAGTAATCACGCTCGAGGACCTCCAAAGAGGGTTGTGTTCAAGTTGCGGGGAAGCCTTGCTGTGGAGCAGGCTGATTGGCGGGAGAACCAACTTTCCAGAGTTGGATCGGTCAGATGTAAGAATAGCCACGTATGCTGACAACTTTTCTTGGATGTGCCACTGTTGCAACACGACAAAAGGCTTACGGACAGACCTCTTTGTTTATGATTAAGCACTCTTGGACACCATCACAACCGTGCAAGACTCAATTGCTAGAGGTGAGATTGACAGCGATCATGAGCAGGTTCTCAGCAAGCTGCAGGAGGAAATTGCTTGACAGGCAAGCCGACAAGGCATTCTGTCCAGAAGCGTCTATCATGCAAAGGAGGGTTTGAAGACGATGGTTTATGCGATCTCTTCTCTACTCATCGGCTTGCTCCCACCAGAAATAGTCATCAACCGGTGGCAGCAAAAAAAGAAGCTCTTCTTTCGTCCACATTTTTCTTTCTGATGCCTGCATCTGCAAGCATTTTGTTGACCCTTGTCTCCCAAGAGCTACTATCATCCCGCGTGCCAAAAATCTGAAGCTTCTTGTCAAACTTTTCACGTACTTCCCAGGCTCTCCCTAGTCTTTGGCACGTACTGGCCTATCACCTCTTGTAGCACCAGATTCTGATTGGAACTGCACAAAGCACCACACAGAGCCCGAGTATTGTCAGTGCTAAAAGAGCACATACTGTGCAAGGCAACTCCTGCATCCCTGGCTGGAACGTATACTCCGCATCTGCTTGTTATGTTGGGCCACTTGGTGGCGTGATATCAACCCCGCAGTGTCTTTTGTCAGCAGAGCTCTGAAGGCCAAGGCAAGAGCAGTAACAAACCTCTGGACAGCAAGAGCCTGTCGCAGCTCATGTACTTCTCTTCGAGGTCCTTGCGGGTCATTGCTGCTGGATCCATTGTGTTGTCGGCTAGGGAATCAAGGGTATTGAGCGACCTGCGCGAGATTGTAAGCTTTCACCGATGCGAATCAGACAACCTCAATCTGGCTGCATGTCTCAATCGTGGAAAAACAGGTGACCAGTTTTTCCGAAGACTAACCCACTCCCCGTCCGGTAGTACCAGTTACCCAGAGGCATCTCATGTCTCGCATCTCGTTATTACAAGGTGTGTGGTGTAGGGTTTTAAGAAACTGCGCTCGCACATGCGCGCGCTTCTCATCTTGACAGCGCTATGGAGACCAGACACAGCCCTCAATCGCCCATGGAGAGCCAAGTAATGCAGGCCATCCCAGTCAGTGCGCCTCATCCCAAGATTCAGGCAGCTGGTGGCTCGAATGCGCCGTTGACCGCCAGCGGCTGCTGCAATCCCTGACAACGATGGCAGCATGGATCCATGTGACTTGTCCTGATTTGACGAAGTCCTCGTTGTTCGCGAGCCAGCGCACGTCATATCCCCTCGTCCGCCCCATCATTTAGCTTCGCCCCTAAAACGTTGCCGTGATTGTTACGACGGACTGTACGGAGTTTGCACGTACAGAAGTTGCATTAAGCCGTCGATCGGCTTCAAGCAGTGTCACTTGGACCCACCGGAGTTCAGGATTCGGGTGTCGGGTTTACTGTCGGGCGGCGCGGCCGTGTACATGTTTTTTGTTTTTGTTTTTTGCTTTACCCTGGGCCGGCTTAGGCTCCCGGTAGAGCAGGTAGGTGCAAACGAGCACGCCAACTTCGCTCGGGGATTTTAACCCCGACCACCTTCTCTGCGAGGTAAGTCGCAACCCCTCTCCCTAATTTTTGCGAGAGCTCGGTGGGGCACTGGAACTTTTAACTCCCATACGGTGCTTACACTAACGTTTGGAACTCCCAGTCACATTGGGTCCTTTTCTCGTCAAAATCCGTCGGAAAAGACCAGAAAAACCCTCGCATTTACATTGCCCAAACTTTCCCTTTGAAGGTTTCTCACGGTAATCTAAGACCGTCCGATGGAGCGTTCATGAATGGGCCAAAGCAGGATATCGACGGCGTCGTATTGAGCACCTTCCGAAAGTCAAGGACCGGGACTTGAAAGGGAAAGGGACCCGGCGAACAGAAAAAAAATCCTGCCGATTTTCTTGTCACCGGAACGAAAGAGTCTTTTCAAAACTCACGTTCAAACCGACCGGAAAAGGCCGGAAAGGGAAAATTTTGGCTAGAGTAAACACCGTACCAGGAAAAAAAAGAAAACGGGAGCGGGAGCGGGAACTCTTCGGTCACCCATTCCAGTACACCTCGCGGATACCTTGTCGAGCGTTTGACCGCTCTCCCAGCGCGCTAGGTGACGCGTTGGTTTGCCGGCCGTGTACATGCCAACAGGAGGGTCTTGCGGACGTGGAATCGACGGTGCCATCGAGTTTCTGATAATGGACGGCTCACTCTGCGAATCAGGCCAAAGTCGAGCCCATCGATTTACAAACCAGGAGAAAGTGCCCATGGCACTGGCCCCAGAAATTGAATACGAGGAGTGGAGAATCAGGGAAACCATCTGATGCAGGCAACAAGTCGTTCATTTCAGGACGAAGGCAAAGCCAGCATGGAGGGATGTTGCGGATTCACCAAGGTCATGCAAGTCGACTCACCGGAAATCACGCCATTCTTGGAGAGCCATCTTCTGCCTTCAGAGCACCAATACGTTACAGTGGAGGATGTGATGCGGAGCTACATCCAGTACACGGGCAATGTCCGTGTAGCTTATGCTGACTTCTTAGCCGTGATGTTGGATGTGAAGGGGCCATACATTCTTCCCTACAAGAGCCATCACTTGGTGATTGACTACATTTGTAGCCCTGCACCCCCCAAGCCCATCCAAGTGCTTGTTGACTTGTCACCTTGCGAAACTGTCAAAAGTGAGAAAACGTGAAGGGTGGTGTGTGATGAAGCCTGTGTTGGTACTTGGAGTTAGATTTCACAGTCTGGAGTTCCGAATTAGAGCAGAACCTCCCTTTTATGTGGGAGACATGGCAAGCTTTGTGGAGCAGCTTCCAGTGACTCGAGCCCTGTACCCAATATTGACTAATCTAGGTAGCATGTACTGGCCTGGCCCAGTTTGACAGAAGTCATTTACGAATGCACAAAAGGATGAGCTAGTTGCCACAAGATTCAAGGGGTTAAAGGAAAGAACGGTTTCGCTGAACTTTAGTGGCAAGATTGGTCAGCAGTTTGCAATGTTGAAGCAAAGAAAATTCTCATGTACCACTGGTATGGATGCAATAATATTCTCCTGTGGATTGGGGATAAGGAATACCTTTTCTCGGGTGTCGATGTAATGATCAGCAGGTAAGGTTGCATAGCTGATTGGATCTGGACGATACGTTTGCTCGAATACGGCCTTCATGGGCTCTGCCTGCCTTGTTTCACTTCCCTCCCAAGCGGGCATAGCTTTGGCTAGTCTAGTGGATGACTTGCGTCTCATGTCTTTTGCGCAAGTACTCCAGCATCCAGTTGTGTCACCGTCTCTTTGGGGACTTCTACTCAGAGTGGCATTGACCATTGTGGAGGATCTAGAAAATGCTAGAAGTTGACTTGAAAGAGAAGGGCGACGTGCTCTGTCTTTTGGCTGCTCTCGACGTCGGCTAAGTGTTCGCTCAGCATTTCATGACAGGATCATGTGGAATATCTTCTGCCGTTCTTGTAGGCATTCAATTAGATTGCACTCTCGAATAATTGACCTTGACTAGAGGACTGGTGAAAGCAGCATATTCAAGGCGACTCACTTCAACCCACACCAATTGCACCATATCACGGGCATTTGGAACGTGCTCTAGAATATTCTAAAAGAACTGGTTGGCTTTTGATGCTCGAATATTCAAAACTGCCTAAGACAGGCGTCTAGAATCTAGAGGATCTGACAGAGACTTGTATTCGCCTTCGAGCATGTCGTGTTCATTCAAGTCGCCCTCGATAAAATTTTTGAAGAATGCTGGTTCTCGATTAGCCCAGTCGGAAGGACACATGCTGGAGTATCATGTACTTGCGTGCAATTGCGTGTACGATATGCCTGTCTATTTCCACGGAACTTGTTGTTCGCGTTAACATGAGCTACAACTACGTGAATGAGTGACACCTCTTGCAGCGGACTTGTCGAGACATGTGTTTTGCTTAATTGTGTGGCAATATTGCATTTTGATCGTCAAAGAGCCACGCGCCTGAAGAGGAGTTGTTGGAAGTATGGGGGTCCCACGCGGATGAAAGTGAGCGCCATCAAGAAGTTATATTAATTCCCTGTTGTGGATGCAAGCGATCCACCTCTTTAGATTTCATGAGCCAATGACAGTGCCACCACGACGAGCAGTGATTTGCTACATGAGCAAGATCATGTCCTGGAGCTTTCTAGTAAACACATAGGTGCCTTCTCTGGGGACAACATGGCATGCAACCCATTATTTTGAAATATTTGGGGCAGGGGCAGGAGAATAAACGAGTGTAATTCTGAACTATCCAAAGCATATACAAGAAGTACGCGTAGAGTTCACATCAGATAGAGAACATGAACGGGTATGTGAACGACGTATGCATGCATGCACGAGACATTTTCAAGTGGGGGTTTGCCGCACACACGTCGTCGTTTTGTACATAATGCTAAAGAACATCCAGAATGCTAGGATAGCAGCCCAGTTCAGAGTCTTCGTCCACGAGCAAGACCAAGCATCCCCACGCTTTGCGCGGGATTAACAGGACCCTGTCTCTGTACAAACCAATAGGCCTCACACCAAGTCTTGAGCGTCGTTCACAATCTGAAGAATCGCTCCAATGTCGGGGCTGTCCAAGCGGCCCCAGCTCGACGGAAAAAGTGCGTCCAACTCGGCCATGTCCGCCAGCTCTGGCGTGCAGGGCCTGATGAAGAGCCCCATCTCGTCTTTGGTGGATTCCTCCATCTGTTCCAGCTCCGGCAGCATGCCCTGGTCGCCATGCTCCTTCAGCTCCCTCCATTGCATCGTCCAGCCCTCCGAGGCCTGTTCCTCTGTCGAGCTCTCAGAAGCTGCCAGCAATTCACGCCCCGCGTCAGGCCATCTGCGCATGCAACCATGGGTACACCGCGCCCGGCCGGCTTCGGGCGGGTCTTCGGTTGCGTCCATCTTCATGATGTCGCCCAGAACAGGCTCAAGGATCAGGGCTGAAATTGCGGCGCTCTTGCACGTCGAGTGGGTCCAGGGCGTAAGCTTTGAAACCGGAAAGAACGGCCGACGCACTCGCCGGTGGGTGTCTGGGTGGTGTGGCGGCTTCTTCACAGGCTCCAGGAGGAAGGAATGGATGGATGGTTAGTGGAAGGGTTTCAAACCTCACTCACTAGGAAGCAGCAAAATTATTAGACGGACAGCCAAAGTAGGAAAGGGCGACGAAGATTTCCTTTCGACCTTCTCGGACGCACATTCCAGAAGGCTTTTGGCATCTTGAAGCAGACCAGAAGCATCCCCATGACACTGCAACCATCGTCAAGCCTTTCTGCGCATTTTTTGGTCAGAAGTTTCAATATCAATTCTCACCTGCTTGACCATCTCAAGCTGTCTCCTTTTCTTGGCCCGCGCAGAGGAGCCCATGTACTCCATTGCCGGAAGCAAGTGCATCTTGCAGCGCTCGGGGCGGGCGCGGTGCTCACCAGTGAGCTTGTTGGGCCAGCCGTACGAGGGACGTGTCTTGCAATCCCCCGGGGCTCTGCATGGGAGGCCTTTGGTCGCGCACATCATCTGCGAAGTACCATGAGCCTTGCAGCGCGTGCGACGGATCACATGGCTGCCAGGGACCTGAACACCGTACGAAGCGATTGTGCGGCAGCCGGTGAAGCTGCATCTGGAAAGAAGGGCAAGGTTTGAGCACGGCTTTTGGAAAGTAATGCTCCGAATTCCAACGAAGTTCGTATTGATTCCACGATTTTGCTCGTAACCCTTTTCCTAACGAGCGTTGTGCCCGATTCACATGCACATAAGCAGTGCGCAGTGCGATAGTGGTAAGTGATTTTTTTTTCTGACATTTGCAGATGGGGGGCCCCCACCTCACTCCGTACACAATCATCAAATACGCATATTCTTCAGGAGAGAGAGAATCGTGTGGAAAGGTCACTATTAGTATTCAGTCTTGAAAGGACGAGCTGAGCTGCAACATAAAATGGAAGCCTGAAACAGACAGCGAATTTCCGATTCGCTGCTCTGATCCTCTTTTCTGGACATGCATTCGGCAAATCAAACCTGCAAAAGGTTTGATGCCTGTACCTATGAGGACGATACAAGAGCTCAACATTATAGCCTTTTAAAAAAAACAGACTTGCACTGCAGCGATGTACACCGTCCTAGTCCATACCTGGCGCTGATAAGATCCTCCATCCCCGTCTCCTTGTGTGAGCTGCAACAGGTTGGCCGGGAATCTTCCCCGAAGCCATACGAAGGGCGCTTGACGCAGATTTCGCCGCCACCATGACATGTGGCTTCCAGCAGACCAGGGAGGACATGTTAGCACCAGCGAGTAACAGCTGCTTGTATGAAAAGCAGCTATTGGATTCTCGACTTGCTTGCTTCTCTTGGAGGAAGCTTCTTCTCAGCTTATGTGCAAGATATCCGAGGGCAACACAAGCATTGCGGTGGAGCCCAGTGCAAGGCAGAGTGAAGGTTTATCCACACCATCTTAGCAATTACAGAACTACTTTTAAGAGTAAAAGTACTCAAAGCAAGAATGAAAATCCCTGGGAGTGAACATAAAACCATGCAAAAGGTTTGCACACCTTGGTGATGAGACATTCTCTGTACTTTTTGCCGCATGCCCATGGCAGGTTGTGCAGCATATGTTGTCTTCATTGCTGCAATTCCCCTGGAGTCAACAGGTGTGCACATAGTGTAGCAGAATTCCTCCATGCCCTTCACTATTGGTGTACTGCCCCTGCGCCCCCCAACCTCATCGCCTTGCTTGGCCTTGGGAACGATCTCACGCGATGGATGTAGAACGCCCCCGGGGACAACGCCACAGCAGGTAGTAGGAGGGGGAGACGGCTGCACGAATCTCTGCAGGGGCATGGAAGGTGCACTTTGGTGCACGAAGAAGAGAGCATCTTGGCAAGAAATGCTTTTGTTATGACATATTAAAGGGATGATTGCACCAACATATCAAAGAATTCAAAGGCAGAAAGCCATCCCTGACATCACCCACAACTAGGAAGGCAAGCTCGGCTAAGTTCGAATAACTCGAAACTGGGGAAGCTGCTAACTCACATTTGTGGTCCCTTGCTCTCCAAATGATAGGTCTTCTAAAAACATCTACCGATTGGCACCTGCTGCCCAGACTTCAAACCTGGCAAGATATTTTATGCAAAGCGATGCTTTCCCACCTTGTTGTCCAGTTTGCACAAGGCTGCCGCAGCCATCTCCTGCATCTCCACAGCCCCAGGGCTGCACTCACTGCTCAGGTTGGGGGGCGAACGTGTCAATGGCTGGCGCCTCCTGCGCACAGCTGCCAATCCCGGATGCCGGGATGCCCACCCTTCCTGCCTCCTTGGCAGACTCATCATGGGCACTGCCTTGCCGCAAGGGTCCACATCAGCGAAGGAGATAGCCTGCCCTGCAAGGTAGGGTGGCATTTGAGCATCTCTACCATGTTGGAGACTACCATGATCTGAGAGGAGGAGTTGCTTAATGTCGGGTCCATTACCTAAGCTATGTCTGCACGGCCAGACCACTGCATCCGCTGTGTGCATTTGAGTGGCGATCCTTGGCAAGACATACGCCGTCCTTTCCAAACCCCACAATCCAGCACATGGTGAAATGGACCACAAAGTTAATAAGGAATCGGTACTGTCAAAACCGTTGCAAGCAGCTGTGAAACATTTTTTACAGTTTGCAGGGACTGCGAGGCTGTGAAACATACTACTGGTGGCTGAGAGGTATGGGGGGGGCGGTAACTCAGTCTGCCGCAGGGACACCAAATGTTAGGTCAAAATGCCGACGGGCTCCTCTGCTTTTTGGTGCGTTATATATGAAGAGACGTCCTATGTTTCTTGTAAAGCAAATGTCCCACGTCTTATGCAACGAACGGGAGACATCAATCATAACACTCATACCTCGCGGGAATTGCTCGAATACTCACTCTGCTCCTGCTGGTCCAAGCTGCTGCGATGGCGGTCCCCAGGATCCTCAACAGACTGCCTTGATTCGCCAGACTCCTTTACTAACGAGCCAATATGCGGCCGGTGACAGCTGCTGGCAGAAGCATCAGGGCGATGTGTCCAGCCATTTTTACTCAGCTCCCAAATGTAGATCCCTATTCTTTTTCCAACAGACTGAACACACGGAACGTTAGACAGGATATTTCGACACAGATTCTAATTTCGAAACTGCCAGATGGACAAGCGGATCCAGGGTTTTGCAGGATTCCAGCCCTCAGCCAATCGCACGGCCGCAAAGTGATTCTGGGTCACGTGAGACAATCTATATGTGAATGAGTCTAGTGCTCACCTGCTGGTCCATACTGCTGTTTTAGCGGTCCTTGGTTCATCCTTGTTTCTTCTGCTGTGTCCAGCCATATTTACTCAGCTCCAGCGTCGGGTCGGCATGTTAGCGTGCGCGCTCAGGATCCGGGACGGTACACTCGGCAACTTCTGACAAATTTTTTGACCCAGATTCTGATTTCGAGACTGCCAACCGATCTGGACTCTGCGAATGGGGATCTTCACCAGATTCGTTTTACAGGGCTTCAGCCATCTCCCCGTCTTTCAGCCAATCGGAACGGTCGTTGAAGATTCTCGGTCACGTGAGACAATCTTTATATGTGGTGTTTTCTAAGTTGGCACTGATTATAAGATTTCCACCCGATATTCAGGAACTTTAAGGGAGACCGTGCCGAAACCGGACGGTAGAGTGCAGGTGCACGTGTCGACGAGTCGCAATAAAAGCGCGCCGCGACCGAGAGCCACAGCCATGACCAGATTCGCCGCGGCAAAACCGGCGGCCTTGACAATCAAGGTCCCTCGAGCAGCTCTACGATGAAAAGCTCGAGCCTGGCTGCGCTGCAAGCTGACCGAGATACGCTGCCTACGATACCGCAGCAGTCGTGACGCCTCACCTCCAATCTGGCTCTCATCACTTACTTTCAGGGCAGCAGCGCGTCGAACGTACGGAGGAGACCATCGAACTGGCCAACCAAAGGTGCACTGCTTAGGCCGCTTGCCATTGTGAGAGCGTTTGCAGTCAATATGGACAGGTGGGGAAACGTCGCAAGCCTGGAGGTGCAGGAGATAAGCGTTGCTCTGAACATGGAGGATACAGTGCTCCGCTTGTACGAGAAAATCTCTTGGATGGAAAGTCAACTGTTCCAAGCTTATGTCCAGGTGAACATTTTAAGGTCGGAGAACCTTATTTTGAAGGAGAAGCATGGCGAGGAAGTGAAGGTGCTGCAAGAAGAGCTCAAGATGGGCAGAATAATGGTGGACAAGTTGGTCACGGAGCAGAATGAGGCGACTTGCAAATTTTGCATTAAGATGTCCAAATTGGATCTGGTAAGGAGCTTCAGATCCTGCAGCAGTATATTGTGCTACATCTTCAATGAGAAATTGAAGTTGACTGTCTTGAAGCTCACTGGCTTTGATTGTTGCAAAGCAGGCTGGAAAGTTCTGAACTTGGTCTAACCAATGTGCTGACAGTTTTCTCTTGTCGAGCAGGATGCAATATTTTGAATCCTATCAACATCAAGGAAAGACCTTGAAGCTGAAAGCTTATCAGAAGGCTTTCAGATGTGTTCAGCAATAAATGATGTTTTTTGTACTATTAACAAAGGATCACTAAAGATTTCTACAGGGGGTGCAAAAGGGAGCTATGGCGTATGTTGATGGCAATAGAGCTACAAGATAACACAGGATGTTCTGGTCAATTGTACAGTCTTCTTTCTCAGGACATTCCCACTGTTTCTGGATGCTCACATGGTTTCTAGTTGACTATGGGCCAGCGCTGACACATGCTCAATTCCTACTCTAATCATCAACATTTATAATAGTCTTTATGGGACCCTGAACTTTGCAAGGCCAAACTGCACTGTTAATACGTGGTCCATATGACACTCCCAAAACCAAGTGGAAGGGCCACCTTCTTAGCGCCCATGGTTGCTTTGACAGCCTGCAGAAGTTCAGCGCCTCAATTCCAACAAAACAAGACAGATCTAGAAACATGGCTCGTCATAAATGTCGAATTTCTCAAGGGGTCCTGCATTGAATTCTCACGTGTTTCCAGCTCCATGCATGTGTCTTTGGTACTACCGACAACCGGTTGGCATATATCTGGAAGAAGGGACGTAATCAAGCGACCGCGAAGCATACTTCTGTGGCATTCTGTCGCCAGAGAATGATGTCAGCACTGCTCTCTGGGCGACACTTGAAGTTACGTACCGTACTGGTAGGGCCGTACAGCAGGCCGCGACGCGACCAGCGCGGCCGCGTGTTCTGGTATTCCAGCAAGCGCGCGCGCGCGGCCCGCCCAGGTCGCCCGTCGTTTCGACACTGAGTTGCATGATCTCAGCGCCCTTGTGAACAGAAAGAACATAGGAATAACATGTAATTTTTCCTGGAAACTTCAACGCGCCCTGCCAAGCTGGCTGGAATCATTGACTGTACTTTGATGTGGCATCGAGATTACTCGGTTTTGTGCACTGCGTTGATCTTCTGGTTTGGCATTCACCAAAACGTCAGTGGGAAAGATGGACGTGAGGTGGACACGTCTAGTAACTTACAAACATGCCCATGCTTGAAACGGACAGTCAAAGAAATGGGCAACGCTTGACGTCCCCTTCCCGCCAGGACATCCAAACCGTAGGAACGATTTGTAGCCGCCCCCGCCGACATGGATCGACATACACGCACTTCAACCTTTAAGGAATCCAATGAACTACAAGTTCACTGCCATGGCGGCACGCAAATGATGTTAAAGTTGGAGCATCATAGGTGATGCAACTAGACTTGGTGGCATTGGTCGCCTGCGGCGCCAAGATTGATGTCCACTCACAAGCAACAGACGACGGTGTCGTGTATCTTTCTTCGTCAGACCTGGAAAGACTTTCGAATTTTTCACGTCTTCTTTGTACGTGTCACCATGTTTGTGTGGTTTCTGCACCAGGGAATCAGCAAGCCGTTCAGCGTTTCATCCGTCCAAAGCTGCACAAGAATCGTCCCACAGGATTACGACAAAGACGTCATGGTATCGTTGGATAGGCGTAGGACTCGTGTCTTGTTGGTCGGCCCCAAGCGTCAGTTCCTTACAGAGTTCTCATGATGCGTGATCTGATCGCAACCGGCGCAGCGATGAAAGTTGGTCTAGCTCTATCAGACGCCCATCAGACGCTTGGCTCTAGCTTTTCCATTTGCAATCAGCATCGATCAATGTGCACCGCTACAAAGATTGCGTCATAAGGCTTGATTACAAGGTCGTTTTATCCTAAGTACACTGTACACGTTTGAGCTCCGGGTAGTATACTTATAACAAGGAATAGGCTCTGCTCAAATCAGTGCACGAGTGATTCGACTGGGACTGACCTTGAGAACTAAGTCACGATGGTCCCTCATGGGGTCTACTTAACTTCTACTTCAAATCTACTTAACTTAGAGAAAACGTCGTTAAAATGGCCAAATCATGCGTTATGTAAAAGTCCCCAGGAGAGAGACATAACTTTCGGTAAAAGCGGTAGCAGCAGATGCAAGACAGGCGCTGTGTCAGGAACGGATTTGCGGATCGGGATGATCAGATAAGAAGCAAGACATCGCGATCGGCAGATGGTTACGCAAATATGACCGTTCTGAGTTGAGCACGGCGCACCGCATACACTGATTAAACGCTCACTAGTGCCAATGCATTCGTTTTCAGAAGACCACGCACCAACCGTTGAAAGGCGTGAAACCCAAAGTAACGCAGCGCAGGCACATGAAAGCCAATCACACATATAAGAGAGGCAAAATGGTGCATGAACGGAGCGGCAGTAAATGAGTGTATGCCTCCAGGAAAAAGTATGATTCGTCCTATGAGAATCTCCACTGTACTTGCTGTGCCGCTATCCGCTCTCAAGCCTGCTATTTTGCTAGTGCGGTCAAGCAGTGACCGTGAGCTCAATGAGTCAGTCCTGCGCAAACCCAACAAACACAAACCCTCACACTGACCTACGTGCGCGCCCTATCCTTACGTAGTACAGTCAATTGCTACCCAAACCCGTCGAACCTGATACCAACTAACTTAGCAAGGTTGAACTATGCTAACACCTCTAAGATGTAAAGAAATTCACACTATTGGGTCGTTTTCTCTTCCGGCGCTTGAGCAGGGTTCATCTTTAGGTGCAGTCGCCCCGCCCCTGACGGAACGGAAGGCGGCTTCCACGGACCTTTCCGTTTCCGGGGGGTCCCGGGAGGTGTGCTCGCCGCACTCGAAGGCCCCCCCGACGCGGAACTCTCTTTCCTAGACCCGGGACCACCAGAATCTACCACCTTATCCTCTTCGCTTACACTCGTCCGAGAGTCCTGCGACAGAGAGCCGGACTTCCTGCCTGGGGTTTTCGCCTCGGTCATCTTCTCTATCGAGTTTCCGGCGCTTCTGGTGCCCGGGATCCGTCCCCGGGGTTCCGCCAGTCCGCCCCGCGGATTCCGCTGGCTGCTCACGGCAGAAGACCCCGACTGGCTCCGGGTAAGCGCCGCTCGTGGGGATGTCGGCGTGGAACGGAAACCGCTGGCGGCCGGAACGGTGCTTCCGGGAATCTCAACGTAGCTCTTCGCGGTTTTCGCCCCTTCAGCGTTACCTCCGCGCTCGCTTTGCGTCGGAACCGTCAGCACAGGCGGCCGCTTCGCTTTCGTGCCGTTCTTCGCGTTCCGTTCCACTTCCGGTCGTATGTCCGGAACGGTAACGAAACCCGTCAGAGCATCTTTTGCATCTTGGAGCGTCTTCGGATCCTTCCCTTCGTCAAAATGACGCCAGCTTTGAGTCCTGGAGGGTGGTTGGGCGCCCAGGTCATTCCGTCCCCCGGAGTGCCGCCTGCTTTCCGCTCGGGAAGATCCGCCGGAACGGCCGGACGGGGTCGGGACTTCGGACAGTGAGAGGGGCGTCGGGAGCCACGGGTCGTCCGAAGAGATGTCGTGCACGGTGACTTCCAACCGGGCTAGATTGCCGCTGTCGGAAAGGAGTGACTCCAACCGGGGGACGTCACCGACCGTCTGGCTCATCGTCTCTTCCCGCATCCCTGCATCAGTTCGGAATGCTTTGTGAGATGCTTGCAGATGAGTCAGTCTTTCTCCGGTGTTCGAGTGATATAAAGAAAGCAGTTTATTTTAACGCTCTTCAAATCCGGACATACGAGATAAATCTTCTTAATTCGAACGTGAAAGACGCGTCGGGCGTGCAACTTGCAAGGTGCTGTCTTCTCCGCTTTTACCTTAACCAACTTGTTCTTCCAAGCCAACATAGCCAGCGAAATGTAAAATAGATTGGTGCCTTCACTTTGCTGCAACTTTAGACACCAATCTCGGCATGACCGAAGGTCCAACGACATTCCGAGATACAAAGTAGTAGTTATAAGTCCTAAGTCTTGATTAAACTGGGCCTACGATGTGACTGCTAGCAGCGTTCACGTGTGATATTTCTATCCGCTAGGATGAACTGAACCACATCGTATCAACAAACTGGAATTCTAAGGTTTACAGGACTCTCCAAGCGGCTAATGACCCGCGAATTTCAAAAGCCCCTGTTGTTCCGAGTCCAAGTCTTCTACGGTTCTACTTGGGACCTCCAAGCGGTTGGATATCAAGAATAAGGTAGCATCAGCATTGGACGATGAAAATGCCCAGCGACATATAAGCCACAGCGAAGCTCGATAAACAAACACACACCCACCAATCTTTGTACTTTAGCGTGTTGACGACTCCAGTGATTTCAAAGAAGAAAGAAGAAATGATCGAAACGGTAAGTAATTTTATTGATCTGCTTACCCATCGTAAATTGCTCCACGTGCTCCTCAAACCCCTCGCTCGCGCGGTCGCTCCGCGGGCTCGCGGCCGCGTCAAGCGCACTGAGCCGCCGGCTGGATCCTCCGTCCAGGCTGCTGACGCTGCTCTCCATGCTCGCGCGCACCGATCGCTGGATTGACGTCACCTCCAGCGAGAGAGCGCTCGCGCGCTCCTCGACCACCGTGTTCTGGCGCGAGAGCGCGCGCAGCTGCGCGAGCTCCTTCTCGTCGGGTGCCATCTCGCGCACCATGGTCGCGATGACGCGCTGCAGGCAGTAAAGTAAAGTTTGAGTTGAACATTCGGCTCTGAATAGTATAATGCGGGTTGTATGGTTGAAAACAAGGGTTTCGGGTTATATTTCGCATCGAAGGAATCTGGACCATATGTATGTCAAGAAGCTGTAGCCACGACCATCTTCAAGAAACAAAATCAGCCTGTAAACGGATAAAAGTCCGTGCGTTCTTACGCAACTCAGAACTCTCTCTTCGTATTTTAAAAGTCATTTTCTTTGAGATGAACTCGTGGAGGACAGAACCTGAATCAAACCTCAAAGTCATGGTACCTGATTCTTAGCAGTACTCTGTGTGCCATAATCAGACGACATGAAAAAGCGGATGCAAACTTGCAGTCTTCAACGGCGACTGGGGCTATCGTTTGATGTTGTATTGGCGAGAAGCACCAAAACTGAGGGATGAAGCTATTTTGTCTTTCTGATTGCCGGAGTGCACTGGTCCAAACGAGTGAAATCAAGTCGAAAGCTTATCAAGATATCAGGCCTTTCGAAATTACATAAGCCCAGTGCTCATGAACGAAGCCCGAGACACTATCTTTAACTGATTGTCAGGCTACAAAAATGAGCCGATGCAAACTTGCAGTCTCGAAGGCTACTGGGGCTCCCTTTACTTCATCAAACTCCTGATGAACGGCGAGAAGCACCAAAAGGAGACTGGATATCTGTGTTCTCTTCGCGTTTGCCAAAATGACCCAGCCTAAATGGAGTTGTGTTGCAGAAATTCATGAGGCCTGCTTAATTTACACGAACTGTGTTCACGCGTGAAGCGGGCCTCACCTGCAGATGCTGCACTTGTTGCCGCAGCGCCTCCTCCCCTTCGCTCCCTGCGGCCGCGCGCGGCACTACCATCCACAGCTCGTCCGCGTGTCCGGCCACTCCCGACTCGACACGTGTCCTCGTCACCTCCAGAACCTCCGCGCGCAAAACCTCGCACCGCGCCTCGCACTCCTCGAGCGCGCCGCGAAGCCATGAGATCTCGCGTTCCGAGTCCGCGCGCGCGTCCGCGGACTCCGTTGCCTGCTGCTTCAGCGCGCGCTCGAGGCGCGCGACCTCGCGCCGGAGCGAGGGGACCTCCTCGTGGGCGCGCTCGCGCGCGCTCAGCAGCGACGTCAGGCTGACGACCTGGTCCCGGAGCTCCTGCTCGACGGAGTCGCCCGCGAACGACACGTGGTCCATCTGCAGCGCGAGCGGTTCAGACCGCGCTTTGCGGACCGGTGCCCCGTAGAGAAGGTTATCTTCAACCGATTCTGACATCACATCTTCCGTTCGCTCGTTACGGTCCGCTTCTTCTGTCCGCTCGATAGGGAGAGTTTTCGTGATGACGTCGTTGAAGTGCCGTCTTCCGGCCCCTTCTCCGCCCTCCTCAGCGGAACGCTGCAGCGTGGCTGGCGCCGAGGCCGACCGGAGCCGCTCCGCCGCGACCGCCTCCCAGGCCAAAACCTCCAAACCCCGCAGGGACGCGCGGCGCAGGCCCACGATCATCGGCGGCAGCGCGGCCGCGGTCTCGCTCTTTGCGCGCGGCTTCCCCTCGCGGCCGGCGCGCGCGCCAAACTCCTCTTCCGGTTCCCGCCCGGCCACCGGCTCCGAAACGGTGAGCGACAGGCGGTGCATGATGCTCGCGCCCAAACCCTCCAAACCCTGGATCCGGCTCGCGCGCAGCGCCTCCGCGGCCGCGACGAGCGCCGCCTCGCGGTCGGCCAGCTCTGCGCGCAGGCTCAGCAGCTCTTCCTTCACGATGGCCACGTCGGCCTCGCGTTTTCTCGCCAATACTAGCTCCTCCCGCAGCCTCGCCACGAGCGCCTCCAGCGCCTGCCGGCTAGTATGTTCCTCGCTCTCGTTCTCGGAGCTGATGGTTGACGTCGGCGTGACGTTGCGCTGCTGCCGGCCTGCCAGCTGGCGCCTCAAGAGGGCCACTTCGAACATGAGGGCGGGAAGTTCTACGAGCGCCTGATGGTACGTTTCCAGGTTCCCATTAACCAAGGCGATCTCTGTGCCCAGGGTTGCTAAGTTTCTCTGACGGTCCACCTCCTCTCGTTGTGATCCATTCCCGGCTAGGACTTCGCCGAAAACATTCTTGCCAGCAGAAAAGCCCTCGTCAAAGTGTTCCGGAACAACTCCGTCTGGGGTTATCCCGTCCGTTCTCCCGACGGAAACCTTCCCAATCTCGACCCGCTGTGGCAACTCGAACGAACTCGCCCTGACGTCACACCCCAAAAGCATGCTCTCCAGGCGGCTGACTCGCGCCGGCAGATCAAACGAGTCCTTGCTCGAAGCACTTTCAAACCGGGTGGGAAATGCAGTCTCTGCTGAGTCGCCTGCTTCCTCGGTTGAGATCGAACGGTCCCCAATATCATCATCGGCTTTCGCATTCACACCAACCACCGTGTCCGGTGTGAATACCCCGAGCACTCCCTCGGGCGGGTCGACGGCGGATGAAGGGTTCCTGGTCTGCTCCCCGGTGGACCGCCCCGACAGCATGCTCTCCAGCCTGGTTATCCGCACCGGCAGGTCGAGCGACTCCGCTGGCGACCGCTCGTTATTTTCTTGCAGTCCCTTCTGTTTCGCTTCCGCTTCCTCTCCAGTTCCGCTTCCGCTGACGGTCTCGCTCCCGCCCCCGCTTTCGGACTCGCTTCCGATTCCGTTTCCGTTTGCAGTCTCTCGCAGCATACTTTCGACCCGGGCTACTCGTATCGGAAGGTCTAACGAGCCCTGGGGTGTCCGTTGCTCTCCGTGGCCGCTTCCGCTTTCGCGTCCGTTTCCGTTTTCGTTTTCGTTTCCGTTTCCGGAATCCCGCTGCATACTCTCGATCCGGGTTACTCGTACCGGTAACTCGAACGAGCCCTGGGGCGTCCGTTCCTCTCCGTGGCCCGTTCCGTTTCCGCTTCCGCTTTCGGTTCCGATTCCGTCTCCAATCTCTGGCAGCATACTGTCAAACCGGGTCACTCGTACCGGTAACTCAAACGATCCCTGGGGCGTCCGTTCCGGTGTGGCACCAGGCGAAGGCCCAGGCGAAGGAGCGACGGGGTTCCAAGCACAGCCCAGCAGAGGTTCCGCTGTTCCGCCCGATGAAGGTTCCGCCGTTCCGGCCTGAGATCGCAGCGTGTCTATCGCCTGGGAGACGGGACTGCCGGCAGCATTGCCGGTGACGCCCGTGAATGAGGCGCTGAAGCTTCTCGTTCCGCCGGAACATCCCGTTCCGGCTGCAGTGGATTCCGCTCTAACAGTGTTGAGGCGGAGCCGTAACTCCGCGCACTGCTCGCGCAGGGCTTCCAGCTCGAGACGCTCGGCGGCTGCCAAGGCAGGCGCAGCAGGATTCACGCCATCCTCTGCGGAGCGGCAAAAGCACGTGATTTATAGCCTGCCTATGGCCGTACATATATTGCACCAGAGAGAAAAGGGAGAAAGCAAGTCCGATCGAGTGTAAGATAAAGTGTGAGACCTTTCAAACACAGCCGCTCGCTGTGACGTGAATTTGAGGGGCTGCGTGTCAATTGATTGTTTGTCGCAAGTTTGTTACAGTGCATCGCTCGTACCTGGGAAATCTTTGGATTCTCGAAGACATGAGAGGTCACCACTACGGGCCGCTTACCCATGGCGACCGGTTCCTCAAAGGCGGTGATGACCTCCGCCTCTTCTCTCGGAACCTCTCGTGGTAAATGTTCGGGGACGCCGGTCTGGTTGGGCAACGGTTTTGCAGCCGAGCTCGCTTCCAGCATGGATTCAACCTGCAAATGAGATGCGCTTTAGATCTTGAAAACAGTTACGCAAAGCATCATACAAGATGGGTCGGGTTCACAAGCCAAGAACTAAATTCACCTAAACAGGAAAGACCCAGATTGGAGAAGCGTGCAAGATTGCTTCGGATTCAAAGCTTCGAAGCCAGAAAACGGTTCTCCTTACTCACCTCGTCACTTGTTTCTGTCCCCGCAAGTGGTACGTGCCCGCTCGCGCTCAGGTTCTGGACGATTCCATGCTCTCCAAGCTTCGGCGGAATGACGATTCCGCGCTGTCCAAGCTCCGGCGGCGGAATGACGTCGGCAGAAATACGTCCGGCTCGCAAAGTGTCCAGCTCGCGTTGGAGAGCTGCGAAAATCGTGCAAATCAAAACCTTAAGTCCCCAAAGATTCTGTCTAAAGTACGCAATGCTGTTGATGAATGAAGCAACCGGTCATGACACTTCTTTCCAGAAAGGACCTCAGTACAAATGAATGAAGCGTTTCGCACATGTGATTTTGAGGGCATTAGGGAGATTATCGTTTCTACTTGAACAGGCTTAGACAAACAAGTCTGTTCGTCGGACCCCAGGAGCAAGCAGTACCCCTCTTTCGCTGTAGCTTCTCGTCATGTTTGTATGTTGAACGTGAAGCAAAATCCTCACCGGTCGCTCTGCCTTCTGCAGCCTCCAGTCCCGCTTTCAGTTCCGTCACAAGCTCTTCCGCTCCTGCCACGATGGCGGAATGAACCAGATCGTCGACTCTGTTTCCAGAGTAACCACCGTCGGTCCTGTTCAAACCGCTCTGGGATCCGCCCACGCCTTCCGTCTCTGCCTCCCCTTCCATGCTTTCGGGCTGAGTCGACTTAGTAAACGTCGGCCTGACGTCATCCTGCCGGAGGTTTGCCAGCTGGCGCTTGCAAAGGGCCACTTCAAACATCAGCGCGGGGAGCTCTGCTAATGCCGCTCCGTACGCTTCCAGCTCGGGACTTTCCACCGGGCACGTCTTCTGCTGTTCTTGTGACTGGGTTGACTGCCCGGTTACGCCTAAACCGGGCCCACTCTCTCGACTTTCTCCAGTCTGCGTCAACCCCTCGGTTACTTCCCCCGGTTGGTTCAAAGAGAGGGCGCCGAGCATGCTTTCCAGGCGGGCCACTCGTTCCGGGAGTTCAAAGGCGTCGGAAGATATCCCGGCAGACCCGTTGGAAGAGATCATGCTCTCCAGCCTAGTTACGCGCACCGGTAGGTCGAACGATCCGGAAGGCGACCGCTCGGTGGACTCCTCAGGGGTTTGGTCGCCGGAAGGCGGGGTGTCTTTGATGCTCTTCCGTTGGGTCACTCGGACGGGCAAGTCAAAGGAGTTGCTGGGCGACCGGTCCGCAGTGAAATGCTGCTCCTGGTCGCCGAGCAGGATAGATTCCAGCCGACTGACTCGCACGGGGAGGTCGAAGGATCCCAGCGGCGACCGGGATAGCCCATCTGCCGGTTCGGTTAGCAGAACTTCCGCTTTCTGGTCGCCGTCCAATTCTGAACTATCGTGCGCTGATTCATTTTCCGGTCCCACATTCAGTTCCTGAATGTGAGTCCCAGCGATGGAGACCCCTCCACCTGACGCCGTTTTCCCGACAGCCGTAGCGCTCTCCCCTGAATCTCGACTTTCTCGCCCCGTCTCTCCGGACTCCGTCTCGTCTGTCTCGGTACCGTTCTCCTCCGTGTCCTTCCGTTCCGTTACAGTCTCGCTCGAAAGTTCCGCCGGAGCTTCTCCATCCTTGACACCCCGCCCGGTCACCTCTGCCGCCGTCTCCGTGTCTCTTCCTGCCAGGTACAACATCCGTACCAACTGCTCATTCTCTTCCCCTTTTAACTCCGCTTCTCTTCGTACCCTTTCCAATTCATTCTCCACCCTCTCCAATGTAGAAACCAGCTCTTCCGTCTCTCTCTTCGCCGCCTTCAGATTGCCACCCAGAGTCTCTTTCTCATTCAATTGCCGCGCCTTGATCTCCGAAACCGTCGACAGCGCCAGGGTGATGTCCGCCCCCATCATCTCCGTAAACAACCGTAACTCTGAAGCTAACCCGTGTTTACCGCTCGATAAGCTTACCAACCCGCTCAGAAGCTTCGCTCTCGCTCCAGCCATCCCCTCTTTCTTTCCCCTCGAGAACCTCTCGTTCGTTTCCAAGGTCTCTTTCAGCGCCTCAATCTCTGATCTCGCGCTTTCCAGCTCCGCTTGGGAAACCAAGATTCGTGCTCTGCCTTCTTCGACCTCCCTCTCAGCATCCACACATCTTTTCTGTGTTCCTACGATCTCTCCCTTCAACCGTACCGTCTCTTCCTCCAGCACTCTATTAGAATCAGCCCCGGCCGCCACTTCCTCCTCCAGCCGCCGCTGCACTGATTCTAACTCCCGCCCCCTACCCTCCTCGGCGCTCTCCAAGTCCGCCACTCTGTTTTCCGCCACTTCGAGCGTTGCCGAAACCTCCCTAAACCTCTCCCCCGCGGCCGCGGCCGCGTCGCCCATCTCCGCGACCCTCAAACTCGCGGCTGCCAAGTCTCTCTCCAGCGCCGCCAAAACCTCGCCAAACCTCTCTCCCGCCGCCGCGGCCGCATCGCCCATCTGCTCGATCCTCAGGCCCGCGGCCGCCAGATCGCTCTCGAGCCTTGCCGTCTCTTCCCGCGCACTCGACAGCTCGCGTTCCGTTTCCGCTGCCGCTTGCCTGAGGTCTTCCGTTTCCGTTAGAGCGCCCGCCAGCCGCGCCTCCGCCTCATCCCGGGCCCTTTCAGCGGCCGTCACTTCGGTGCTTAGGTCAGTATGCGCCTTCTTAGCCGCTTCCAGCTCGGAGCTGACGTCAGAGTGGCCGTTATGAGCCGCCTCTAGCTCCGCTCGAACGTCAGCATGCGCCTTTTGGGCCGTCTCCAGCTGTTCGATGACGTCGGCACGCGTCCTCTGGACCGCCTCCAGCTCCGAGATGACGTCAGCGTGGGCTTTCTGAGTCTCCTCCAACTCGTGCATCGCCTCAGAGCGCGCCCTTTGCTCTGCCGCCAGCTCTAGGCTGACGTCACCATGCGCCCTCTGCGACGCCATCAGCTCTGCGCTGACGTCCGCATGGGCTTCCTGGCTTGCCACCAGTGCGGCTCTAACGTCAGCATGTTCCTTCTGGGCTTCTTCCAATCTTGCCCTGAAGTCAGCCTGGGCCGTCAGGGACGCCGCCAGCTCAGCGGTGACGTCAGCATGAGCCTTCTTACTGGCTGCCAGCGTGGTGCGGCGGGCGGCGCCTTCCTCAGTCAAGGCCGCCAGCTGGGCGCTGACGTCAGCGTGCGCGGACCGCGCGTTTTCGAGCTCCGCGCTGACGTAAGCGTGTTCGCTCCAAGCGGCTGCCAGCTGTCTCTCCGCGGCGGCGGCGCGGTCCTCGTTAGAAGCCAGCTCCACCTTGAGCCGGATGTTCATCTCCCGTGCTTCGGACAGATTGGCTGCAGGAACGTTGGTAATGGGTTCACAATTTGACGTGTCTCACTCGGGTGCGAATTATACTTGGGTTCGATGCTAAAACTTGACAGTAACGAACTACAAATGTCTCTTGCTTGTCCCTTGCACGTACGGAATATCAAGATGCAGAGAAACAGATTGAACTTACATTTGAAGACGTAGAAATGCATTCTACTTCAATCTACATACCCTTAACACGCCCGCAAGGTTGATCAAGTATTCCCAATCTGTTAGACACCGTTTACAAAATTTGCAAAAAGCTGCAAGCGAGCTCAAAATAGTTGAGATTGCACGTAACAAGCACCACAGGCGCCCACATATTTTATTAGTTTCAACAACTGCCAATACTGCAAAGCTGATACTTTCAAGAACACTACAGCTTCGTAGCTTCTACTCTTTAATCTCTGCTAATAGGCACAGCTACTTACCCGCCGCTCTAGCCTCCGCTTCCGCAAGCTCTGCTTGCAACTCTGCGACGGTCTCCCGCGCGCCTCCCACAATCGACGACAGTACCAAATCACTCACTGCTCGTTCGCTCTCCGACCCCACCCTCTCTTTTCGTTCCGCTTGCACAGAGTGTTTTACCGCCCCTCTATGTGACGCTTCGACACTTTCCGGCGCGTCTTTTTCCGGGTCTCCGCTAGTGTTCTGTGAGCTTTCGCTCCGCGGCGTTTCCGTGACGTCATGCTTGCGCCGAAGCTCTGCCAGGTGGCGCTTGAAGAGCGCCGCCTCAAACATCACAGCGGGCAGCTCTACGAGAGCCCGCCGATACGCTTCGAGCCGGGCAGTCTCCCCCGAGAACTTTTCTCCCCCCTTCTTATCCTGACCCGACTCCCCGGTTGATTCCCCCGAGCCATCACCCGCTCTGCCGGATCCACTTTCGTTCGCTGGTGCCACCGACTCGGACACAGTCCCCGCCCTTTGGACGCTCGGTGAGAATCCCGCCAGCATACTTTCCAGTCGGCTCACTCTGACCGGCAAGTCAAAGGAGCCGCTGGGCGACCGGCCCCCAGGAGCTTCCTGCCTTTGGTCGCCCAGAAGGCTTTCCAGCCGGCCGACTCGCACGGGGAGGTCGAAGGAAACGGCCTCCGATCGAGTTTCTTCTCTCGACGTACTTTGGAGCACACGGCTTGTCGAGTCCTTTTGGGCTAGGTCTGCTGTAAAATGGTCTGAAGCCCCAACCATGTTCCCTGCTAAAGCTTTCTCTGCTGCGGCAGCAAGGACCGGAGGTGTCTGCGGTACAAACCCGGGGAACTCGGACTCCTTAGTTGCCGAATCAGGGCTCCCGGTTCTTCGCTCCCGGGCGACGTCTTCGCTTTTGCTCAGTGCCCTTTGTTCCGCTTCCGCATCCTCTCCGGTTCCGGTTCCGGTCCCGTTTCCGTTCCCAGACCCTCGCAGCATACTTTCGACCCGGTTCACTCGTATCGGGAGGTCAAAGGAGCCTTGGGGCGTCCGTTCCGGTGTACCCGAGGGACTGGGCGGAATTGCCACCGGATTCCAGGCCCACACCGGAAGCTCCTTCGGCTTGGAGCCTTTCTTTACGCTGACGTCCTCCGACGGAATCGATGCCTGACAAGCAGCGTCTTGCGCCCAAAGAATTGTGGGTCCGCCCGCTGCAGTTCCGGCGGAACCCGGCTTTGTGGGCTCGAAGAAGCCCTCCATTTGACAGCTCACGCTGCACACCGTCACCGCTTCGGCCGCCGGATTCCGGAGTGCCTCCATCAGCGGAATCGCCTTCGCCTCTCCGACCACCGCTCCAAACAGGGTCGTGGTCTCACCGTTTGCATTTCGCTGCCCAAGTTCTGCCTCAGCCTCCGATTCAGAAAGAGCAACCACACTGTTCTGTTCAGTGCTCGCTTTCCGCCCTCCGAGCTCCAAGGGAGTCTCCGAGACGGACGGAAGCTCGCGAGCGCGCACGCCCAACCCGCCAAACTCAAACGCGCCCAGGCTGTTCGTCCGCGTCGCGGGCTCGCTGCCGGAGTAACTCGACAGAGTCGATCCCAGGAGACCGCTCATGCCGAACGCGTCGACTCCGCTCTCTTGCGAAGTCAGCGTGACGTCAGCAGACCGCACGGAAGGCGCGTCACCCCACGCGGCGCTTTCACTTCCCCCGGTCTCTTCGAGATGCTGCTTCCCGGGCCCTTGGGGGGTCATGAAGCTGCTTAAGCGCGGTTCCGATTTATCACCCAGGCTTTCGTGCAAAGTAGAACCTTCCTCCTTGGAGCTTAAGCTAAACTGACCGGGGCTTACGTCTTCAGTGGGCTCTGGCAGGGCGTTCTGGCGTTCCTCCATTGACTTGCTCCGGTCTTCCAACCGAAGCTCCGGCGGAGCCTCAGCCTTGTCCACGCTTTCCACCGCCCTCAGTCTGTCCTCCAGCCGCGCAATATTGGCCCGCAGTTGTCTATTCTCCTCCAAAATTGGAGTCTCCTCCTTGGCTCTATCTTCTTCCAATCCACCCGCTGCTCCCACAACCGCAAGTCCAACTTGGGCTCCATCAGCCAAATCCGGTTCTGCGCTCGACTCCGCTACTTTTTTCGAAGCTTCCCGCCTTTCCGTCTCTTTGTTCTTCCCGTCTTCCTCCCTGTTCCCCCTACTCACTTCTCCCCCTACATTTGCCTCAGAGGCTTCAGCTTCTTCCACTCCCCCCTTCCTCGAGCATCCAGCCTTTTCCGTTCGTTCCGCCTGCTGCCCCTCCACCGGAACTCCGGGCTTCTCACTTTCCTCCCCAGCGCTGAGCGTTTCTTCCAGAGGAGCGACCGCTCCTCCGAGCGCCGCGTTCTCCGGCGCCGCCAATTCTTTCTGCGCGAGCTCCTCCTGGAGCGCGCGCACTTCAAGGCGCAGGCCCGCGATCGCCTGCGCGGCCGTCGCGCGCTCCTCGCGCAGCCGCGCTATCTCGAGTTGCTCGTCGTGCGTTTCCGGATCTGCGCTTGCCTCTTCTGAGATACTCGCGGGTGCATCCTGCAAAAGTGGTGGCATGAACGGATCAGAGGCCGCTAATGTGAAACAGAGCTGCCGCTTGCTTGAAAGGTAGATAGCCGCTCCCTCTTGCCCTTCATAGTGATTCGTGTGTTCTTCCGGTTGTGTAGCTGTGTAAACAGCAGTCGCAATCCGGAAGTCTGCCATCAGAGACTCTGACTGACTCAGGAAAGCTTGCTGAAAGCACCTTTTTCAGAAGAGAATAAGTCATGTGGACGACACCAATTGAAGGTTTCACTTGACAGACACGCGCGTCTGCTTAACGAATATTAGAAGCACTTGAGTCCGGGAGAGAATGGAATCGTAAGAGGTATGGAAGGGCTTTCTACCCTCGAAATTATTGCAGAATTGAGACGGTGCGCTTACCGCGGCATTGCGGCTTGCAATCTGCACGGCTGGCGGTTGAGCAGTGTCTATTAGGCCCTCATCCTGTTGCGGCCCCTCGCTGTCGATCAGAGAGTCGCTCGCAGCGCCCAGCTCCGCTTGCAGGTACTCCAAGTCGTCTTGAAGCGCTGCGGAGAAAAAAAATGTACTAAGATGCTCATTTGTGAAGACCTCCACTTTGTCATACCAAGAGCGTGGCTCTGAGTCTTTTTAATCTTCGAATTGCTGGGCCCCTAAAAGACGGAAGAGGGAAGCAAAGAGGAGAAAGTGGTCCCGTCTGATATGAAGCTGTGAAATACCGTCATTTGAAGTGACTTGTTGAGCTCTAAGATTTTTGATGCCGATGCTAAGATTCCTGCGCAAGATCCTCCGTGCGCTGTTACGGTGCATGCCTTATGCTCAACGTTGCCGGCATACAGTCGAAGGCTCTTGACCTGAAAGAATTAGAACCTCCACACTAATAGAATCTGTCCTTGCGAGGGATAAGAATGGTTATTCGAATTGAAACTTGAAGAGGATAAGTTTGCATCCGGCTTACCAGCGGCCATCCCCTCCGCCATCTGCAGGTCCTCCTTGACTTCCGCCAGGACCTCTTCCGCTCCGGCCATGATTGCGGAATGAACGAAGTTGTCGACCGCTTTGTCGGTCTCCAAGCTTCTGCGAGCTTCTTGCTCCGACTTGAGATTGAGGACAGCGGACTGGAGGCTCGCAGCGGTCGCGGCCTGTAACTCGTGGAGCGTAACCACTTCTTCTCTGAGGGCATTCACACTCGCAGACTCGATCTGCATTTCAACCTGCGAGGAGGAATGTAGATTCTTCAAAGTGAAGTGATGACAGTATCAAGTCCGACCTTCTGATCTGTGCAGCGTAATAAGAAGATAGACTTTGGGAGTGGTCTGTGGTGTATGAAACGGGGTTTAAAAATTGACGACTTGAGTCCTACCTTTGGAGACCGGATAAAGCGCAGTTCACTTTGCGGCCGGCTTCAATCAGTCCCAGTCTCCCAAGTTCTACAACTGATAACTTGCCCGCTTTGAGTACTCCCACGTTGTGTGGTGCAAGTACCTTGACCCAAATCTGTCGTCAATCAGTGCCTAAAATCATTCCCGGCAATTGAATGGCACTCCAAGTCCAGAAAAGCGAAGCTAATCCTCTGGCCTACTCAAAAAAAATCCCTGAGCTTCCAAAGCCGGCTTACCGTTTCCTCCTCATAACCAGCTTCCTCCTCCCGAACTTCCGGTCCGCCCTCTCCAGTTTCCGAAAGGTCCTCCTCCTCAACGCCTGTGTTCCTCCCTTTCACGATCTCCAGCTCTCTCAGTGCAACTCGCAGCTCCTCCCGGGCACTCTCAATCTTCCCGCGGGCATCGCCCACTTCCCCGTTCGCTTCATCCAGCCTGCCGCGTGCCAACGTCAGATCCTCGTTACTAGAGGTTACCTCCTCCCGAGTCCTTTCCAGCGCCTCTTGGAGGAATTTTAACTCCCCGGTAGCTTTCTCCAGCTTCCCGTGCGCCGACTCTAGTTCTTCAACGCTGGCAATCGTATCCGCCCGGTTACTCTGAAGTGCCCCCCGGCCCTCGCTCAGCGCCTCGTTTGTCGCTCGCAGCTTGCCACGTGTCAGCGCCAGATCCTGGTTGCTATCCCTTACCTCTCCCCGCGTCCTTTCGAGCGCTTCCCGGAGGCTACTCAATTCCCCGGTTTCTCTGTCAAGCCTCCCTTGGGCCGACTCTAGTTCCTCAACACTGGCAACCGTATCCTCCCGGTTCCTCTCCAGAGCCACCAGGGACTCTCTCAGCGCCTCGTTTGTAGCCCGCAACTTGCCACGTGTCAGCGCCAGACCCTCGTTGCTAGCCGTTACATCTCCCCGAGTCATTTCTAGCTCTTCCCGGAGGATACTTAACTCCCCCTTCGCTTTCAGGAGAATGAGCTCCCAGGTCGCTTTCTCCAGCCTGCGGTGCGCCAACTCTAGTTCCTCAACACTGGCAACCGTAGCCGCCCGGTTCCTCTGAAGACCTCCCTGAGACTCGCTCAGCGTCTCGTTTGTAGCGCGCAGCTTGCCACGTGTCAGCGTCAGATCCTCTTCGCCAGCTTTTACCTCCCCCCGAGTCCTTTCAAGCGCTTCCTGGAGGAAAATCAGCTCCCCGGTTGCTCTTTCCTGCCTTCCGTGCGCCGACTCTAGTTCCTCAACACTGGAGGCCATTTCTGCCCGATTATCCCGAAGAGCTCCCCGGGACTCGCTCAGCGCCTCGTTTGTAGCCCGCAGCTTGCCACGTGTTAGCGCCAGAACCTGGTTGTTATTCCTTGCCTCTCCCCGCGTCCTTTCTACCTCTCCCTGGAGGAGAATCAGCTCCCCGGTTGCCTTCTCCAGCCTGCCGTGCGCCGACTCTACTTCAATATTGGCGACCGTTTCCGCCCGGTTAATTTGAACAGCCCCCCGAGACTCGCTCAGCGCCTCGTTCGTAGCCCGCAGCTTGCCACGTGTCACGAAGAGCTCTCTTTTTGTTTCTTCCACCTCCCGGTGCAACTTCCCGAGCTCTTCCCTCGCTTCATTTACAAGTCCCGAAAAGACAACCCCTTCTTCGTCGGCTCGCGTCCCTCTCGGGTTAGTGGAAACCACCTCCTCTAACCGTTTTCCAGTTGCAAAATCAGGGTTCTCCAACCCCGTCTTTTCGACCTTGGCAGGCTCTTCCACCGGTGACGGCGACTCAATTGAAAACAAGGCCCGCTTGAAGGTCGCCGAAATCTCCTCCAGGTTGGTTTCCCCGGGCAAGTCTCCGTCTCTAGCGGCTCGCAGGAGCGCCAAATGCGCGTCTGCGGTCGTCAGCTCGACGCGCGCGGCCGCGAGCTTGTGCGCCGTCTGCCGCAGCTCCTCCCTGGCTGACGTCACCAGCTGCGTCATGTCGCGCTGTGCCACTTCCGCGCTCACAGCCTGCACTTGAAAGTTAAGATGCTTAGAAGATGCTTGGTAGCAGGTCCTTGTGCGTCAAAAAGGTCTGCGCATGTCAGTGCCCGCAAAGGCTTTGCTTACCAAAAGAAAGAGTGGGCGCATCACTCATATCCTCGGCGATTGAGAGGCATTTTAACGTAGAGGTCCACATCAGATCGGGTTTGCATTACCGCCGGTCGCGACAATGGCTCTCTGAAGTACTGCCAATATGACATGAAGGGCGCTTCAAGCTTTACCTTTAGCCACGATGACGAAGGGCCTTTATATATTGAACCACAACGAGTGCCGTCACTAAGAATCTTCTTTAACATACAGGAGTTCCAAACCCTGTCGTATCGATTTTTCCTCACCTCTTTCGAACCTTCGAGAGGGTTTTGGTGCTCGTTAGGTGAAGAAGCACCTGTGTAAGCGGCGAGCGCTTCTTGGAGTGCAGTCAGCTCGGCGAGCGCAGAGTCGCTCTTCTGCTCGTACTCTGCAATGAAGTTCACGCAACAAAGTGAGCAGAAGGAATAATTTCCGGCTTTTCGATCTTGTAAAATCTTCGGCTCCTATGTTCACTCCTTAATTGCCCTTGCACTGAGGCTAACTACGATCCAAAGAATTGAATCAGAAAGCACATCCTTTGTGACTAGAGAAAGAAGCTCCGGCTCTAGGATGGCAGGAAATAAGCTATCGGATTATACCAGCTATGCAAAATGATTCACACTAAACCTTCTTCTTCACCCGTGCTATGCTGCTGATGATCGTGACGCTACCAAGTTTTGTCACTCTAGACATCGCAGGAAGCGGCCGCGACAGTTTCTTTTCAGAACAGAGCTAGCAGAGCTGCAGCTCTCTGATTTTCTGATAGCCCATCATCCAAACAACGCCTTCGTATGCGCTTGACTCAGAACTTACCAGCAGCTCGCGACTCGGCCTTCCTGACGTCTCCTTTCAGCACCCGGACGGTCTCCTCCGCTCCCGCCAGTATCGCAGAATAGACCAATGCGTCTGCTGTCCTGTCAAACTCCAAATCTTTTAGCGCTGCTCTCTCCGCTTGCAAGGAGCCAAGGGCCGCCTCAAGTTCTTCAACAGCGGCCTCGTGTTTTCCTTGCAGATCTTGCATTTCTTCCTCGAGACCCACTCGCGTGTAATCTGCAGGGAGATGAAGATTACTGTTTGAGCCGCATGGCCCTTGAAATTGATCTGGGGGAACGCAGTCGGATGCAGTGCTGTTCCGGACATGGGGCAAAAGATTAGCCCCTTCTTTAGGGGAGGTGCCTAGGTGTCCTGAAATTGTCTTGACACCTTCGTATCACGATAGGAATTGCATGAATCTCTCCAGATTCGAATGTTGCATGCAAGTCAGCAGATGCACTCAAGCTTGCACACTAGAGTATTCATAAGTTTTTGGGATCTCGTCTTGCCTAGGAAGGCAAACGACTCATTCTTAGTTTCAGTATCAACTCACGTGCCGCTTGTTTTTCCGTCGCTGCCAGGTCGTTCTTCGAAGACCCAACCGCTTCGCTGGCCCCGGTCAGGATGGCAGAACGCAACAGCTCGTCGCTGTTGTTCTCCGATATTGCTTGGTCAGACGGAGCCGGAACCGGGAACGGGACCGGAACCTTCTCTGCGTCCACAGGAAGGCGGGTTTCGATGTAGCTGCTCCTCCGGACGGCTTCCTTCTGACTGTCCGCGGATGTCTGCTTCTGCAGAAAGGAGAATCAGACAAGGGGACAAATCAAACGGGTGGCAAAAAGTGAAAACTGGAATCATCTGGAAGCGGGATGTCCTATAGATTGCCCTTGCTGCAAGCTCCTCAAAGGTGTCCTGTCCTGTCGGTAATTAGTGCACAACATTGCCACAACACAAGTAATATTCAACCGTGAAACAATACCCCCTCTCCATCCCACTCGAGAGGTCTGTTTCTATAGTCTGAGCTTCTACAGGTTCGCCTCATTACAAACCAGCACAGTATCTCGCATCGAATTGCAAGATTAAATGGTTGCCCTGAATCAATCAGCATCCTTTCAAAGAAAAGCAACGATAGAGACAATAAAGCTACTTTTACCGAGAAGCTCGAGTAGAAAAGACGAACGCATTGGGAACCTTTAACTGTTTGTAGGTAGAAATAATTTCAGGACCTCGCTTTTCACAAGCTCACCTCCAAGCCCTGCAGCCTGGCCGCCTCCGCCATCCTGAGCGCATTCACACTCGCCCGCCTCACCGCTTTCCTCACCGCCTCCACCCCCGCTCCCCCGACAACCCCTTCAATTTCCCCCCCGGTAAATATCTGGATCTCTTCGTAGAACTGCGTGAGCGACTTTCGCGTGGCCTGCAGCTCCTCTTTCACTGCGCGCAGCTCCTCCTGATACCCCGAGCACTCGGCCGCTTTCTCCCGATAGGCTTCCGCAGTAGAGGCCTCGTCCCACCGGATCTCGGCATCCGCCCGGGGCGACTGGCTACCATTCCCAGGGCAAGCTTCGCCCGAACAAGGCCCATCGACGTGGGTCTCTGACTGGAGCCCGTTATGAGAGTCGGCTGGGACGGCTTTGAGTCCGTCAGCCTCTTCAGACACGTTGAAGAGTCTGCTGACGTCAGACAACACGTCAGCGTTCTCGTCTTCCGGTCCGCTTGAGTCCCCGGTTGTTGTCAGCGCCCGAAGTGCGAGGGCCTTGCCTGACGTAGGGCTGAGCACCGCCGGGTCGATCAGATCGTCACTCTTGTCCAAAACTCCCGCTCTAGTTGCTTCACTTTCGCTCGGGTTCCGTTTCCCCTCCCCATCCCCGTCTGAACTCGCCGTCGTAAGTCCCTCCTCCACGCTGCTTGCAAAAGGCTCACAGACAACCGCCGACAGCTCCTCTGTCTCCGTTTGTGCGGCAACTATCCTCTTCTTGCGACCCTCCTGCTCTTCCTCGTTCTCTTCACTAGGTCCTACGACCGCATCGCTCTCAATCGTACCTCCCAAAGGCTCTAGTTCTTCCCCCACCGGTTGTCCGAAAGAAGCGGCCAAAACCAAGCCCCGGACGTCCGCCAGCTCCGCCTCCAGCGTCCGGAGCTTCTCCTCCTTCCCGGCGCACTCCACCGACCGGGCCTCCAGTCGCGCGGAGACCTCTTCAAACGCTTGCCCCGACACCCTTCGCCCTTCTACCGGGCACTCACCTTCCGCTTCGTGCGCAAACGCGTCTGCCAGAGTCTGTCTCGCCCTCACCAACTCTCCTCTCACGGCTTCCAATTTCGAATCGAGCGCATTCGCCTCCGCGGTCTTCTGCTCGAGGGCGGCAGAATTGCTCTCGTATTCCGCCCGGTTTACAGAGCTCCGACCACTTTCTCCGCCAGAGGTCTCTTCCAAAGAGTCTCTGCACGAATTACCGACTTCTTCCGTAACCTCTTCCAATTCCGTTCGCAGAGACCGGAGCTTCTCCCCTTTCCTGGCACATTCCGCCGACCGGACTTCCAACCGCGCGGAAAGCTCCCCAAACTCTTCCACCGACACCCCTTTCTCCCCCGGTATCTCACCTTCAGCCCGCATGGCAAATCCATCCGCCATGGCGCTTCTCGCCGCCAGAAGCTCCTCCCTCGCAACCATTATTCGTTTGTCAAGCTCACTCTCTTCTCGCACCTTGTTGTGGAAACCGGCGGACAGCGCTTCGAACTCCTCCGCAGGGATAAAGTGTCGCCCGTCATCATCCCCGGCGAATCTCACCGACACTTCACTGGCCGTACCCGCGTCTGCTTTTCTCGCTTCTTCTAGTTCCTCTCGAAGCGCCCGTAGCTGGCCGGCCTTCCGGGCACACTCTACCGAGCGCTCCTCCAACCGAATTGGCATCAGCTCGTCGTCTCCCGCATCCACACCTTTATCTGATTCTCTTTCTCCCTCCGACTGGATTTCACGCATTCTCTCGCGTTGCTTTTCGGTACATGCTTCTTTTGCGTGTGACAGCTGCTCTCTTACAGTGACCAACTGCACCTCCAACTCGTTCTCCTCCCGTTCCCTTGTCTCGCAAAGCTCTGACAGCCGTTCGATCTCTCCAGCAGAAGCACTTTTCCGTTCCTCCCTCTCATCAGGCGCCACTGGCATCGACGCCAGCGTGATGTCAGCTAGCTCCTCCCGCAGCGCGCGCAGCATCCCCCTCTTCCGCGCGCACTCGAGCGCAGCCGCGGCCGACCGACCGGCCAAACCCTCGGCCTCATCCCGCGTCCCTCCCGCTTCCACGTGGCACTCAAATCTCGCCGCGAGCACCGCGCGCGCGCTCAACAGCTCCTCCTGGGCTGCTCCGAGCCTTCCGTCCAGATTTCCCGCCTCTAGTTCCTTCTGCTCGACAGCCGCCGAGAGCCGCTCCCATTCCGTTCCGCTTCCGTTCGCTGCTCCAGACTCCGGTCCCCGGACGGAATCCTCGGCCACTCCCTCGCTCAACGCCTGGACTTCTTCCAGCTCCCGGTGGATCGACACGATCTTCCGTTCCTTCCGTTCACAAGCTTGTGTCACCTCCGCCAACTGCGTCGCCAGGGTTTCAATCTCGCCGTCCAAAACCCCCAAACCTCCGCCGATGCCGGCCGCGGCAAACCCGTCGGCAAGCGCGGTCCTTGCCTGGGTTAGTGCTTCGGTGGCGTCCATCAACGCTCCCTCGAGAAGCTCGTGCTGCTGACGTTTTTCCTCGACGTCTGACGAGAGCCTCGCAACTTCCTCCGAGTCTAGTGCAGGCGTGGTCTCGTCTTCCTTCATTGTATGCAAAGGCGATTTCCTTCCAGAGCCCAGATCTGCCAAGTCTTCCCGGATCGCGCGCAGCTGCCCCCTCTTCCTCGCGCACTCCGCGACCAGGGCCTCCAGCTGCCCGGTCAAATCCCGCGCGGTCTCGGACACGCCCGGCGCACTTTCGGACCCCAATCTCTGGGCGCCCGTTTCGCACTCGCCTGCGAAGCTCTCAGCGAGCGCGTCCCTAGCTGCCAGCAGCTCATCTCTCGCAGCCCCCAGAGCCACGTCAAGACTGTAGTCATCCATTACCATCATCTGGTAAGCCGCCAAAAGCTGCTCCAAATGGGGCGCCCCTGCCTCTCCCTCTGCCATTGAGCCTTCCTTAGCAAGCAAAGTCTCCGCGACGAAACTCTTGACTCCCGCCAACTCCTCACGCAACGCCGAAAGCGTCTCCTCCTTTCGCGTTGACGCTGCCCGCAGGATCTCGAGTCTCTCCAGCACGTTAGCCTCGTTGACGCCGGCGTGCTCCACTGCCGCGCCCCCGTCTGCCGACGTCTTCGCTAGAGCAGCCCTCGCCTGTTGTGCTACCCGAATCTCTCCGTCCAACTGCTCTTGCTTCCGCAGTTCCTCCACCTCTGCGAGTCTCTCAATCTCAACCGCAGTGGCACCTTTTCCTCCCCCCTCTTCCGAGACGTTTCTGTTGAGTTCACCATTGCTCTCCGTCCGCACATGGTCTAGCTCCTGACCAAGCTCTCCCTCCTCGTTCAAGTCTTCTTTTCTGGTCGTTGCCGTGAACATCAAACCCTTCTCCACCGCTAAGATCTCTTCTGCCTTCGACACTTCCTCAACGGCGTTCGAAAGGAGTCCAACGGCGTCCGTCCTCCGGTCTACGGCGTCCGCATTCCATCCGCTGGCGTCCGAGATCCGCTCACTGGCGCTCCGTCCGCGGGCGTCCGAAAGGCGCCCAACCTGGAAGGGCCGCGTCCGCAGCAGCTCCTCATTCTGTTCCTTCAGGCACCGCAGCTTCCCGGCGGCCTGCCACAGCGCCACCTGTCTTCCCTCCTCCTCCAAAGCACTCGCGCGCCGCTCGCGCACTTTACCGTCGATTTGCGCGTCCCCGCGTGGCTCCGACTCCTCCTTCCCATCTACTTGCACGCCGCTTCTTGCAGCGACTTCTCCATTAGCCTCTCTTTTCTGAGCCTTAGCTTCTCTCAGTCTGACCACTAACCCAGCCGCCTCTGGCAGAACAATTCCCTTAACCCGCAGGTCAACTTGATCCACCAGCCCCTCCGCCTCCAGTTCACGCGCGCGCCGCAGTGCCGCGTCTCTCTCTCGCTCTAGCTGATCAATCCGCAGCAGCAAACTTTCCGTTCCGGTCGGGCCCTGTTCCGCTGCCGATTTGTCGCCTTCCGCATTTCTCCTCGCCGGAGTTGGCGTCGTGAGATCCTCACCGTCTGCCACCAACTCTATCCTGCCAGTCTCTAGCCTTTCTGCTGCCAAGCTTCCGCTTTCCGCTTCCGCTTCCGCTTCCGCCTCCGCTTCCACGGACGGAACCACACTGTTCAGGGCGTCTGGGCACTCTCCAACACTCCACTTCACGTGGTAGACGCTGTTTTCCTCCGCCCCGTCAGAAGTGCCCGTCTCCCCAGCAATGCTTTTATCCTGCGGAGGAGAGCTCTCGACATAGTCCGAAATTGGGGCGTCGGGAGCTTCTCCCACGCTCCACTTCACAAGGTACACTCCGTTCTCCACGATCTCGTTAGGGTCGGCCGCCTGTCCTGTGACGGTCTGGTCCTCCGGGGAAGAAGTCTCAATGTTCACCGGGAAAGTTCCCTCCTCGCTTCGGCCCCCTCCCACAAAGTCTGCCACCAGAAAGTCGACCTCCAGAGACGCAGCACGCGACAGCTGTTCCTGGTTTGCGTCCTCTGCTTGCGTTTCCTCTGTTTGCTGTTGCTCTTCAGCGTCTGACTTTCTATCAACCGGTTCCTCTTCCCCGACCATTCCCCTTCCGCTGTGCAGCTCTGCTTCCGCCGGACCGCTCCCGGTTTCTTCTGCCCCGGTTGCCTTTCTTAGAAAAGCATCCTCCAGCTTCACTGACGTGGCCACTAGCTGCTCCTCCTTCCGCTGCAGAAGCGCCTCCAGCCGAGCCAGTTCCGCCGCCATCCGTTCCGCTTCCGCTGCCATTCGTTCCGTTTCCGCTCGCAGCTCCGCACCCTCGTGCGCCCCCTGCTGGCTTTCTTCCAGAAGGGCCCTCAGCGCGGCCACCTCTTCCCCTCGGGAAAAGCACAACCTCTCTAGTTCGCGTAACCGGGCTGATTCACACTCGGGCTCTGCCCTCTTGTTGGCTTGGTGTAAATACACCGCGTCTGTCATCGACTGCGAACGCTTGGGCAACTCCAGCGGACTGAATAACTCGCCCTCAATCCCGAACAGCGGGTTCAACCGGGGAGTCGCCCCGAAGGCCCATTCCTGGGCTGTTGGCATACTCACCGAGAGCGACTTCCGGCGACCTTCCAATGCCCTTTCGGGCAGTTCATCGGCACCGCCGGTCGCCAGATCAACCGGCCGGGGTCCTTCCTCGGTCACAAGCTGCCCATTTCCGCTTGGCAGAAAGAGCGAATCTTCGACCGGTTCATATTGCACGGTGAAGCACTCGCTGATGCGCTCCGACGGCGGCTGGCCGCCCTCGCCCACGAGCCACCCCTCCGCGTCTTCGGACGTCCGCACGAGCGAAGATTTGGACAGGCTGCGAGCCACGCCGGCGTCCGCATCGTGCGCCAAGGCGTCCGAACCGTGCGCCAAAGCATCCGCAGGTTCAGCGGAAGCGTCCGGACCGCGTGCCAGGACGTCCGGAAGACGCGGCAGAGCGACCGAACCACTCGCGGAAGCGTCCGAAGTGCGCGCCAGAGGGTTTGAAACGCGCCCCAGGACGTCCGCATCGCGCGCCAGAGCTTCCGCGACGCTGGAAGCCTCCGAGCGGATGACCGCCGAGTCGAAGCGCGGCCGGCCCTCCCCGAAACCCCCGCTAAACCCTCCGTCCCTTGGGCTTTCATACAGAGGGTTTTGGACCCCCACCGTCTCAAAGTCTGGCCGCGCAACAGCGGCAGTGGCCAGCCGCTCTGTCTCGTTCTTCAGCTCCTCGAGCTGTGCGCGCGCAAACGCGAGCTCGTCCTGAAGTGCGCCGCGCGCGCCGCGCTCCTCCGCGAGCTGCGCGCGCAGCTCCGCGACCTCGAGCTCCAGGGAGAAGCGCCCGGCGGCCAAACCCTGCAAACCCTGAACTTCCGCGGCCAGCTGCGCCGACGCGGCCTGCGACAACTGGAGTGCGACCAGGGACGCCTCGAGCTGCGCTCGCAGAGTTCTGACCTCTACTTGGAGCCGGGTAATGGCACCGGAATCCGCCGGAACCGTCGACCCCGGCAGAGCAGCTGCTATTGACGGAACGGGGCCGAGGTCTTCGGGGTTCGAGACAGGAAGACTTTCCATTACAGCAGCGTCGGTACATGGAGGAAGTGACTGATCGTATTTCGGTTCCGCTGGGATAAGCGTTGCCTGTGCACCGATGCCGTCGACGTTCTTGATGAGCTCTGCACGAAGTTTCAGGAAAGGTCAGATTATAATACTAAAAACCGAGTCCCAGGGTTGTTCGACGAGGCTGACTCCTCAAGGCTTAGCTTATAAGATGTAGAATCGGTAAGTCGCTGTAAGTGTGTTGAATCACCAGAAAACTCTTCCTGGAGTTAGGACAGAAAGAGAAGTGAGGTCGAGCTTGACTACTCATCAATCTTATCTAATCAATCCGCTTTAAGAGTACTCTTGTACCCTCAGAAAACGTTCGGTCGAGTGCTGCTTTATGTGCTGCGCAGTTGCATCAACAAACAACAGCGTGGGCGCAATCGACAACTTGACATCCAGATTTCTGCAGGTTCTCTTTCAGAGCTTCCAACCTGTAAGCAAATTGACTGTACCTCCCTCGTAGCATAGTCGTCCCCTAAAGCAAAAGACCTGACGCGTCTTTGAAGCGAGTTGGACCGGCGATATTTGGCATGTTTGCGGACGGCGCTCTTGAATCTTCATGAGAGATGAGCATAAAGAACAAAAAGAAAAGCGTGGAATAGGAATCAGGACTGCTTGAAAACGGACGTCAAGTGCAGGTCGACAGACGAAATCCTCGAAGTTGCAAGGATACCACACTCGAACGCTTGATGGTCCACTAACTTCGGTATGATCGGCACTACCCCGACTCACCTTCTGCTTCTCGTGGCGGATCACGAAGCTTTTCCTCAGCCGCGGCGTCCCGAGCTTCCTGCTGGTTTGCATCCCTAAGCTCCCCCTCCAGGTCCCTTATTACTCCCTTAAGCTCCTCGTTCTCCGCTCTAGTTCCCCGCAGCAGCGCCAGCTCATCCTCCAAAGCTTCGAGCCCCACGTCCGCCCCGCCCTGCCACGTGGCAGCCAGCCGCGCGTTCTCCTCGCGCGCACCGCGCACCACGCGCTCCAGCTCCTTGACCTTCTCCTCCAAACCCTGAACCCCGGGGTCGGCGTCTCGCGGCCGCGTGTCGGTCTGCTCCACGACGTCCGAAGTCATCGGGCGCTCGCGCTCCTCTTCGCGCTCGCGCGAACGCGCGGCCTCGCTCCTCAGAAGCGTCACCTCCGCCTGCAGCGCCTCAAAGCCCTCGTGCTCCGCCACGTGGCACTCCGCGCGCAGAACGCCCTCCCTGTGCGCGCGCTCGACCTCGTCTGCCAGCGCCTCGCTCTCCGCGACTTTCTCCTGCAGCCGCTGCAGTTCGTCGCGCAGCGCCTCCAGCTCGCGCGCGCGCCCGGGGGTTGAGACCCTGGAGGCGGAAACGGAACCGCCGCCGGAACAAGAACGGGAGTGCGAACGCGAAATGGGTGTTTCGACCCAGACCCGGCCCACATCCGAAAGCCCAGAGAGGCCCCGGGTGTCATTTTGAACCTCTGCCTTTTCAGCGGAGATCAGAATCTCGGACCCGGGGTTTAAGCCGCGGATTTTAGCCCCCAGCTGCTCCTCCAGCTCGGAGACGCGCGCGGCGAGCGCGACGTTCAGGGCGGCCGCGGCCGCCAGGGCCGCGTCCTTCTCCATCTCCAGGACCGGGCCTTCCCGTTTCGCCAGCGCGCTGTCAAACTGCTCTACAAGGTTGCGCTTCGCTTTAGCGCCCGATGCTGACGCGAGCCCGACCTCTGTGCCGCTGCTTTCGCTGGTGATGACGTCCTTCTCCAACGTCTGCGGGCTTTCAGTTGCCACGTCAGCAACCTCTGAACGCTCTGTGTCTGTATCCGGATCCTCAAAGTCGATTTCGTCGGGTTTTGTTGTTAGTGCAGACGCGTCCGGTGGGCTGAAAGTCGTGTCCGTTTCCGCTTGGTAGGTGTCCGTCGTCGCTTGCAGGGGAGTCCTCGGCGGACTTATAAGGACGGGAAGCGAGAGCAGTGGAACTTCAGAGGTCTGATGGAGCGGTTCCAAGCCTCCGTCCGAAAGTAGGCCCCGCAAGTTCTCGCCGAAGACGTCCTCTTCGGTGCGGCAACAGGGAAAGCGAGAGTGCTGTCAGCATCGAACATGATAGTTTAAGCGAGTGACAGGTTTTTTGAGATGAGCTGTTCATGCCTTTAATCCGTCACTGAACAGAAGTGGAAGAGCCGGGTCGTTTAGGTGGAAGCTGGCCTGTAGCCTCTTCGTCACGTGTGTGCTACTCGGGCTTTTGGGGCTTGTTTTGTGATCCCTTGAATCATTCCACTCATGCAGTTCATTAACGTCGTGATTAGTAAGTTCAAAGTTTGTTCATTCTGGCTCAAAACCTGGTGAGTTCGAAATTTGGCAAGACGAAAGGCTCAAGACGAGAGAATCAGACTCGTCATACAGAATTTTTGGATTGTAAACCACATCCTCGAATTCAATGTCCATCTACTTTGTTGACAAGCGTATCGTGAGACGCTTGCAATCGTGAAGATTCACTTCTTCCACATTGAGAGGACACAAAGAACACATGCATGACTTCTGAACACCCAGATTGGAGACAAAACGATTTACCTTGGTGAAGCTTTTTCCACTGAGCCAGAGACACGCCTGCCGCTCCACACCGGCGACCCAAAGTCGCGTATGTCGCCTCCCGAGCTCAGCGTTATCTCAACTTGGTCGCCCTCATCCTTTCCCCCGGTTTCTTGCGCGAGCGGGCCAACAAACTCCACTTCCCCGGGCGCCCTTGCCTCCAACTCCGAGGACAGTGCCGAATCCCAAGCCGCCACGTGTCCGGTTGCTCGCCCGGCGCTCCTCGCAGGCGCATCCAACGAGTCCATGTGGATGAGCTTCCCGCTCGACAGCAGCCGGTTGCCTCCCCCCGACAAAACGAAGCCCAGCTGCCCGTTCACCAAATCGTGGAAGTTGGGGGATCCCTCTGCGGCCGGGGGGGTGGAACCTAGACTGGGGGAGCTCTGGGCGCTGTCAATGCCCAGCGCCTCCAGAAGGGCCCGTGCCCCGGGCTCATCTACTGGAGAGTCCTGTCCTTTGTAACCGGAACCGGTATTCCCAGTAAAAGTTGGAGGTTGCGAATCCGCTGGTGATCCATCCTGGGGAATGGCGTCACTCAAGTTAAGCCCAATCGCTAAGGGACTCAAACCGCTCCCCATCGAGCTGGCGCTCCTCTCTCCTTTCCCGGGGGGTACACCAGTCGCCGTAACAGGCCCAACCTTCTCCGTTTCCACACCCCCCGAGAAGCTCTTCCCGGCACCGGCCAGCTTCTCGGTCATAAGGACAGCTTCCCTCAACTGGGCCTCCTTCTCGTAGAGAGACCGCTTCAGCCCCAGAACTCTCTCTTCCAGTTCGCCCGCCCGAATGCTGGCCTTCCGCCATCCGGCTTCCATCCTCTCCGCGTCCGCCTGCGCGAGCTCGCACGCGCGCTCTAGCTCCTCCACGCGTGCCTCCACTTCCGTCCGCTGGAGCTCCGCTCTCATTGCGCTCTCGTTCCGCCCCGCCTTCGCCTGGGTTTGCTCCAACTCGTGCAACGCCGCCTGCATTTGCACGTCTACAGTCTCCAGCGCTTCTTTCAGGCGCTCATTTTCTGACAGGAGCCCCTCCATTTCGCTGTCAAACCGCTGCTTTTGCTCCTCAAGCCCCGCATATAGAGTGGCCTTTTCGAGCTCAAGTCCGTCTACCTGCTCTGCAAAAGTTGCCCTTTCTGCCTCGAGGTCTGCCCTCAGCCGCTCCTCTCCAAACAGAAGAACCTCCGTCTCGCCCACGAAGCGCGCTCTCTCCTCTTCAACTATCTTCTGCAAAGCCTCAATTTCGCCGGCAGACTTCGCTCTTTCTTCCGCAATACTATTCAGCAACGCCTCCTTCTCGACAGACAAACCTTCCAACTCAGCCACACAACGCGCAATTTTCTCTTGCAGCCGCGCATTCTCGAGCTTTGTCTCCGCGAGTTCGCTCTCAAACCACGCTGTGTCCCTGTCATTGGAATCCCTCAGCCGTTCGTTCTCGAGCGACACCCGCCTCACCTCCTCTCCCAACCGCTCGCTTTCCCCTTCCAAAGACCTTCTCAGACGCTCTTCTTCGACTTGCAGAGTCTCCATCTTATCCGCAAACCGCTCCCTCTCTTCCTCAACCGCGTCTACCAGCCGGTCTTTGTCACTCGTCAGGTTGTCCAACTTCGCCAACAGTGCCGCGTTCTCTCCTTCCAGAAGCGCCGCACGTTCTTCCGCCGCGTCACGGGCCGTCAGAAGCTCCCGCTCGGTGCGCGCTTCAGCCTCCTCGTCACGTGCCACATGCAAGGCTCCCTGGCCGGGGAGTGCGCCTTGCGCCTCAGCAATGTCGTCTTGGCTCTTCTCTGCAACTCCATCTTCAGCCAACACTTTCGATCCCGCTCGGTCCGCTGCCGCCCCCTCTAAAATGCCAATCGCATACTTCTCTTCCTCAGCAAGCGAGCCTGCCAATCTACCTCCTTCTTCCGCCACCACTCTATTTCCCCTCACCTCTTCCTCCTGCCTGTCTGGCCCCGAATTTGCTCCATCACCGAAACCCTTTGCCCCTCGGCCTCCATTCCCCTGTGCCGCAATCGTACCGTCAGCCTGAGCAACGCCAGCTGGCATTCCGCATCCAGTTCCGGCTACCAAGAGCTGCTCCTGCATCGCCAAAATGAGGCCCTCCTGCTGCGCGCACGTCCGCTCCACCTCCGCAAACCGCTGCTCCGCCGCGCGCGCCGCGATCTCCAGCTCCGCCGCAATCTGCTCAAAGTCACGTGCCACCCGCTCCGCCGCCACCTCAGCATCTCTCGCCGCCACCTCAGCATCTCTCGCCGCCACCTCAGCATCCCTCGCTGCCACCTCAGCATCCCTTGCCGTGGCAAGCTCTGCTTTCAGCGCCTCAGCGCTGTCGTTACTCTTCGCAGCAGTGGCGCGGAGGGTTTTCAGCTCTGCTAACAGGCCCGCAATACGCTCATCTCTTTTTGCAAGATCTAGGGCGAGCGCCGCAACTTGGCCCTCTGCCAAACCAAGGTCCGCAGATTGCGATGCAGCGTCCGCCTCCGATCGGAAGAACTCATTTGCAGTCAGAGCTAGCTTCGTTTGGAGTGCAAGCGCGTGCTCTTCTGCTGCCGCTAGGTCAGCTTTGACTCCTGCCACGTTGTCCACTTCTCCTCTGAGCGCCGCAATGTTCCCATCCTTCTCAGCGACTTCCTCTTCGAGATGCAAAAGCTGCTCCGCCCCAGCCGCAAGTTCCACTTGCATGCGCTCGGTGCCCTCCGAGAGCACATCAATTTGCGCCTGTAGATCTGCAATCTGTGCCTGGAGGTCAAAGTCTTCCGCCCCCCCAGCCTGCGCCAGGCCTTTTGGCCCCCCTGGAATGCCGACCACCAGCTCATTTCCCCTTTCTTTGGCTATGCTGTCCTTTGCCAACGTGTCCAAGAGCTGCCCCACTTCAGCGAAGTAGGCGCCAAACGAGGCTTCTAGGTTGTCAACTACCGTTGCAAACTGAACTTTAGTGGCAAGCGAACCCTCTGCTATTGGGCCCCGTTTTGGTGTTTCAGCCTTTGGTTCTGCTGCAGACTCTGGACTCTGTCCGCTTGGACTCGGCGCAGCAACAAGAGCGTCGGTATTGGTAGGGGCCAGTGTAGTTTCTTGGCTCTCCTGATGCCACTTGGCTAAGCCCTGCCGAGCACTCTGCACTGATGTCTCGATTGCCGTCAGCTGCGCAGCCTGCTTTGACAGACTGTGACTGTCCTTGTCAGGAACCTTTGCATTTCCCTCCTCTAGCTGCCGGTTGCGCTCTTGAGCAATCTGAATGGAGAAAAGCAACAGAATGATAGCTTTAGGGATAACCCTGTGGAGATTGATGCTGAGAAGGGACCATCAATCTTGGATCGAGATGAGCGGAGGTGCTTCTGAAAAGCTTCTTTGCCCGATTGAAGTCCGAAGGGACAATATGCACGGAATGTTTGAGGAGCACAGGGGTAAGATCATCAGGGATCTACTAAAGTGGCCATCCGCGTAGTTGGAGCTCAAATGCGTCTTTTTTGAAATGTTGCATGCATTCCCTTCCCTTTGATCAGCCCGACCGAGGTTTTTAGGGTACATCACATAAGAAAAAGGTTCTCAAATAAGACTTACCAGCAGGTCTTTCTCCCGCTCGTATAGCGCCTTTTCAAGGTAGAAGATCTCCGCCTGGCTTAGGACGAGCCGCCTTGATAGGTCTTCATACTGGAAATACAGGAGCTCATGTTTACCCATCGGTCAATAAGTGAGAGCTTGCAGCATGATCTGCTGTTCTCACGCACCGTCCCTGCTTTGCATTGCTGCCACTGTTCACAGTGAAAAGCTTCAGACAGCTGCTCAGGAGCTTCTCCTATTGGCAAGAAGAGAAGGCCCGCATGAGAGATGATCATGGCATTGCCTACCAAAGCTCTGTTGCATTTAAGAAAGTAGGCGGCCTGCATGTATACTTATCTCCAGTGAAGAGGCAAAAGTGAAAACAAGACGTACTTACCTGCTTTAGCTCCTCTTCTCCCAGGTGTTGCGATCGCTGAAGGCGATAGCTTATGTGCCCCTCCATCAATTTAGCTGGGTCAGCCATTGTTAACAGCTCGTGTCGCTCCAGCTTTTGACAGGTTCTGTGCCTAAGTGCCAGGAATGCTGTTGCTCAAAGCTCCCAATCTGGCCTTATGACCTCTAAGCTGAATCAGCCCCATCCAGCCAAGAGCAAAAATTTTCAGATCAGTGATCGCAAAGGCTGGTGAGTGCAACCCCACCGCGCCAGCAGATTTGCTTAGCACTGGAGCTCGCAAAACCTCTTCTCCATGATTTTGGTCAGACCATCTTGCCAGATCCATTGCCGTGCTCTGAGCTGCCAGTTGCACCTGCGTTTTTGTAGTACAGCTCTGGATGAGATACATTGCCTCTACAGCCGCCGGCCATCCCGAGACTGCGCAGAAAGCCACCTGTGCTGGCACCAGGTTGAGGTGGTTTGCGGCAGCTCGAGCCAGTGCGCTACACGCATGTCCACAACTTTAAGGACCAAGACTAGGTAGGTCACAAGGCCACCGGTACACTGAACTTTCTGTAGCAACTTCGCGGATTTTGTTGTGGGCCTTTATTAAAGGACTCTTCGTACCCCTTCTTGTAGGCTTCGAGTTCAAAACACCTGGGTTCCTGCTTTCATTTCTGCAGCACCGCTGACATGCCGGCCGAAAAAGGTCAGCCGCTCGCGCAGCATTTCGTTCCAAAAAGTGTCAGGTCGCCACGTTGGCACCCATGCTCCAGCTTCCATGTCGTCGATCTATCTTGATCGACGGCAACTGTGCGCTTGCTGAGCTGGAGCCCAGTGGATATTTGCACAATACTCACGTGGGCTCACTTTTCCACCCCACGCGAAGGAGACAGGTTCCTGGTTTCACCATGGGCCAAACTTCCAGCTACACCACATTGCGCTTGCAAACCATTTTGAACCACAGCCGCCTTGCACATTTTCCCATCTTTCTATTCGGAGAGAAAAGGTTCTTAGCGAAGTACTCTTTGCAGAGTCTGAGGGAACATGGCTCACGCCGCTGTCGGACGGCTTGCGGTGCCTTTGGCATCGCCCGAGCTTCTGAGAGCAACAAGCAACAGGTCAGCAAGCACCAGCTGCTGTTCCGCAGCTTATGCGCTTCCATCTTCTTCCGGGGGGGCAGCCCTGAAACGAAACAGGGCAGGACTTAGCTTTTTGGGGCAGGGGGTTGTGCGGGGTTTTGAGGCGCAAGCTGGCGGAGTTAGAATGGCTCTAGCAGTGCACCATGAGGGGGACCCATCTACTGTGAATCCAACTGGTTTGCACGAGACCATGCTCGACAATGTTTCAGCAAGTGAGGTGAGAAACACTTACCTGCTGTGCGTCACAATCTGATCCTTCTGTGTGAGATTGCTAGAGTTTCTCGCCTTGCGGGCTTGACAGGGATTTAAATTGAAAGAAGTTCTAGCCTTAAAGTTAAACAGTGTCCCGTGAAGTACTAAACTTTTCGACTTTTTAAAGAACAGACTTGTTAGGAAGTTTTGAAGGCATCACTTTATGAGCGACACTTAAGTCTCTTGAATGTAGGTCCATGATGTAATTGTTGGCATCTACCTGGCGCTTTTGCAGCCATTTGAGTTTAATCTTATCAGTACCCACGTCATTATTTTATGATTGTGCTTTCAATGTCGGGCATTATCCAAATGACTTCCCTCAAGGGAGCACAACTGGTTTGCTAAAAGTATCCGCCCTCGAAGGTTCTTGCATCAACCACCTGCAGCAAGCCGATCAACAGTGTGTACTCAGCCTGATCAATGGAGCTTTTGTCGGCAGGTGTTTCATGATGAGGACAAGGGCATCACGTGCTACGAGACTCCCCTGGGGGAGATTGTGTGCGAGGGAATCGACGACGGTCCGCATTTTTCGTCCAAGGAGCTGCCTCAGGCCAAGAGGTATGTCAGAGTGCAACTTGTAGTTGCTTTTACTGGATTTGGTATCGTTTTTACGAGCGAGGGCTGGCAGAGTCTGGTCTGGTTGATATTGAAGTAAACTCATCTGCCGCTTCTTCGGTCCTTGTCAAGCGGCCGTTTTTCACACCTTTTCAGTCGCGCCTCTGTCAAGGCCGCCACTGTGTTGTTTGTATGGTGTCTGTCGCTGTTGATGCTGTGCTACGTCAAGTACTGAGGCTGGTTACGGGAAGTTCCACCATTTTCGGTGGTTCAACGCACTAATTTCGCCTTGACTGGTGGGATACATGGTCAAATGTTTTGCTTACTAGATAACCCTGCGCCAATGCAACCAAGGTAGATGAAAACTTGGGAATACTGCAACGCATTTTACAATCCATCTTAGTGCTTTCTATGTTCAAAGTAATTGACACAGGGGGCCTAGCCAACAAACTCACCTTGATATAGGTTAAAGACCTTTGTTGTGATAAATCCTGAAGCGCTGGACCCCTGCGTTGTTCACAGGATGGTTGGCGCACTTCACAGCGGGCTGGACCAGGTCAAGGCCCGCGCCATGAAAGTGCGGAGGGCATTGCGCGACAACGAGCCCCTCGAAGGCGCCATGTGTGTGACAGACAGTGAGGGGCACGTCGAGTGTGACGGATTGGACGAAAGCCACGTTTGCATGTAGGAACAAAAAGGTTTAGCTGGGTGCTTTTGTGGGCATGCACTGTGCGGGAGACATGCATGCCGGGACCTCCGATTATCCGAAACGAGGTTGCCCAAGGCTCGGGGCTAGAAAGGGCCAGGAAGAATGTTTTCGAAGTCGCCATTGTGAACCTGGCTGCAGGAGGCCTGAGTTCAATTGTATTTGAGGATTAAGGGGAGGGTGTGGGCCCGGGGGGTAATACACAAATGGTGACGTGTTGTTTAGGTCAGATCAAGGAGCTGCTTGTGTCCAGGGATGAGCGCCGTAAACCGGGCGCCGTGGCTTTCAAGCTTTGAGGCATGCCCACAGTGTGTGTGTTGTGTGAGCTGAAGTCACACCAAACAAGATGACGGTTTCTCAGAGAGCCATTGTGCAAACCCGTTTATTAGCTGACGTGGACTACAAGATTTTCAGCGGCCTGGAGGGGGGTGAGACCCAAGGCACATGAACTAGAACAAGTTTGCCGAACGATGGTGCTTCGGTTTTCCATCAAAATTAGTAGAACCTAGTAGTAACGCAGATCCGGCACAGGGACAGTCAACAAGGTAAAGGTTGAGGTGACAAGGCAGCCGCCATTAGGGGGCATCTCGCAGTAGTAATCTCCTATGTTTGCGCTTTGCTTGCGTAGGATTGGCCACCGACGTGACTCATCACCTGTAAAATCAGCGCTTCTTGTGTCGCAAACCTTTGGGCCTGCTAGCTGTTCGTTGATCGTTGTCCGGAGCTGCGCATTCTTCCATCCATGCGGCATTCCTTGTACTGAGAGATGAGAAACTTGTTGGGGATACGTACCCGTATCTTGGCCGGAGTGCGGATCATGCATCTATACATAGCTAGGCGCTGCGTCCACACCGCATCCGTTTTATACCATACCGTGAAAGCGCCTCGAGTGGGTGACGATTCAGTCGGATACGACACGCGCCAATTTTTGTTCTGCATGCATTCCCCAGCCTCAGAACTGAGGATGGACTAATCAATATGGACATGTCTTATATAATAATTGACTGCACATAACCTGTACGAACACCTCAGCGAAAGGTTGAGCATCGAGAACATGATACAGCTCGACGGTGCTTGCGCAAAGCGAATGGAAATTCTGCATAATAGCAACTGCTTTTGAAGACGCCCTGAACTCAGTAATCATCTATCATGACTTCGAATCCTGTTCCCCTCGAGGCCTAAACTAAGTGGGTCACACACAAACCCAGTTTCTTTAGTCTAAGCCAGGCCAGCATCTTTCAGCACGGCTTCAAAAGCGTCGTCATCGTCCCAAGGGACCTGCAGCACGACGTAGAATGAAGTCAGCAACTTTCGCAAAGGCGGACTGGCCATTGCTGTCACCTCTTGAATCTTTGATCCAAACCTCTCAAAACTTCAACACTTTAAGTTGAACTCTGGCCAATATCAAACAGTTGCGCTCTTCGCGGGCAGTTTTAGCATTACCAACAAAGGGGTCTAGAACATGGTCAAACTTTGAAAAAACTAGACTCCAAATCACAAACCGAGTTTCTCACCTCCTTGATCTCGCGTTGGAAATGCTCCTCAATCTTGTTCAGCTTCTCCGTGTCCCGGTCGCCTGCCACGAGGTTAAACGCGGCGCCTTTACGTCCGAAGCGCCCGGACCGTCCGATGCGGTGCAGGTACGTTTCGTACTCGGGCTCGTACGGCGGGTGTACGTTAACCGGGATGTCGTAGTTAACCACCAGGGTTACGTTGGCCTGGTCGAACCCGCGCGCGAGCACGTCCGTCGAGATCAGAATCTAAGAGAGAACAACACTGGCTTCAGTGTTTAAGTGTCTATGTCTCCATTTGCACATTAAATAAAATGTTGCAATCAACCACCAGCTTAGATTGACCTGGTCGATCAGGCGCGCGAGGACGTCCGTCGATATCAGAAACTGTGAATGGGGAACTTTGGCGTCAGTGTGGGGTGGAGTTACGCACGTGTGTTTTTGTGCACGTTGATGAAAAGCGCCGTAGTATACTACTGCGGTTACGTCAAGCTGGTCGAGACTGCGCGCGTATAATACCGTCAAGCTGAGGACTGCGGATGGAAATGTTTGCGTCAAGGTGGTGGTGATAATGTCGAGCAAGTTTCGTCCGACATGCGTATTACTGGGTTCGCTACTTCCAACGAGAGTAAGAAAACGCTGCCTGGTGCAACCCTGCGCAACCGGATTGTTGGACGAATAATAGCAGGAAGCAAGCCTTTCTTGCGCGACTTCCTGACCCTTTGCAGGACGCCTGTCCGTCGATAACACGAAGGAACCCTACTACGTTTAGCCCACAGAGATAGATAACGGCCGAATTTCGCCTGATCAAACCGAGCTTGAGCAACCTGAGCCTTAACCGATTATCCACCAGAGTCCAACGGAAAAAGATCGGAAGTCCCGTTCATGGCAGAAGTGACAGGACTTCGGAAGTTGGAAGTGGTGAACCGGGTGCTCACCTTCGTGGTCCCGTTTCTGAACTCCTTGATGACCCGGTCTCGATCGCTGTGCTGCATCCCGCCGTGGATTGCTGTGCACTTGTAGCCCTCACGATCCAACCTGGACGAAACCGATGGAAATATGTTTAGCTCTCCAACTCTGCTTCGGTCTCAGCAACGTTGCGGTTGAGAATCTTAACCAACGACCTCGACCAACGCATTGACTCTGAAATAAGCAAACAGCCTGCAACGTAGTGGAACGACATTCAAGCGTTCTAGCGTTGGGACTCTGATCATTTCAATAAAGTGCCTTGCACTGCAGCTGACACGCAACTGAGAAGGCTTCGAACGCTTGCACAACATTCAAAAAGGAGGCACGCCGCTCCCGTACTCTGACGAAGATACTGGCTTTTTGGACATAACATGCGTAAGAGAATCCACACTATAACGTCTTACGCAATCCCTCGACTCAACAGAGATGGAAGTAACTTCAGCTGTGGCTACAGACTATTAAGACCTTTTCACAAAACCGATACCTTTTTAAAATTCGCACCTTTCAAAAGGGGACATGCCGTCTCCTGCCTTTTGACAAAGATGATATGATCTTCCAACGTAGCGACCATAAGAGGTTCCACAGGAAATCTCAGCTGTGGCTACGGGCAATTGGGAGATGTTACGTAATCCCGCACCTTTCAAAGAGGAGGCGCGCCGTCTCCCGCGTTTTGACGAAGATGATGGACTGGCCCAGCTTCTCGGCGGCCGGGAAGATGCGCTCCTCGAGCACCTTGATCTTGTCGCTCTCGATCATGTCCCGGTTGCGGCTGAAGGGCACCACCACCCGGTACTGCTTGATCACGTCCAGGCTCAGCTCCTCCCGGGGCACAAACACCTGCGACCCGGACGAAATTGGGTTAACGTTGACAAAGTTAACGTCCCGGTTGTGGCCAGAGGGACCACCACTTGCTATGCTAAATGACGTCCAGCCTCAGCTCCTCCCGAGCCACGGACACCTGCGACCGAGGAAATAAAATTGGTTAACGTTGACCAGCTTTTCGACTCACACGGTTTCTGAGCTTTATGAGGCAGAGTTGCTTGAGCACGTCCAGGCTCAGCTCCTCCCGGGGCACAAACACCTGCAACCGGGCAAAAAGACTCGGTTATGGTTGACCGGATCAATAATTCGTACGGTCTTCGAGCTTGGAACGGTTACTGCCTGATCATGTCCAGGCTCCGCTCTTCCGGGCGTGATCACCTGCGACCGGAAAAGGAGATTCCGATTTATTGTTAATCGGGTTTTCGACCAGGTTCGCCAATGGACGAAGGCCTGCGACTCAGAAAGCGACTCAGCTTATGGTTGACCAGTTTCTGAAAGTTCGGCTGTGTTCGACCTTTTGTGAGGCGAAAACGCGGCGCTGCATCAATAGTGGCTCAAAACGGAGGGTGAAGGAAGCAGGATTAGGACGATGTTCTACTGGATATGGCTTCGAAACTCCAAGCAGTCTGCGTTCGTAGATTAAGAAGCTGATAACAGAGAATTAGACATTTGGACTCTTGAACACAAAGATTTCGCCCAGAAGCAAAGCTGCATCAGAGACGGCTCGAACTCGACCTTTTCATCATCTGAACGGGTGTGTAACTGTGGTCAAATCGAATCGGGATAGAACCTGGGGCGACTGTTTATCCAGATGAAGCACAGATCTGAGGGGCAATCCGAACAAGAATTAGCATCGGCTCTTACCAACGAGCTTAGGAGCACCAAAACCGTCCTGCTACTAGCTAAAGCATCTGTCCCCCTGACCAGATAAGTGCAACGTGCTTGAAGTAAGTTTCTCAGCAGGGAAAGCAAACATAGTACCGGATAGTCCGGAACAGACGACTCGAGTCCTTACCTGGTTCGCGTTCTTCACCATGTTGACTGCAAACTGCTTCACCTTGTCGCTGAAGGTGGCCGAGAAAAGAAGGATCTGCGAGAACCAGGTCGGTATGAGTACAAACCAGGCTAGATCACGTCACTCCCAACGCATCGCGGCACTCACTAGCTACACCATAACTCAACAATGTTGTGCTCCTTTTCAAAATTGTCGTGATCAACCTGCAGACCTGAATTGCAACCAACACTGTCGTAATCCACCTGCAGACCTGATTTACAACCAACACCTTTGGCAGCCAAAGTGAGTCCTCCTACACATCTTAACCACGCCGTAACCCACAAATAGACCGCCTAGTTTGTGACCAGAACCTTTCAACGAGCCTGAGTCCCCTCCAGCTCTCAACCATGTCGCATTCCACCTGCAGGCCGCTTGATTTGCGACTAATTTTCTTCAGCAGCCTGGTCGAGTCGTACTCGGAGCTCTAAGTGCCCTAGTTAAGTCAACTGCAGGCCGCCTGACTGCGCCTAACCGAAACCTCAACCATGTCGCAAACCACCTGCAGACCAGATACATTCAAACGGTATCATCGAATCGGTCTGACTCATGTCATAGCCCACCTGTAGACCGGCTGACTTGCGACTGATCTCCTTCAGCAGCCTGATCGAGTCGTCCTTGAACCCGTCCTGGTCGAGCATGTGATCCGCCTCGTCAAACACCAAGATCCGCAGATTGTCCGGTTCTAGAATCCGGTCCTTGGTCAGCCACCGTTTCAGTGTGCCCGGGGTGCCGATTACCACCTGCCGCATGACCAGGCTCGTGGTCAGTGGAAAAGATCCCTGTATCTGACTGCCGGGAGTAAACTGACGGGCTGGCTTGCGGGCTTCAAGAGCATGGACTTGTCGAAGCATAGGAATGGGCTTACGTAAACCAACGGTACCCAGAGATAGTGGACTGCAACAACATGTTGGCATGTTCCAATCGACGGCCCTGGAATTAGTTTCATCAAAGCAAGCACCAGGCTCAGCGAACTGCTTGAGACGGCAGCAAGGGTCCCTGAAAATCAGTTTCAAACCAGGCATACGTAGCCGTAGAACATAAACAGTCCAAGAAAGAAAGACTGCGAAGCTGCAAGAAAAAAATTGACAAGACACCACCAACCAAGGGCACCGCACGACTCCAGAACGTTCTTTGTCCTCCAAACGTGGCGTCCGAAAAGCTTTCATCGACTCTTATCAAACGATTCCGACCCGAACACAATCAAAGATACAAGCATATCACACATTCCCGCGCAAACACAATAAATAATACAAGCAAGCCAACGCAAATGACCCCGCAAACAGACCCACATCTCACCTGGTCCACCAGTTTGTCTCGTCTCGTCGAGGACGGCCCGTAGCCCTGGTCCGCGAGCGCCGTGCATGCCACTGTGATCCCCGTGTACTTCGCCATCCGCAGAGTGACCTCTTCGTTCTGAGCAGTGGATAATAGTGGTCAGGAAACGCTTTTTTATCCATCCAGCCAGCAATGCTAAGAATGAGAGGATCTTTAGAAAACATCGGAAAGGGAGCGCCGTAAATGCCACTGTAACCCCCGTGTCTTAAGCCATCCGCAGAGTGACCTCCTCGTTCTGTAGCGTACGAGTCAGCCAATCAGGAATAACCATACGAACTTCACCAAAAGCCTGCTCGGGAATGTTCGTTGAAACAGCCTAGCTTACGACCAAAGCGTAAGGAACTCTCGGGTTTGGTCACTGTACGCACGCAAAGCATCTGTTCCAATTTGAAACCAAAAGGCTGAATCGCATACCGGCCACAATGGTCCATCCACAGGCATGAGTATTGTATAGACACAGACTGTGCCGCTCGACAGCCCCGGCTACCCGACGGCAAAAGATGCTCGGCTGGTGCCATTGACTTTGCACCATCGAATCAACTTCAAAGCTTCCCTTCCCAAGCGGCCAGGCCTATTTCAAAGTACTGCACTCACGACTCTTCTGACAACCAACGTACTGGCCGCTGAAGATAGCGGTCGTCAGACTTCATTCAGGATCGTCACATCATTCTTCAGAACTTCGGAAGTCCCTAGCAAACAATCTAGAGGACACAAAGATGGACAAAGCAGATGGAGGGATACCTGTATAGCCAGCTCTCTGGTTGGACAAATACAGAGGGCTTGTGGGGCCTTCATATTGGGGTCCACTCTGCTAAGCATGCCGAGGACGAAACAGGTCGTCTTGCCACTACCGTTGTGCGCCTGCACCAGTCCAAGAAAGAACGACGTTTCTTCTCCGTTCTGCTTGGATGCTTAGTTCCTGCCGCGATGATCTTTGACACAATCTTATGCACGTATGATGGTTAGAAGGTGGAGCGATGTCAGAAGATTCGAAGGAGGAGAAACCGCAAACAACAGATCGACAAAACCCGCCAACCGAGAAGGACACTTTTCTAGATGCTGACTGTGGTGTGCATAATAGTCTTCTGATTTTGAGATCAAGTTCATAAAAACCGGCAGCCTATTCTGTTGCTCAAACACTAAACACCGCACGACTTCGGGGCCCTCCAGAAAATACAAAGGCGATGGCCCAGAAAAGAAGGAAAGGGCTAAGATGCGCACCTGAGCGATGAGGTTCATGTGCGGTGGTTGAAGGATAAGGGGCAGCGTTTCTGCCTGTATCCGACTCGGCTTCTCGAACTTCATCTCGGAGTAGAGGCCTCTCAGCAATGCAGAAGAGAGTTGTAGATCCTCGAACGTCGCTGCGCTGCTGTAGGGGGTGTTCCCCGCTAGTACCTGCATAGCAAAGGTATCGTTCCTTCTATGTTCGTTCGCGCATTGTCTCCATTCCCTTCAAAGCGTCAGTCCCAAACTCAGTTGTGAAACATCATGTTGTCAAATATTTCCAGAGCTGTCCAGGAAGTCACTTGCGTGCGCCTCCGGGTGCAACACAAGCGACTAAGGACCATAACAACTTGGAAGCGATTGGCACACAAATTGGGCCCTTCAAAGAAAGCATCTCCTCATCCAGTTCAAAGCACTTAGGCCCTTGGTGAGCTAAGCATCTCCACAGTAACCACTGACGCCAGAAAAGTCAATTCCCCGGCTACCTTTGCATTTCCAACGAAGCGCGGACACATGATCCACACATACTGGAATCAAGTACTTTTGCTGCAAAAGCAGAAAAGTTCTTTAACAACCAAGAAATCCAACGCAGTTTGTCTTTCACCTTCTGTATCTTCCCCTCCGCCGCTTCGTTCAGACCGTTGGATTTGATCACTTCCTCTGCTTTGTCAATGGTCCCTCCACTTGAGATAGCCAGGCTGCAGCCAGCAAGATGTTACATGTGAAGTCCATCCGAAAGCTTGAGATGTAGATTCAAAGGTTTGGCTGAACGTATTTCCAGTGGTGTGTTTCTTAGCCAGAGCACACGTAATGATCAGTGACCTCTTCGAAAAACGCTTCAATCACCCGAATCTGAAGTCTGCACCTAGCAGGGGATGAACATCCAGCGGGTGCCTCAAGGTGGACTTGCGAGCCGCTCTTTCAAAAGCGGACTTTGATCATTCTTCCAATTTGCTGATGCTTTTCCTTTTGGAACCCTGTTGAATTTGAGTGGAATTGAGTGGGGTTCCCTAACGTCCCTGGTTTAAAGAGGAGAAAAAGTTTTTGGCAGGAAGCTGACGATGCAGTAGTGGCGGCATGTTCTTTCCATAAAGATGATGCGACAAAACAGATATTGGTTCTGCCCACCCCTTGACCACTACTCCAGCATTCTTGGTTGTGATCATGCTTCTCTCTAGATGCACCTTACCCTTCACACTCCCAGCTCTCCATTATTCCCTTTGGATTCTCTAAACTTTGACGAGCACCAAAAGTTTCAGGTCAGACTCGATTGAGCCTCAGACTTCAAACAATCAAGACATGTCCCAATCAACCACCCGCGCTGTGGCGTTCCTCTGCACTGGACTCACTTTCCCATCCCAAAGTTATCAGCTGGCCCTGAAGAGTAAGGATCCGCATCCTCGGGAATGTCTGCCCAAGATACAGGAGCCGGCGCAGGGGCGGGGGCGGGCGCAGGCGCAGGGGCAGGCGCCGGAGCTGGGGTTGGTGCAGGTGATGGAGCCGGAGCTGCAGTAGACGCTGGGGCGGCAGTGGTAGGAGGCGCGGCTTTCTCCTCTGACGGTGCCATCTTCGGCGATTCCTCGTCTGCAAACTCGTCGACATTGATATCATCGTCCGCCATTCTGATTCTGTAAGCTCTCGACTCTGAATCACCAAATGTTTTGGGGCCAAGTGGGCTCTATAAGGGGAAAGCTGCGGCTCAAGTTTTTGAAAGGTGAACCAATGTCAAAAGCTGCGCTCAGAAGAGCAGGCTAAGAATCAGAGCTGGAGCTTGAGGACTCATCCGGAAGAACGAAGGCTTGTTATACTAGAGTGTGAATACGGTCCGGTATTGAATCCAGTGCAGCTATGTATAGTCTGCCTAGGCCGTAGGTACTACCTGGCAGACGGTGGAGGCCGCCTGCCTGGAGGCTGGCACAGATCAGAAGAAAGTGGTAAAGGGGTTCTGCTCCAGCGTTACATCCGGTTTGGAACAACATAAAGAGCAAAGCATTATACCGTACCAGCGTTTAATTTCGTCAGGTTCGACGCCAGATAATTAATTACGAAACGTTTGCGGGTTTCGGCAGCCCTAGCGTTACCTGCTAAACAAGACCAGTATCGGTCCATTACCGCCAGACTATTTTCTAGCGGAATTCGTCAGGCCAAATAATTATTTAATATTTGACGAAATCAAACGCTGGTACGGTAGCGGGCAAATGCAAATGGCAGTGTAACGGTGTTGGTTGGTTTGTGGTTGATACTCACCGGTTGATTAATTTCACTTCCAGCAAATCCTTCTTTTTATGGAGCAGGGAAGATCGGCAGTCTGTGGCCCGTGGGCCCCCAATTCCGGTATCCAACGGCTCAGGTCTCGTCGTAGTCAAACATCCCACCTTCCCGCTCATTCACACCAATCGAAAGCCCGGAAATGGAAAGGAACTTGCTTTAAGTTTGAGCAGCTGTTTCATGTGCAGCGTCATTGAGCCTATTTGAGGATCATGGCGAAAGGTGAGAAGGGCAGGCGGCGCCCCTGGCGGGAGGGGAAGCCGCAGGGGCCACCAAAACCAGGGGGTGGCAAAGCCAATGGAAGACTGGGCGGAGGCAAGCCAGAGTTTCCAAAGAACAGACAGTACACGAAGGACGATGATGATTCTGAAGACGTCCCCAACTTCAGCGATCTGTCAGACGATGACATTGGGGAGGACAATGCAGTCTCCGAGGATGCTGACAGTATCAAAGACGATGTTGCAAAGTTTGCAGCCAATCTGGGCTTGGCCGTGGAAGGCTTTTCCGGCAGCGGGTTCGATGACCGCGACTTTAGAAAACCCCCAAAGAAGGTGGAAGTGTCCAAACAAAAGGAGGACAAGAAGAAGGGGAAGGCTGCGGCAGACGGTAAAGGTGACGAGGCGGCAGGTAAAGGTCAGAAGGGCAGAAAGCAGAGTGAGAAGAACGATTCGGAGGTTGATGGTGGTGGTGCGAAGGGAAAGAAGAACAAGAATGGGGAGAAAAACAAGGGTGCGCTACCACCACCCCCCGCTGGAGAAATTCCGGAGGCGGGGGGTGCATTCGCACCAGCGGAGTCGTTTTTCGAAGTCGGAGGGGGGGGCATCGAGGACGTTCCGATGGGGCCATGGTACGAACAGGCGGCCGAACTCTCTTCAAAGCTGCCGGCCCCGACCGCTGACGTCAGCGCGAAGGGCAAGAAATCGAAAAGGGGAGCGGCTGACGTCAGCAGCGAGCCGCTGAAGAATTGGGACGACGTGCTGCAGAAGATGCGGGGGGATGGGGAGGAGTTATTGCATAAGGCGGCGGAGGCTTACGAGCGGGGGCAGGGGAAGAGCGGGAAGGACGTGGCGTGGCTCGTGCGCGCGCGGAAGACGGGGACGTCGGCGGATAAGGTGGCGGCCATGACGGTCATGGTGCAGGAGGACCCCGTGGCCAATGTGCGCAGCCTGGACGCCCTGCTAGGTGAGCGAGTGATGCTTTGATGAAAGCTTGGGTGGTGGTGTAGTGTCTTGTGATTGAAGTTCTCAGGAAGATGGGTTTCTAAAGACTTTTTTCTGAGACTATGAGTTGGTGCTTTGTTGCTGGTTCTTATCGCCCGGTTAGACGAGCAACCGCCTCATAGCACCTCTGATGAATGTGTTTTGTTCTGTTCATGAATGTCACTGCACTTGGAAGGCTTGTTGTTTATCAGATTAGCATTAGCTTGGAATAACGTGCGATTGCTTGTTCCAGCATTCCTGTTGGCTACGGATTCACTCGAAGCTGACCATCACAATATGTCACCCCTCCAGTTGAAACAGATTCCACCAGGTACTTTTTCAGGCTTTTGCTTACCAACTCATAAGCTACTCTATCACAAGTCCGACAGCGTCACTGCCTCTCAACTCAACCGTGTACCTTACTCAATGTAGGCATGGTGTCCAACAAGGGCGGTAAGCGCAATGCGGCGATCGCGATTGACGCCTTGCGTGAGCTGTTTGTGACGTCGCTCCTGCCGGACCGCAAGCTCAGATACCTGGCGCAGCGGCCCGAGCTGGAGACCCTGGCGTCGCAGGGAAAGGACGGGGAGCCCCTCCTTCAATTCTGGTACTGGGAGGATGCCCTTAAGCAACGGTGGGTCTGACACGCTCGCTTCTTTCTTTGGCCCCATAGGTTCTTGGCCCGCATTTGACCATGCCTGAAGCATTGAACAGCTTTTGTTGCCCTTTTTGTGATCGATGTTCTTATATTCAAAGCTGGTGCACATCAAGAGGCCCTTTTGTTGCGATTGTTCACCACAGCGGGAGTTGCTGCCTTCACAGTTTCAGTGCTATCAATTCATCTGATTGAGTGCTTGACTTGTTTGGAATGTTCCAAACATGGCGCTCGCTCCTCCGATTGCGCACTTGGTGGGCCTCGCTTTGTAGCACTCTTTTAACAGCATGCCTGGGGGCAAAGAATGCTGCGCTCATATGTTTACGCCCCCGCCTTATTCTCCCCGCCCGCCTGCAGGTATGACACATTTGTGACGTCACTGGACGCGCTGAGCCGTGACAACCTGCAGTTTCTCAAGGAGAAGGCGCTCAAGACACTGTTCGACCTGCTGGTAGCAAAACCGGAGCAGGAGGCCAAGCTGCTAGCAGCGCTTGTAAATAAGGTGCGCCTGTGACATTTTTGTGGAGACTCCCTCGGAGATTGTTGTGCTCTCTTAGAAATGCATGTTTCAGCTGAGGCAGTGTGCATCAGTACACCAGCCCAAAGATGCACAGCATCCGTTCTATATGGTAGATCCCCTTTGGAGCAAGCTCGTATGGTCCTCTAGAGACGTTGCAACATTTAAGCTATTTGCCATGGGTCCGTCCCCGACCCCCTAACCACGCTCTCTCATATGGTCTTCTGGTGATTTTCGGCCCGCTGACAATTTTGTTCCTCCCGCGCCTAGTTGGGTGACCCTGAGCGGAAGGTCGCCTCTAAGGCGGGGTACCTGCTGGCGCGCCTCCTGGAGCAGCACCCCGCCATGAAGCGCGTCGTCGTGCAAGAAGTCGAGGCCTTCGTCTTTCGGCCCCACGTGGGCCTGCGGGCGCGCTACTATGCGGTATGTTGTTTCAAAGTGTCTAACGTCATTGTTGAATCGCAATATGGGTATCTGCTTTGTGGGCTCCGCAATCGAAGCTTGTGCGAACGAAGCTCTTGGTGTTCGTAATCTATGCAAAGTCCTTCATGTAGTCTTTCGTATGTGCTGTTGAGTTGGGGCGTGTCCGAAGTATGGTGCCTTTGATTTTTGTTGAATTACGAACTTGTTATCTGCGGGTCTCTACCGAGGAGCGTGGGCCTTTGGTGCTTTCTTGTAGAGAGACTCGTCTTTTACATGTACCTTGAAGAGAACACCTTTTGATTTGCACTTGAACGGCGGCCAGATTGTAGAGCCGAGAGCGAACATCTGTTTTTGACAGCTTCATTTTTTTGCTAGCTACCGTGTCTTCGCAGGCATGTTCACAAGACCGCTTCTATCAAGCCAGCGAGGCTCACTGCTTTGCTCGTAGCTTTTCAAATAACAGACCTGAACCTGCCTTACACGTGGGCTTTGCGGCGCCTCTGATCTTTGCTCAAGCCAGTCGCAGTCCCTCTCTGCAGGTAGTGTTTCTGAACCAGATCATTCTTACCAAGAAGGGTGACGGCTCGGCCCTGGCAAAGTCGCTGATTGGCCTTTACTTCGGGCTTTTCAAGGTGAGTGCGAGCCAGCGATCTGCAAAGTTTAAGGGTCACCTTACTTACAGTGCTTGGAATTGTCTGCCTCTCTGAGCTGGGGATGCATGTCTCGATTCCCTGTTTTTACGTGGCGAAGTTTTCTTTCTTCTCTGGAACTTATTTTCGTAGGGGAGAACTCCGCCCATACTATTTGGAAGTTAAGACGTGGAAGGACTCGATTAAATGGTTCTTGAGCTTTCAGGAATTTCGTGGTTTCGTCTTTCAAAACAGGCTTCCTCAACACCGACGCTGCTTTCCTTCAGCAACCTTGTCCCCCAACGAGCTTCCAATTTGCGTTTTCGAGTTTGAAGATCTTTTGATGCCTAGCCCTCCAGCTTTTCGTACTTGTGTTGATAATCAACACCCGACAATTGGATTAGACTGGTTATTTGATTGAAGTGGCGCCAGTTAAGCATCCGAATGAATCGTGAAATCAATTGAGCAATTTTACCGCAGGCTCTGACGGCGCTCGAGGCCGACGCGGAAGACCCTTCCTCCACCTTCCAGAAGTCCCTCGGCAAGCGCCCCCGCCAAAAGACGCGCGAAGTCAAGAAGATCATCCAGAGCAAGAAAAAGCGCCTCGCCGCCAAAAGCGCGACCAAGGGCGCAGCCCCAGTCTCGGAGGACAGCACTGTGGGGGTCGATTCGCGGATCCTGTCGGCCATTCTCACCGGTGTGAACAGGGCCTTTCCGTATGTGGCGGCAGATGACGTGGACGCGCTGCTGCGGGAGCACACGCCGGAGCTGTTCCGAATGGTGAGCGATTAGTTTCGCTCAAGAAACGAAATAACAGTTCTTGAGTCCGTGCGTTTGTGTATCTGGTTGCAACAGCGCTCAATGCGGAGGGGCTCCCTATGCCTTGACAAGTGGAACACTGTGCGGTTGCATCATTAACCAGCTTCGGCCGCTGATCAATAAAAACATATAACGGAGAAGCTGAGGATCCTTCGTCGCAAGTCTCAACAGCGTCGATTGTCAGGAATGACGTGAGGTTTTGTTCAATCAAGTTACATGGGCAAGCAGCCGTTATAGTTGTCCCCGTCCTCGGCTCATATGCTCCACCACTCTAGCCGAACCATCGAAGATCAACCTGCACAAGAGGTCCAATCAAATCCAAGCCTGTCACTGACCAACATCACAGGTCATTCGTCAATCCCAGTTTTCTCTCATTTGCCGCTATGCCTGCGCTGAACTCGTCCCGCTACTCCTGTCCCCAGGTCCACGCGGGCAACTTCAACGTGTCTGTCCAGGCCCTGTTGCTGCTGCACCAGCTCATGTCCGCCCACCAGGCCGTCAGCGAGCGCTTCTACAGGGCCCTCTACGCCGTGCTGCTCTCCCCCGCCCTCGCCAAGTCGTCCAAGGTAGGCCCCGTCTGCGGCCCTGTTCCTTGTAACCGTGCCCGGAGAGCGACGTGATCTGGATTTTGTGTTCGTGGGGGGAGTTACGTGGAGAAGAATATGGTAGCTCGTATGCAATACCAAGATTGTTTGCCCGTTTCCATTTGGTTGGTCCTTTAGAAGTCTTGAATGGGGTCACCTCACGACCAGAATCTACTTTAGCTCTTTTTCTGTTGTCCTCGTACAGGCCAACATTTCGACATCGATCTTGTTCACCTCTTCCAGCTCGCCCGCTCCCGCTTCTTGTCTTGAAGTCTCAGCTTTTTTGTAATCCGTTTTCTCACATCACTCGCTCTCCCGTGTCCAGGCCGCCCTCTTTCTCTCGGTCCTCTTCAAAGCCATGAAGTCGGACCTCGACTCCAAGCGCATCGCTGCGTTTGCAAAGCGCCTTCTCCAAATCGCGGCCCACCAAAGCCCGCCGTTCACGTGTGGCGCGTTACTGCTCGTTTCCGAGGTCCTCAAGATTCGGCCGATCCTTTGGGGGGCGGTCCAGCAGCCGGAAGACAAAGGGGACGATCTGGAGCATTTCGAGGACGTCCGAGAAGAGGGTGACGGTTCGGCAGACGGTCCGAGAAGCGCGGGTGAGTATCGCTGTTTGAGTAATTGTGAGGAGTGTGTTTCGTTCGTTGTGTAGGTTAGCTGACTTAGGAATCTGGCGGATCGCCGAAGACGTGCGCTTTTACTTAACAAGATGCTCTGGGAAATTGCGGGGCTGAGACTCTTGAGACCACCTACTATGCAGATGCCTTTGGCTCCGGCATCCACTGCAGAGAAAGAAGCTGAAAAAGAATCAGCCAAAGCTTTGAAGAGCAGGATCACAATCAACGGGTGTCCTGATCTTCGCCCCTCATCGTCTTTTTGCAGAAAAGGAAACGCCTGACTCCCAACCCCCTAAATCCTCCGCGCCCGCCCCCGCTGCTGATATCAGCGGTCCCGTCCTTGGCTTCTCCGCCGAGGATGACGCCAGCGACGATGAGGGATCCCCCTCGGGCGACTCGGACGCGGACTCCGACGCCTTGGACGCCGACGAGCGGAGGAAACGCTCCGCTGACGCCAGCACGAGCTCATCGAAAGGAAGGGCACCAAACGGGCGGTCACAAACGGCGCCTTCAAGCGAGGGTTTGCCTAATGGGGGCGTTAACGGCTTGGTTAAAGGAGATGCTGACACGTGGCCTGCGAAGGGGCGGTACGATGCGAAGTCGCGGGAGCCGTCGTTTTGCCACGCGGAGACGGCGTGCTGGTGGGAGCTGACGGCGCTCGCCGCGCACGCGCACCCGTCGGTCGCGGCGATGGCCAAGACGCTCTTGGCGGGAGCTAACGTGGTAAGTACACAAGTTCATTCTGGCCAAAATTCTTTTGGCCGGAGCGAATGGGAGCACTAGCCTTCTGTTGGTCTGTTTGGCCATAAGAAACGAATTTCGAATTGGTGACCGGCGCCGTAAGTTAAGGCAGGTGGGCAGGCGACGTTGTGTTGTTTTCTGGAAGATGCGATCAGAACTTCGGTGGAAATGACGTGGCACGTAAGAATATGGTTTTTGTTTGAGGGTCGGCTTGCCTGGGCTGACCGAGGCATCCTGAAGCCAAGATTCTACCTTAGGATCCCGTAGATTCCTTGAACGGATCATGCTTTGTCTTCCACCAGCCTGCTTCCCCGAGTTCTGGAGATTTTCCTTTCAAATGCTGTCTGACTTGCTCTCAAAGATCCTTTCGCTGTTCTCAATGATCCCCCTGCAGTTGGTTGCAGCTCTCCGACGGCGACACATGTTTCGAATCACGGCCTGTTCCTTCGTATACAAGAACTGCGTTCCAACGAATATCCATTCCTGCAGGCTTCGATGGAGATCCCCTCCGCTTTTGCGCTGACCATCTGTTCCCTCTTCAGCAGATTATATTGTCTTCTCACCACCCCAAATCTCCCCGCCTCCCGCAGCTATGTGTCGGCGATGCGACCTCGCGCTCACCATCTTCCTGGACCTCTTCCTGACAAACAACCTACTGTTTCCTTTGCATATTGGTTTTCCCACATCACCCTATATCCGCTCCCCGCAGTTATACGACGGTGATCCCCTGCGCGACCTCGCACTTGCGATCTTCCTGGACCGGTTCGTGGAGAAGAAGCCGCGCGCCGCCAAAAGCGACGGCAAGTTCAAGGGCGCTTCGTTCATGCAGCCGCTGCGGAAAGGTGACGTCACGCGATCGCACCTGCTCGTGGGAGGGGAGGCGTTTGCGGCGGTGGAGGAGAGCCAAGTCGCCGCGGAGGACGCATTCTTCTACAAGTTCTACACGGCGAAGGCGGCTAAGGTGGGGAGTTACTTAGTATAGATTGAAGGTTCTTGGAAAATAATGCCAACGAAGAGAACCGGATACCTGTCCTCCTCTTCATGGCGGAAAAGGACGCAGCTTTTTGCAGTTACGAAGGCTGCCAAGATGAAATGCTGGTGAACGCCTTGAGAATGCTCAACATGGGCCGAGATTTCTAACATACTCCAGGGATGCTTCTATTGACAGAGTTTGCTGCCATTCCTGCGCTAGACACTTTTGTGGTCGGTTCCTACCGTAGTTGCGTTTATTGTTGTGTTTTGGATATTTGTTCCATCCCATTCAAGAGCCCACTCGGAAGCGAGACAAGGAGGGCCACAGCTTCGGACTCGGACTATTTCAAGAGACCCCTGATGTGAAACTGCTTAACCTGATTAAACATTTAAAGCTGATCTGTGCAGAAGCCTGGCTGGAGGCGGGGGCACAGGTCCGACGAAGATTCAATAACTGGACATCAGGAACGCAATCCAATCTTAGTTGTTGTCTTTTCTTTTTTACCTTATGTCGTTGAATGCTCAACGTTCGTGTGTGCAGAAGCCAGGCCGAGAGCCGGCCAAGGGTTGCGACAGCTTGAACGAGCATGCCATAAGCCGGAATTCTAAGTCTACGACGGACAGTGTGTTGTTTCTCGTGGTTGAACTATCAGTATCTGTGCGTGCAGAAGCCGGGCCGAAAGCGAGGCAAGAGCGGCGACAGCTCGGATGAGGATTTCACAAGCCGAAATTTAGGTTTTTACAGACAATGTGTTGTTTCTCGTTGTTGAACAATCGGGAACTTGTGCGTGCAGAAGCCGGGTCGAAAGCGAGGCAAGGGCGGCGATAGCTCGGACGAGGACTCTGACGCGGAGGGGCCGTCCAAAACGAAGGCCAAGAAAGGGAAGAAGAAAGCGGCGGGGGGGGGGAGCGACGACGACATCGAAAACGTCGACAGTGACGATGACGCTCTGGAAAAGATTCTGGAGCGGGGGATGGGCGAGGAAGAAGGAGGGTCCGAAGACGAGAGGGGCGAAGATGCCGAAGAGGGTGAGCTCGTCGCCCCCGTTGTGTGTTTGCTTCTTTCGCCGACGTCTCCTTTCTTTGCTCCACGCATTTTGGCTCATTTTATGTTAATACTAGCTTGCTCTTTTTCGCTTTTTTGGGTGTGCACGTGCTTGTCATCATTTTTCGTGTTATACCTCGTCTCTCGTTCCGTCATCTTTAAGTCCTCCGTCCTTGTGTGTTGTCCTTGCTTGTCGTTCTCCTTGCCTCACTGTTGTACATTTTCCTTTCAGTCTGTATCCTTGCTTGCTCGAAAGCCTCTGTCTGTGTTGAAGCGCTGTTTGTAAGCAAGCAAATCTCCTGTGAACGGACACGGCCCAAAGTACACTGGTTCAGATCTTTCCACTAAGTTAACGCCCTTCTTTTGGGTCTCGCTGGAGTCTTGTGCCTACACTACGGCTGAAGACTGCAAAGCTCTCATACTAGTAGCACCTGTTTCTGTTCATGACGAGTCGCAGCAGTCTGGGGGCAATGATGTCAAACATGGGTTTCACATAACGGGCCGCTTGCGAGCGGCCTTGATGAACCAATTTGTTTCCTATTAGCCTGAGCCCTCGCCAGACTACGTCAGCTGTCTTTGACCTCTTCGCTGATTGAACTCTCCGCCATTTTCGACCTCTCTGCGTTTCAAGATTCAGAACTAGCTCTTTTCTTATTCAAAGTTTCTGGTCGCTCGTTTGAGGGTCTCCTGATTCGCTTTTCCTGACGAGCGCCGTGTATGAAAAGCTGTTAGAGCTGCACTCTCTTCTGAACAGGGTTTGACTTTGAAGAAACGTAAGATGGTGTCTTTAGTTCTTATTGACACTCTCTCATGTGCTTGGCACCTACCATTCCTCTTGTTGGTCGCAGCATTATGTTGAGGTGCCTATTCTGAGTTTCGAGACACGGACAGTGCCTTCTTGTTTCTTGGATGGGTAACAGTGTTCACTGGCTGGAGATGCGTGACTAGTGTTTAGCTTGCGCGACCTCTCGCAGGCTCTTGGGCGTGTTATTGCTGAGTCAATGTCCCGGCAACGGTCCTCAGATGGAAGCCTTCAAACCGTCACAGCCCTACATTCTGAATTCTGATACTTGAGTCGATGAGAGTTTATGCTTTTCCTGGACTTAAAGCCTTTGACGTCTGATATACTCGGCCGATTCTTCGCAGGCGGGTGGGACTACGACCGGCTGGCCAAGGTCCTTGAAAAAGACGACGACGCGGACGCGCGCTCAGACGGCGAGGAGAGCCTGGACGCGGCCGCGGATTCGGACGAGGACGACGAGGGCGGCTTCGAGGGGTTCGCGGTCGCGGGCAGCGACGACGAGGACGAGGACGAGGCTGACGTCAGCGGGGACGACGATGACGGCAGCGACGAGGATGCTGACGTCAGCGACGGAGGGGAGGACGAGGACAGCGACGACGAGGGGTTCGACTTTGGGGAGGACGAGAGCGGGAGCGAGGGGGAAGAAGACGGTACCGACGGGGTGCGTGAGAGCGGGGGAGCCGAGAGCTCGTTTGAGGACGAGGCGGAACGGAGTCAACGGAAAGGAAAGCGGAACCGAGCGGGCCAGAAAAAGGGAGCGCTTGAAGAGGAAGCGGCATTTGAAGGAGGAGAAGAGCCTTCAGAAGGGGCGAAGGGGGGCGGCACTGGGAAGGGGCCAAAGAAGCGGAAGAAGGGAGGTGTGGGAGTGTCACCGTTTGCAGCTATGGAGGACTTCGCGCACTTGCTAGATTAGGAACTTGAGAGGATGTTCCGGCTTACGGTCAACCATAGTACGTTTTACCCCCAACGAGGATGATTCCCAAAGGCAACCTTTTTCAGCCGTTGTGTGCCTCCTGTTAGCCGTGCAGTCTGGGACGTCAATGCATGTTCATGTGAGGCATATGATAGTCCAAGAATGGACGGCCAAGCGCAGACTCTTTTGGACGTCTACAAGCTTGAAGGTTGATTGCAAAGGTTGACTGCACGCTGGTGCAGCCGTATGCATATCGAGGACTCGCGCGTGGCTTCGTCGATCCTGGCATGTCATGGAAAATATCATATTCCGAAGTTCATTCTAATTCGGATTGCAACGGTCGGGCGCTGACACTTCATGTGCATGGCCCAGTTTTGTGGCCGGTAGCTCGGATCACGATATACGCATATATGACCCAGTGTTCTCCTTCTTGAAGCGTATGAGAGACGGTCTCACATGGAGTACAGAATTGACATGTAGATCCTGCACACCCACACTGACTTCCGCTTGTACTGATAGCCGATCCGCACATGCATGTGCGCGCGGGTCTCCAAGGAACCATCTGAGCATTTTTGGTGGTGCGCGTGCAGTGCAAACAATACGTTCGCTATACCATTAAGCTTCAAAGAGAATTGATCCCGCAGCGCTTGATTGCCCGAGTGCAAACAATACTCGCTATACCCTTAGGCTTCAACGAGAATTGATCCCGGCGCTTAATTGCCCGAGTACGTAGCTCTTCTACGCCATTACACACGTACAGTATACCTAAAGTGTGAGTTGCCAACTGATGGTATCGACGAAGCGTATGCTTTGTGTTCAATTGACTTCCTCGGCCAACTCAAGGACAAACACGACTGGCCGGCTGAACCCTTCTGGGGCCGCACTGGTGCCTAAAAGTGCAGTGCACACACTTTAGTCACGCCCATACAAATGTGGTACTGCCCACATAGATCACAGCAGTACCAGCCTGAACTTGGGAAGAAATTGTCTGGCCGCCGCATATACTTATGACATGGCAGATATTGACAAATGTGGCTGTGGGGAAATGATATGTCGCGTCACCAAGAAGCATCCTGTCATGAATGCTTCTATCATGCTGAGGACCGCTACACATCTACAGACTCTGCAAACGTTTTGGATGGAGCTTCCTGTGGCTCGGCGACTAGTTTTCTGACAGCTCGACAAGTAATCCCATTACCATGTTCCGCAAGCCTACATTCTTTCCGTAGTCTTCTGCCAATCTCTTTGTCTCCATTCTTCCATCAAACGTACTGAATATGCTTGGAGCTCCCTTTTTGACGCAGACTGGAAGAAATTGGTTTAATTGGATGGGCATATTGTACCTACGAGACACTCGACGAAGGTGAGCGCAAGTATAAATAGCATTGAGTGTAAGAGAGAATAACATCACTTGAATGAGTAGATCTTTGGAACGATATATTCATGCAGCATATATTCGCGTCCCCAGATCTATCTTCTAGTGTAAGTAGACAGCATAGGTATCAAAGAAGTAAACGGGATCAAAGATTAGAAGGTTCGTGAACGTAACTTGGTCCTGATGGTACCTATCAGCAGCAACTTTCACTTCGCAAACAGGAAAAACAGACAAAAAATAACGTCATGATTTCGATGCGTTACCGCTGGATGGAGGCGATCACGTGCGCCTTTGCTTCCGGACCCAGCCCGCCAAAGGCGAGGAGTTCTGTCTCCACCGGATCTGCGCAGAAGTCGACCAGCTGCCTGCAATGCCGGCAGCCGCAATCGCAGTCCACACGCGCCGCCCAATCGCGCGCCCCCAGCGGAGGTTCGCTGCAGCGCTTTTCGAGCGCTTCGAGACAGCCTTGGCACAGCTCCATGAACCAGGCGGGCGTTGCCTCTTTGCGTTCTTTGAGCCAGGCCCGGAGCTCCGTTAGAGTCGGCACGAGAGTCTTCTCTAGGTCATAGAGCCGCGGATGGGCCACGAAATGCGCGACCAAACTCTTCAAAGCCTCGCCGTCGAAGCCCCAGCAGTGCAGCGCTGCCAGCAGCCGGGGATGGAGTAATTGTGGTAAGGAGAGCGCTCCTCCGGGCGGGTCGACTCGTTTTCGCCGAGCAACAGTGCGACCAATTTGCCGGACAACTTTTGGCCGATGTCCGCAGCCAAAGAAGCGGCGTGTCCGGATAGGACCTCGTGCCGTCCTGTCGAGGCGCTGGGCATCTGAACGTCTGGATGCAGCAGTTGCACCGCCTCGAAGAAAGCCCTGATCGCCGATGAGGAACACTTAAGGCTTGGTCCGATGAGGCAGTCGATCGCGGGCGTCCAGGGTGTCCACCCAAAGCGATCCAGGACTTGTTGGAAGTAGTCCTCGGACAAGAGGTCTATCAGACGAGTCAGTCCGTAAGATCCTTCCGACCACTTCGAGCACACGGCACTGACCACTGCTGCCAAGGCCTCGCCGCTCACAGCCAATCTCTCTTGCTCGTCTCTGAGGGTTTCTCCGTTTCCTTGACTTTGCCCGGCACTGGCGGACAGCTCCCGTTCATCTTTCTTAGTCGAGAGCTCTTTTGTCGTGTTTGTCTGCTCTTCTGAAACGGTGTTGCTTATCTGAAGCAGCACCTGGAAGCAATCCTTCCGTGCATACTCATTGCCGGCGAACTCTCGAACCAGCCAGTCGATGAAAGCCGGCGCCAGGGCTCTCCAACCGAAGCGGGCCGCGAGATGCTCCACAAAGCAGCGATTGTTGAAGCTCCGTGGGCCGTAGTACTCTCGGATGAACACCTGTGCAACAAGAACTGAGAGATAAGAGCTAAATTTGATGATGTTCCAGAGTTACAGCTAGTAGCAATTCGTCTGAATCTTGGGGTATGCTACTCGCTCAGGACTAGCTCAATCGTATGCTTTGGGTTTCTGACTTTTTTCTTCCACTTTTTGTTTCAAGATCAGAAGTGAAGAGATTGGCTCTAACCCATTTTGAGACCTTGAAGCATAGGTTGCCTCACCTTTGCAAGATCCACATAGCCGTGTTTTGCTATCAGCCCTGCGACGGTAGGCTTTAAGAATTGGAGAAGCGCCAGGTCGGGGCGCAGAGCTCTTAGAAGGCGCGATCGGCAAGTCTTCGACAGCGTATACGTGTCCGTGCTCAAGAATCAGTGTTGCCACCGTCGTTGCCTGCCCGGGTGTTAGGTGCCCCCCGGACAAGCAGGCGGCTTCCAGAATGCGCGGCAAAGCCGCCACGGTGTAGGAGAGAAAACAAGATTCTTGCAAATACGAGAAGCACAACACTTAAAGACGTCGTCTTTTCAGCGACATATAGCTGATATGCATTGGATGCCTGTTCCTGCGCTGCTACTTTACCGGGGTGCTTGCGAGTGACCGCGAAAACAAAAACTCTTCAACTTCCACAACGCCCCCTTCAAAAGAAGCTGCCACTGACGACTGCAGTGCTTGTCTTCTGCTGATTGGCTAGGGGTATCACTTCGTTCGCCTCCCCTCAGTAAGCAGGAGCCTGGAATGTAGAACCTTTTGACAATCTCCAAAGAAGTCTATGTTGCTGAGCTTCCGGTGGTCTCACCTTCAAAACCGTTTCTGGGTCGTTGGTGCAAGCTATCTCCCAATGCCTGGCGTGCGGCCAGATCACGAGAGCAGCATGGTGGTACCAGCGCTCTTCCACCATCCCTTCGTTCCGGGTAAAGCGCTCATCTTCTTTTTGCCACTCCCGGCCGTCGAGAGCCGTTTCAGGAATCAGCTCTGCAAATAGAAGCGGTCATGAAGAGCTTTTACTAGGACGGTCCAAGAGCCGTATCCTACGATAACCCGATGAGAAGCACGTGAGCCTCATCGTAAGGTTTGGATTCCCCTTGTGACGCTTTGGCTCTCCGTTTGGAGAGTTAGACGGTCACCAGGCGCGGGGTTCTTAGCAAACGGGTTTAGATTGCCGTGGGGAGAAGTTTTCTGCTTCTTTATCAGTCTAGATCACCACCAAGGTCTTGAAATTTTTATGAAGGCGATCATTGAGCTCTGTGGCATGATAACTTACCCTCCCTCTCAACTTCAATTCTTTTGTAGGCGCCTGAATATCCATGTAGTTTGTAGATGTTGCTCAGGGAATATGAGGTGCGGAATTCGGTATCTCCAAGGTCCACGTTCCGCTCTTCGAACTTCTGTAGCATTCCTAGGAAGATGTGGACGGCAGGGGCGTTGCAGGTCTGCACACAAGTGGCACAAATGAAGATCTTGAAGCACGAATAGCATTTGTAATCCTCCTAAATTGCACAAGCGGGCCTCTCGTCAGCTATTGCGCAAGCCTGGATACGCGTTGACAGCTTCGGATGCGTCGCAATCTCTGAGCAGAATGAGGTTGCATCCCCAGTTGCTACAGAACCAAGTAAAATAGGTTGCTCCAAGCCTCTTTGTTGCGCATCCTACCTTAGCTGCTTGGAGGAAGACCTCGACGGTCGCTATGTCCTTCCCACGAAGCGTGTCATATGACAAGCTGTCTTGAGTGTACTGGTGTTTCAAAGGAATCACCAGTTTCTTCCTCCCTTCACTATCTTGGTTCCATCGCTTGATGGCATCGGCGACTTTTGCGGTAGCTTCCGTGTTGTCGGCAGGGCCTTGGATCCGATTGCGATCTTCTCGAATTGACCTTTGCGTGAGTTATTTGATGTTCTCCAGATTTCTAGCTCTGTATCGCTGCTCTCATTCTACGGATTAGTGAAACCGCCTCCTGAAGACATTCCCGTTGGCGCGTCATCACGTAGGCAATCTGCAGATGTGCTACGCGTTGCTGTTCTCCTTCCGAGATGAACAACGGGTCTATGTTGCCTAGACGCGTCATGCTGGCCAGCATACAAAACTGCTGATGCTCATCGATCCTCCTCTGCACAATTCTGATGCCTCCGTGCCCTCCATTGATGTAGTCTCGAGCGTAGTGCTCGACGAATCGGAACGCTAAGAGATTCGTCGGACAATACGCCCGCTGTACGAGGATGCTGACACTCCTACGTCGCTGCAAGCGACGGTCCCTCTTGCATGCTTCTCTCTGAAGCACAGCTTCCATCTTAGCCAAGAGATTCTTTCTCCCGTATCGAAGCATGGACGACTAAAGAACGTCTACGAAGCGGTAGTAGTGTTCACCGCGAGAGTTCTTAATCACCTCGATTCGCTTCAGATCTTCTGTAGTGAGAAAGTAGCGTTTGCGAGCCAGCGCAGCTCGCATGAGTGCCGTCTTGCGTTCGAATAAGCTATTAACCGTGTCGAAGTTGAAGCGGATATGCCACCTCCCTTCATCGTCCTCGAAGTACCCGTATATGCAAGAAGACTCAAGATCCTCTCGCTTCTTCGAATCCATTCCCCTTTCGTCCAGGATCTCAGACGAGATCCTTGCGCTCTCTCCCTCGCATCTCTTCGAATATCTGGCCATTTTAGTGGGCCACAGGTAGTCAACGGCCTGTTGGTGACTCGTTGACGTACATGCAAGAGCTGTCAGGGAGGCCGCGTCTATATCCGAGTGCGACTCCAACAGATTCACCAGATTGTGAGCACCCAGAGTCTCGATAGGAGCTGCCATTCTCGTCGTGAAGCGTTTGGTCCCTCCGTTGCTCGACCTTCCTCCTAAGCCGGGTGACCATCTGATTCTCGTACCCCATGAACATGGTATTCAGTTTCGGCTCTGCACATGTGACGTGGCATCTGAGTTTCGAAATTTTTCATTAGTACTTGGTAGATACATTCATGTCGGCGCGTACCTGGGATGGCAGCAGTTCTGCTGTCATGGGAACTTCCGGCTACGACAACAACAAGCCGTATGGACCGTTGACCTGTCCTGGGGGATACTACGTTTCGAAGGTGGAAGGGAACTCCTGGGATGGCAACGTCGGCTACATATCTTCCATCACTTGCACCAACTACCTGGATCCGACCAAGACGATAAAGATTGACGGAGCCATAGGGTATCCCAATCAGGGAGCCAGTCAGTCCTTCGATTGCGGCCCGAGGGGAATGACGGGTGTGCTCTATAGCGCTGGTACCATCTTGGACAGCATGTACCCCATTTGTGGTCTCGACAAAGACGCCTGGATGAAGTTCGATCAGAAGACTAACAGGTTGATAGGCGCCGACCCCAATTGGCCGCACATCGGTAATCCGAGCTCCACATTGGCCCCCCAATGGTGCCAACTGTCAGGGAAACCGGCCGGAGTCAACGCTTTCGTGACCGGGCTCAGAGGGCAGAATTCCAGCAAGTATGGAGGTCGGATAACCAGTGCCAACTTCACGTGCAAGGACTTCACGGACATCGACGCCGTCAAGAAAAGCCCCGACCGCATGGCAGACGTCTGCAATCAGGTCGATCCGCTGACTCCAGAACTAGCAGGTGCGATCTCGTGCCCTTCCTACATGAGGAGCTATTGTTCGGGTCTAAACGCGTGGAGTTCCAAGTGCAGCGACTATTACGGTAAGAATCCAGGCTTAACGGTGGATGTGGACGACAATAAGTTTGCTTTCTGTACGCAGGGCGACAACTACAAGGATCCAAAGTGTCTCTCGTTCTGCGATTGGCAGGGGGCAGGGAGCGGAGATCCGGATGCGCGTCCGGCTTACAAGGGTAGATGCAACGACCATTATGCGAGGGTCTGCAAGGGACAGTCCTCGGACCTCTGCTCCTGCTTGAACAGACCGAACCTCGAGGACTGGGCTGGGACGGAAGGTTATGCAGGCATCGCTGCGGCGGTGACCTCATCGAAGGGAGCTTCCACGAAGCCACAGTGCTACTTCAAGGCGTGTCGCGATAACGGATACAAGATCTTTGCCAATCAGACGCCGAGCGTGAATTGCCCGACGTGCCTCAACTCCGTGAACGTGTCCGCTCAGTATCAGGCGGCGGCGTCCGTAGGCGACGTGGTGCAGCAGTGCGGTGCTTCCGGAGGGGGTGGTGGGACCTCGGACGCCAACAAGAGTTCTACCGCCCAGACCACGAGCACCAGCACGAGTATGATTCAGGACATGAGGACGAAGGCCGCTGCTCTGCCTCCGTGGCAGCTGTGGGGTATCGTCGCTCTGCTGGTGCTGCTCGTCGCATTCGCTTTTTGGTACTTCACGAGTGGTTCTGCAGAAGAGGATGGCACGGACTATGACAGACTTTCGTCTCGACTGCCTTGACATGCTCCTATCCTATTTGCAGCGGCTATAATGTCTCTTCTGAAGGGTTCATTTATCTGCTC